ATAATTATCCAGACCCTTTCTCAATAATAAAGATTAGATAATAAATTATTCCATTTTCCTTATAATCCTTGTATTATTCTCAATTTTTAAATATTAAATACTATAGAATCACTGCGGGCAATACAAAATATGTTTATTAAACACTAGGAAACCGGTATTGAAAATATCTGTGACGCTCACACATGCCTATATTACAAAAATAAATAAAAGTAATCCTTGCGTAATATTGTGTAATCTCCGAAGCTTGTTTTTTATTTCCCATTGGAACAAAAGAACCCCTTTAGACAGAAAAATTGCAGATTCCTTGTGTTATCACCAGTCTCAAGAACTCATTTCTACTAGTCGTTCATCGGACACATTTAGCGTCCCGATTTATCATTGTTTTACACTTTGTACTGTTATTATGGCGCCCTCTGATGACAAGAGTTCGGTGCAAAATATTGTTACAAAACCCTTAAAGCGAGTGAAGATGGGCGGTTACTGTCATTCACCAATAGATGACACATTTTATCATAATTCTAAATCTTGAACAATTTTGCGTGAGAATAATTTCAATAAAAAAGTTAATTTCTAATCTCTCAACGTCCGTAACAACTTTTGCTGATTTTAGTTAAATTTTTATCATTCACTATCACCAATTTATGGATCTTTTGCTGCGGTTTGTTGCTATATTTAAATAATGAATGAAGAAAAACTGGCAACACAAAACTTTAAAAAAAATTACTATTCTGATATTTAAATACACAAAGATTTTTAAAACGAAAAATCTGTAATTTGCGAAACGATACTTACAAAACATATTGCCACCTAACAAGTTATTAACAACATAAATAATAGACTAAAAATCGTGTCGGGGGGTAATTTTTCTAATTAATATTAAAAATTTCCAATTGGAAGATTTTTTGAAACCACAATTCCTAATCAGAGACAAAATAACATACAACCTTATTGTTAAGCTTTATTAAAATAAGCAAAAATCAAAACCTATAGTTTTCAACCTATACTAAATACGAGACAATAGCGAGTTTCTATTTTTATTATATTACTTTATAAACCAATTTGACTATTTTAATTACATAATATTCTATGTACATATACTAAATAACGTATTTACAATACAACAATATGTTTTGCAATATTTCAAATTTAGCTTCGATGTACAGTTCACTTGCAGTTATATAATCTGTTCATTATATTCCATAAACCATAAACAACATGTCAAATAATTCAAATAACTATCGTCAGAAACAACAGGCAACAATTATCGAACTACATATGAACTGTATTCAAATTACACTATGGTATGCATTTTTAAAATATAGACAAAAAAATTCGCATTCCATTGTCTTTGGTCAAAGAGAATATTATTAATTTATAAACCGATATTGTCACTAATAATTAAATTAGTCAAATTGCCTATATAAATCAAATAGAGGACCGTACAGACTAGAAGGACAATTTGTGTATGAGATGTCAAGGTCATAGAATATAATTACAAATAAACCACATTGTGAACGCGATTTTATAAACCTCAATCAATAAAATATTTTACATACATTCAGACTTAATAATATTCAACTATACATATGCATAATTTAACAATCACGTTCTTTATTTGTGCAAGACATCACTTGCACAATTTTGCGCAAACTTGAGTATATTTGCACAAGTTTGCACAGTTGAATTAGTTTGCACAAATAAATATATCTGTAACCATTGTGACTGTGCCCCCTTTATTGATACGAAACCTATTCGAATAGCTGTCTGAAATTGTAAAAAAACAAATTTGCTTAAAATCTTGTACAATTCTTTTTTATTTGAACAAGTAAAGTTTTTTACACATCTCACGTTACGTAAAAATAATATATTGCAACAATCAAACTGCCAATTCTAACATGACTTTACAGTCTATTCACACACGATATGGCCTTGTTGATAAAATTCTAAACAAAATCAACAGGACTTTTGAAGGTGTTCACACTTAGTTTACTTCCTATTTATGATTTATTAAAATAAAAACCTTGGGTAACTTTGGCAAAGTGTACAATTTAGATATAATCAAGGAAAAAGTACCTACTTTAAGAGATATTTATCTATTTATATATGTTTATCTATTCTTTAGTACAGGACATGTGTACAAGGCGGACTTAATGCTAAAAGAATTTTCTCCCAGTTAACCTTAGAGAAATGACAGAATGCTCGAATGTGGTAATAGTATTAATTGATACACATATACATACATACTAATATTTACATAGATACAGAGATAAATATATCAACATCATCTCAGCTATTTTCTTTTCACTACTTATATTCATATAAGCCTCCGCCATAGACTGCCACAACGGTCCGAAGCCACCTGCATCCACTGACTTCCTGCAATGCATTTGAAGTCGTTACTCCATCTAGTAGGGAGCTCGGCCTACACTATGTTTGCCCGTACGGTATCGCCACTCAAGAACCTTTCTTCCCCATCGGTTGATGGTTATTCGAGCAATGTAGCCAATTCCCAATTCAGGTTCCATACCCTTCGGCCTATATCGGTCACTTTGATTCTTTTGCGGATATCCTCATTTTGGATTGTCACGCAAAGGAACTCCGAGCATAGCCCTCTCCATAGCTCGCCGAGTAATTTGTAACCTCTAAATACGGGCATTGGTGTAAGGCCATGTTTCGATTCCATAAGTCATCACTGGCAACACGCACTGGTTAGACGCTTTCGTCTTCAAACTTTAAGGTAAATATTTATATTTACATAGATACAGAAATAAATATATACCGTATGTTAATTAATATAACCCATTCCTTAAAACTGATGTTAGTATTCATTGATTATTGGAACTCTATATTATAAAATATCTTTATATTACCAAAAACAATATTTTGAAAAAAGAACAGCTGAATAATAATATATACCTGTATAATATAATAGTAATAGGTATTTATCATAATGCCAATAAATTACTTTCAGCGTCGTGGATTTAACCTTTGATGCATCGACGCCGCCGTTGTCGGTATTTCCCTTGACCCGCCATGCGCATACGCATATCACTTATAGTAGTACAGTTTTCATTCCGTCGCTTCCAAACATTCGTCACGTTGGAATGTACGTGTACACGTAGTTGTACGTGTCTACGTAATTGAGTTAAATGCAACTCCTTGTTAATGCCTGCTTAGTGATCATTATCATGATAAGGTAATATCAATCAACACCAGTATGATATTAGCGGTGTGTGTGTGTGTGTGTGTGTGTGTGTGTAGTTCATTATGCAATGACGATATGCTATTTGACAATAAATAAGTGGGTTTATGAAAAAATCATCAACACCAATATTACACGTTCAACTGGTCAGCAATCACTGAATAAATGATTATAATAATGAAGGTAATGTTGGTTTAAAAAAATGTTACGTAATCTTTTAACACTTAATTTTCCCATTCGACAAGGTTTATAATTAATCTACTAAAAATGAAGGTACCCAAGTACGTATGTAATAAGCATCTTGAAAATTACTTAACCCTTAAATACCTGAAGTTTCAAATTTGATACCGGGGTTATAAATCGCATTGGGCGCCTAAAATCGATTTTATTTTATCATTTGGCTGTTTACATGTTACCAAATATTTTTTTTTTTAAATAAATATATAAAAATATCGTCTTGATTTTTTTACTATTTTTCCCCATTATTAAAAACAGTACAGGGTACACTTATATATATTTTTAATTTGATTTAAAAAAATCAGGTTTTTAAGGGTTAAAACACTGCAATTTACTTTATTCTTATATTATTTATTCTGCTTTTATTTGTAGAGATTGTCATAGCTTGAATGAACTTATTAAGCGCGTAATAATATAAAATCGCGTGCAATTTTTATGTAAAACGCCTATATCAGATCCGAAAAATAGTTACACGCGACGCGACAGCTTCTTTTTTACTCTGTACGTACATACGAGCTGATAGACAGCTTCATTTCTATTTCTGTAAACACCCAAACAAAACATAAAAGATGTTTATTATTATTCTTTATTGCACTAAAACACACACTAATAATAACAATTACAAATAATGTAAATAATGTTTCTTAAATTTTAAATATTAATTTTCATTTTACGAACCTCAACAAATAATTGATATAATTCTATATCTTTTTTTTTTGTTTATAATCTATTTAAGCATTCATATAGTAAGTGGTCTTCAAGAATGGGTTACATTATTTAACTTATTGTATAAATAAAAAATATACTTAAACATATAAAAGATATACTACATTATACACGAAGCTGAGAAGAGGAGATAATACTTATATGTTAATAATAAAAAAAAAGGTTGATTGCAAACAAAAGAAGCTACAGTGTAGCTCCTATAGTATTGTAAGATTCGTACAAAGTACAAATTATTTTTACATTAAATTTTTCTGTACAAAATACCTAGAGGCGAATACTGAGATGCACTTCTATTTCTTACATTGTTAAAATTAATGCTCTCAATTATTTTATTGCCTAAAGATAACTGTAAAGGGGAAGGGGGGGGGGGGGAGGAAGGTGAAGTAACGAAGTTTAAAGGGTATGAAGAATGAATAATTGTACTTAAAGTTCCGCATTTACAGTACACTTTGATAGCCTGGATAAAATACGAGAAATATAACAAATTGAATTGATATGGTATTGTGGCTTTAACTTTAGCCAAAGTTACCAGTTAACAGTCAGATAATACGTAGTTTCTATTACTAAAGCCCAGATTTGACAAACAAATTGGTAAACATTAAAGAATATCTGTTTTTCTATGCTATATTAGTAAAGAATATTGGTGTCTTTATATAGAAATAAAAATACATGAAATAAACAATTGGCAAAAGGTTCTTGTGGTAATTCATTATAAATTAATATATTATTATTACTGTCTGTTAATTAAATTAATTACTAAATTTAAAAAAAATATATATATATATATATATATATATATATATATATATATATATATATATATATATATATATATATATATATATTACATACAGCGCCATCTAGTCGCAAACCAAGCAGAGCTTGTACTTTAGGTACTAGACAACTAATAGATAATGAATACGAACATTTTTATATAAATGCTTAGTAAAGAAAAACAGAGTATAGTTTTTGAGTTTACTAACTTGCTATTGAGGCTTAATATTTCAATCTCTTTCACACCAATCATCCAAACAGTGCACTAACAGTTGAATTGTCAATATAAATATATCCAACACTATCACAGATCACCAAAATCTTTGCTGTCTGGGCCCGGGCCATCGGTTCGGTGGCCTTGGGACATTCCTGGGCCAAAACTGGGGCTGAAACCCTGGGGGCCTGAAAGTCCGTGGTCCCCAATTCCTGGGAAACCTTTGATTTGTAAATGGTCTAGGTGGTGGGTTTTCCCACATATTCACCTGGAACTCGTCGAATTGTGGTGGTGGTGAGTTCATGTTACTCACTTCGGGAGATGGTATTCTTTCTTCAGGGCCTTTTTCTAAAGCCCTGCTTCTCAAGTCCTCCTCGTACGGCGTTTCAGAGGAGTTCTCCTCTGGATTTTTGAATTCTCTGTTATTTGGCGGAAAATTTGGAGGATTTTGAAATGACATATTGAAGTTTTTAAGGCTGGGGGGCATGTTATCGAATGGATTCGACAATGGGTTTATGACAGGCGCCGATTGCGGACCGTTGTTCGAACTATTTATTTGTATGAGATTGTGGTTTGATTCCTTAATATTTGTCTTTCCATTGTCACCGCCCACCAAAACCTTGTTGTTGTTGAAACTGTGCCTTCTCTCGTTCTGGGTGGACTGGTTGGGGTACATACCTGCTGGAAATAATGGAATATGTTTAATATAAAAACTTTTTTATATTATGATGACTATTTTTATATAATGATGACGATCAAGCTCACAAAACTAAATGAGTTTTAAAATAATATTATTTAAGACTATGCGAGTGTGAAAACACTGCATCAATAACAACATAATTTTTATAGGCCTAACATGTGAATAAACTGTCGATTGCAGAAAAAATATCAAAATCTGTTTAGAATCATAATTGGTAAAAGTTATCACATTAACATACACACAAAAAAATATACACAAATTGATAACGTCATACTTTTTGAAGTCGCTCTAAAAAATACTACAAATCAATGTATACATTTATTTATAAGTGTACTGATTCACAGTAACTTACGTTGATCCTCATCTTCAGATAAGTCCATATCAACACTCTCGACTATGTCGCTCGGGGTGATCATTGGAGGTACCCGGTAATCCTGTAATGAAATACATAAATCATTATACCAAGTTTTAATTTTACCATGAAAATGGAACGGTAGCCCTGCCTGCGCTATAACTATGCACAAATTGAACACCAATGAGTGATGAATAAATGAAGACGGAGACAGGTCAGTTAGCCGATTGTGATGAATTCACCAGGAATTAACTACGACGGTTTCCGAAGAGACCCGCTTGAAGGTGTTATTATAGGCTTTTTTATCAGTCCGTAACACAGGTGTTTTTTTTACAACACAGGGGGCAAACGAGCATGGGGCTCATCTGATGGTAAGTGACTACCGCCGCCCATGATCACCCACAACACCAACGGCATTGCAGGTGTGCTGCCGGCCTTTTAAAAAGGAATTTGCTCTTTTCTTGAAGGTTATGATGTCGTATCGGTTCGGAACTACTGCTGCTGAAAGTTGATTCAAAAGAGTGGTTGTGCGTGAAAGAAAGTGCCTTCAAAAACGCACGGTGGAAGACTGCCACTCGTCCAGATGGTTGAGATGAAACTTTATGGCGGGTTGTATATTGTATTGTGATATATTTTCGAAAATTCTATCTATACATGTGAAGCCGGGGCGGATCGCTAGCATATTAATAAAATTACGTCACTTATTATTACGCTAGCTGTAGCCAGTGTCTTTGCCCGCCGTGATTTAGGTCATGATCTCAAATTCAGATTTCATTCAAATCTATTCAGGTATTGAAACAACAAACACAATTGAACATTAATTAAAATATTACTCACCTGGTCCAAGTTAACGGGATTAATAGGCCTCGGCAGACCAGGGTTGACAGGTCTAGGTGGAGCCGACGGCTGATGTGTTAACGATATTAAATTCCTATGATCCACATCTGAATAATAGAGTAAATTAATATTATTATTTAAGCTTTTTATTTTATTATTCTCGATACTTTTGTTTCAGTTTTCAAACTTAGAATTTCGGGTTTCTTACACCAAGTAATTCTAAGGGTTTCTATTAATCAATACTTAGGGGATCTTCTTGCACATGATACGGCATGTATTTAGGATGACTGCCTTTTACATTGTGATATGTATTCTGTGGCAAATTTTATGTATTTAATCTATGGTGTAGGTGCATTAGAATTATACGTGTATTAGAGAGCAGAAAAGGAACTATGTAAGCATTATTTTAATTCCAAATTCTGATAGATTTCTTCTTTTGGTTCAGTGTCTTTTTTTCTGTGATATGGTTTTTCATATATTATGGCAATAGGGTAAAGTGATTTATTTATTTAATAAGATTCACCTACGACTTGTTACATTTTACATACTACATGATCAATGACATATAAATAACTTTGCCCAAAGTCTTTTACAGGTAAACACTATATGCACTATTATTAACAATGGCAAGTATCCCAACAAAAAAAGAGCTTATGTCTAAAAGTTTCTTTAAGTTGATCTGCTGTTAATCGGTTCGAAATTTATGTCAAACGATCGCTGTGGGCATTTAGAATCCTACATAATCTGGGTACAGGGGAGTTGGCTCCTAACACCGTTTTTTTCAACGGGGGGCATATCGATATCATATATCAGCCAAGCGATGTCTATTTTATATATTCTTTTAAAAATTTTATTTATCAAGATTATGTCCGATCTGTTGTAATATATTAATTTATCTGTTAATATCGCTCTGTCAAATTACAACTTATATCTACTATTACAGGGTTTACCACATACTGGCAACATTGTTTATCTGTGATTAGTTCATATTTAATGTGTTGCATGGTTTCAGTACTCTTTTGACATTTTCTGCATTTATCGTTATATACAGTGGGATCTTTGGCAAATAAGCTTTTAATAATTCTTGGTATTTATGACGTGATTTTGAATTTCGAGCCTAATCCTTTTTATTTCGGAAAATAAATATCCAACTCTTTGCCAATGGTTTGAAGCATCCTGGTTTCTGTGTGGTGATTAATTATTATTAAATAAATTATCATTATAAAATAAAATTCGCATCGCCCCTTAAAAAAAGGAGATGACAATTAACTCCCGACAAAAGCACAGTCGGCTGGGGTTCAGGGCCTCAGGGAGAGGAACTAACGGCGGTATCCAATGCGGGCGGTATCCAATATCACCGCTTTCTGCATATTTCCCAGGAGTGAACTGCCTTGGAATCCCAATCGTCTGAAGTATTGTTTCAGACTGGTTGGGATAAGACCGCTCCCCAACAGAACGATTGGAATGATTTCGGTACATGTAAGCCCTCACATTACGATCACCTCCTGAGCCAAGTTGAGATATTTACTCTTCCTTTCGGTTTCGGCTTTCATACGCAAAAGCAGTGCTTACGGCAAAAGTGTAAAGGAGTACGGGTATGACCCAGCTAGTATAAGCTCGGACTTTATTTGCGCCTGACAAAGAACTTTTCAGTATTCTTCTTATTAAAAAAAATTACTCGCAGAGAGACTGTTCCATATTCGCCTCCTTAACATCAATGTTTTTCGATCGAAATCGGTATGTTTTAGCCTCAGAGAGGATTTTGAATTAAAGGATCTAGAACAATCCTTTCAGTTCGCAAGACAATACACGAGGGAAACCATAGGCGTCACAGTTTATTCTGTGATGACCACGGTACTATTAGATGGGCCGTTAGCGTATTCGCCATTCTTTGTTGGATTTGAGTAAAACAAATTGTACCTTGATGCGCGACCGGATGTCTATTGACTGCAATTTGTGGTGGAGGTGGAACGTTTGGCAAAAACCTATGATCTACGTCTTCGCCATCTGCAATAAAAATAATGATCAATGGATCAATTGAATGAGTGAGTGTTCCATTTTGGGAACATATATTTGAGAAAATAAAATTATGATCAAATTGCTAGACTCAGTTATTAGGTTTGGTATGACAATGCAAAAAACGGAAGTCATTACAAAATGGTGATTAATCATCGAAATTTATTATTTTCGATTAATCGAAAAAAAATATAATTAATAAATTGACAATCAAGCATTAAATGCTGCAGAGGCTCGTAGACTGCCATGTGCTAGATTCGAAGCATGGACAATGAGTCTCCGTATATGTTACTGTAAAAGCCGGTACATCAGTAACTATTAGATTTAAATAGTAAATCTTAGAATTTACCAACAAAATGAGTAGGTAAATGTGAGGATTATATTGTTAAAAGTTTCCTAAGCACACATATTTTAATGTAATAACTATCGGTTTAACTTACGTGTAATTAGATCGAGAAAACTCGACAAATTTTGAGATCAATAGTACACGACGGCTTACCAATACATTCAGTGGCAATAACACAGCAGACGAAGAGGAAGACTACGGAGCCCAGACGTTCATACCCGAAGAGTTCCAAACGCCATCTTTCTTACCTGTGACGATGCTGCAAGCGTCTACAGTTCGCACTCAGCGGGTCAAGGTGCACAGTCAGGTTCGCGCTTGTGTCACGGCCGCTCACGACTAAGGATCACGAATTGATCCCGAAACTAGTCGAGCTTTCTCTTAAAATGGTAGTTATTACATTAAAAAATATAATGTTAGGATTTTATAAAAAGAAAACAAATTTTTGGACCTTCACCAAACCAAACCTAACCCTACCTTTTTGACCACGAGTACAAACACTAGGCACTAAATATTTTTTTTTTTTTACAACACAGGGGGCAAACGAGCATGCGGCTCATCTGATGGTAAGTGACTACCGCCGCCCATGATCACCCACAACACCAGCGGCATTGCAGGTGTGCTGCCGGCCTTTTAAAAAGGAATATACTCTTTTCTTGAAGGTTATGTTGTCGTATCGGTTCGGAAATACTGCTGCTGGAAGTTGATTCCAAAGAATGGTATATGACCAAATATTATGTCTATTTTTTCACCTTTACCTCGTTTATGATGTAAATAACTATGTACACAGAACTACCGTAATTCGGGCTTTTACAGTAACAAACACATCATCAATATCTTTCTTCTTTTACACTGAGATGCCCATGGTATCCTTCGCCGCTCATAAGTTGACATTACTAAGGATTATAACTTATCGAAGCTAAAAATATGTAATAAACCGATTGGGGTTTATTACATATAGCGTAGCCGAGGCACACATACGTGAGTCTATCAATGCCTAGTTGTGGCCAAGGCTTGTATAATACTTTTCTCAAACAATGCGCGGAAATTAAAAACACAATTTTACTTTTTAAGGTCAATGACGAATAACGAACAATAATAATTTTTCACGCGCCATAATGTTCCTGTTTTTTTTTTCAATAAACAGCTTTCTTGAAAAAAAAAAACTATTCTATTTGCAAGCCAGTTCGAAATTTAAATAAAACCCTTTATTAGTTATCTCCTTGGTAGTCATGTTTCGAAGTAAAAGGTCATTCCATTTTTAAATTACAGGACAGATATGAGTTTACATAGTAATTTATGTGGCCGCAAAACACGACAGACATGGATTTTCATACAACTTTTGGCGGCCGCTGCCCGCATGTATTTGGCCAGTACGGCAATTTTGATTTATCTCGAAGAAGATTGTCAAAATAATGCTCACATTTCCAAGCATGTTTGAGAAAAATATATTTATTAATAAAGGAGGTAATTTATTCATTGAAATCAACTTACGACCAAGGATAGGTAAAACGGGAGGCGGAGGAGGGGGTGGTAACAGCCCTCTGTGGTCAACGTCGGATGGTGGCGGCAATTTCTAGAAAAAAAAATTAACAACTTAAGAAGAATATCGTATTTGGACAGATATGCATATCAAACTTTTAATTTTCATATCAGCACTTATTATACTACATTATTACATATGCTGATATGTAAATATTATTCCATTGTATTTTTTTTCTTTTTGTCACTGAATCATGTGATTCATAATGGGATAACCTAGTGAAAACAACCTATAATTAATAAATGTAAAAATCCATACAAACATAAAAGTATATTTGTTTATAGTAGCGACTTAACAATTTAACCAGTCGCAATGAAATTTGGTATAAACATATTATACATCGCTAGAAGAACACTTTTTCAATAATCAATCAGAAACACTGAAAAATGTTAAATTGTTTCCTCAACATTAACAGGTGATTGTGGCATCGCCATACTTCCTTATGGCCGCTCTTAAGTGGGAAAACAATAAAAAAATCAGAACCTTTCGTACTTACAGGATACTTAGTTGTCAATATAAGAGCTTCTAATATTTTTCTGTTTTATTAAAAAAACTCAAACTCACTCTTAGAACAATCCCTTATTTTTTAATAATCACTTATTTCACGTCATAGTAGTAACTATTAAGTTCACGCGTACTAAAAAAAATGTGTTCATCATCCTGGCCATCTCATAATACCCGCCATAATGGTAAAGGCGGGAGAGGCAGGGGCGAACCCCATTACCCCGGCATCTTCTCCGAAAGCCATAACCTCCGGGTCACTGGGTTTTAAGGCGACATACACGGATGTTGTGTAATGTCGGCATGGCGTCTTTGTCAAAATGTATTACCTGCGTGAAATGTAACGGCTGCAGCAGTGTTGTAGGTGGCGCTAGCGGCGCGGGCGGCGGCGATTCCGGCGTGTCAGTGAAAATAGCGCGTGGGGACTGCTGCGCCGGCGCCGCGCCGGACACCGCGCCCGGCGGCGGCACCGGCGCCGGCACCGACACCGGAGGCACCGGCGGCGGACCCGACTACAAACATCAACACGCGTTAGCATTTTTATCATCGTCATATCAGCCCTTAACCGTCCACTGCTGAACATAAGCCTCCCCCTTGGGGGGTTTAGCCAGTGGTTGCCACGCTTGGTAGGTGGATTGACAACCGCTATCAGGGTTTTTTTTTTGATGGGTGAAAATGGTATGGTAACCCCGCCAGCGCTAACGGGATACGTTGGCGGAGCACCAGTGAAGGGTGATAGATGAGAATGAAAACAGGCCAGTTAGCCCATCATGATGAATTCATCAGGAATTAACCATGGTAATTTCCAGGGAGAACCGCGAGGAGGTCGACTTGGTTAGATACATTGCTAGCAATAGGATTCTCAGTCTCCATTACTAACAATCCCTTTCCCCCCACCGCTATCAGGGCCGTCCTTTAGTCGTCTTTTACGACACCCACGGGAAAGGAAAGGGTTGCCTATTCTATGCCGAGACCACGCGAGCATGATATTTTTATATTAACCATTAATCTTAGATTATATAGACAGAGCATCGAGTCTCAAAAAAGGGTCAACTTTTTGTCAGCTGATTAACTGACTTGTTTTTTATCAGTGTTCTATATATTTAAGCACATAACGTATCTCGACATATCTATATTTAATTCTTTCATAAATGAAATGAGTTTTTACGCATTAAAAAAATGTAAAAACTATAAAAGAAAATAAATATGGAAGTTATAAAGGAAACACTCCTAACTATTTGTCACTCAAAATTTCGAAGCATTTGTATGGAGACAATCTATCTATATGGGGGGAAGGGATTGTTAGTAATGGGGAGGTTAATCCTTATTGCTATCAATATATGCTATCACGTCGACCTCCTCGCGGTTCCCCCTGGAAACTATCGTGACTAATTTATCGTTGAATTCGTCACGATGGGCTAACTGACCTGCCTTTTCATCCTCACCTATCACCTTTTATTGGTGCCCCGCTAGTGTATACCGATAGCGCAGGCGGGGTTACCATTCCATTATCACCCATTATGAAAAAAAAAATCTATATAATCTAAGTCATTGACATATAAAAACCCGAAGATTCATAACGTCATACAAAAATGTCTTTAACAATTTCATAAACAGTTTCAAAATTAACGATATATAATCAACATATATACTGTCTTGCGATTATATCTTTTTATTTCGGGACACTTTTGAACGTAACTTTTATATGGATATGAGTCTAGATTTTTTTTATATCTATGAATAAAGTACGTTCTAACTCACCGGCATCCAGGATGTGTTGTTCCATACAGAATTTGTCTCTGGATGATAAGGCTGGGCAGGATCCGGATCCAGGTCTGAAACAATGGTGTTAATAACTTTAAAGAGCAGTAATTTTCATATATGTTTCACTAGTTATATCCCATGGCTTCAACCGCGTGAATCAATACAAAAACTATGTTCTGAGTAAGAATATAAACTACACGTGTTCCAAATTTATTTCAAATCCACTCAGTAGTTTTTATATAGTACTCTTTATTGTTTCCTCCAAAACATTACAATAATAAACTTATTATAAATATATATAAAAGAGTAACAAAAATCCATCCATTCACACAAACATCCGCATTTAAAATATTAATAAGAATGACATGCCATAGAAATTCTTAATATTTTCCATCATCCAAAGGAGTGTTCTATCAGTGAATCTGAATATTTTTCTTGTGATCATGTCTTGTAATTGCTTGTATCTATAATAAATATATTATTGTAACCTTCTGGAGGGAACAATAAAGACAACAATAAACAATAAAGAAACAATAAAGACTTAAAACAATTAAACTCAACACCTATTTATCTAATCAGAGAAAAGAACAAAAAAAGAAGGGACTTCGATGAAGTGTTGAGATGTTTCGTGAATATATTGTAAATATTGCTTGCTCATATGTAGTTTGATGAATTCGAAACAAGCGGTTTTTTTTTTGCTCCGCAAATAAAAACAGCAGTAAATCCTATAGATTGCAAAAAAAGAAAGTGAAAATCTATTAAGAGCGACGTAATCACGTTAAATAGACATAAAAAAGACGAACTGATACTATAATATAATAATAATTTATTTGTTTAAAATTTGTATTATTCTTTCAGTGGTGCAATAAAGAGTTAAAAAATAAATAAACTGTGGTCAGTACAAGTGGTTTTAAATAATAGTAAAGCTACACATTTTCGCCTTATATAAAGGCATGCCAATTTTTGTTTCTTACATATTAGTATTTTTTAATTTTTAGTGGCTTACATTTTTAAATATAAATTAAATAATTCATTTCAAGGTCGCTTAATTTTTTTTATGTTAGTAAGGGAAGCTCTAAACTCTAAACTGCCCAATGAAAAGGACCAATAATGTGTAACCCCTCCCCCCCCCCCTTCATAAATCCCCCATCTCATAAATCGGAAGTCATTGGGAAAGGTATATATAAAGCATTGGATTGATACAGGCTAAAATAAAGATGAAGAATAACAATTTTTTTTTAACCATACCAATAATATTGTCCATAGTGCCATAGAACGAGGTCGGCGGCGGTGGGTTGCCAGTACTTTCCGGCGTCAACAGGTCTAATCCGGGAAGTGTATCTTGAGACTTCTGTGACATTGTACCACTGGTCACTAAAAGAAATATGATGTGTTAGAATATTAAAATCAATATATGTTTAAACTATTAATTTTAAATACAAATATGTATATATTCACTCCTATACAATCTTTCATCCGCTATTGAAATAGGAGAAGAAATTAATACCTTTAGGTGTTAATTCTTTAAAAGTTAATAAATTTCTGTTTTAAAACAAGAGCCTAAATCTATGATTTCACGTGTCCAAATTCCATACTGACGAAATTACATAAAAATTTTCAATCCCATTATGGGGTAAAATTTTTCAAAAACCTTTCTTATTGTTCATTTACACTATTATAAAAACCTATCCAGCAAAATTTCAAGAATCTAAATTTAACGGTTTCGGCTATATATAAGTAAATAAGTTAGTCTTTTAGCATCCTGTTTCTATATAATATACATAGGTATATATTATATAACTTGGAGTGACAAACAAACTGACGGCCAACCTGATGGGATGCAGAAAGTGTCACCTATAGATATGAAGAGCACAAAATACATAGAGAAAGGCACCATGGGCAACCAGCGTTTTCTATAATGTTCATAGTGCTTTACATAGCTCTTTAAATTAATTCCTGAAGATTATGACGTTATTTTTAAAATGGGTGAAAATGAAATAGTAAACTCGCCTGCGCTATTTGTGTACAATGGCTGGGCAATAGCAAGAGATATAAACATATTAATCGAGGTGAGGATGAACAGAGGTCAGTTGACCCATGATGAATAATTTAATAATTACCCTCGATGGTTTCCAAAGCGAACCGCCTGGTAGACAATCTCATAGAGTATATTTCTACCAATAGGACTATTAGACCCCATTACTAATAATCCCCTTCCCCTTAAAGTATAGTGTTACGCCTCCGTACCCTGTAATTTCGCTACTATATAATGCCCTTTAAACTAAAACGCAGTCATACAAGCATAGTTGCTTTACGACAGAAACAAGTGAGACAATTGTATCCAAGCAGACTTGGAACATCAGTTTGTCCTTCTTCTAAAGATATCTCTACTAATAAATATAACTATACTTTTTTTCGATTTTGTTCCAAATATGTCCTTTTAAGTCGACTAGCAAGTTTAATTAAACATACCTGAATTATTATCTGACGTAACCAAATTGGTATCATTTGGTATCAAATTTTTTAGGAAATCATTTATATTAAAATCTTGCTTCTCAGATGGTCTATTATTTATTACTTCTATTTTATTTGCTGAAAGAAAATATACATAATTATATATTGTTTTTGTATTTTATGCACGAAAAATTATTAATTCACTCTTGCACCACCTGCCCTTTTCTATCTGTTCTCCTTTAATCAAAGGTTGTCTGTAAGAGATTGTCCTAGCGATAAGACCGCCTTTTGTACCTTTATGTGTATATTTCAATCTGTATTTATGTTACTATATTTCACTTGAATTATTCACTCGTCATTGTATATTTTTATTTATGGTGCAATAAAGAGTTAAATAAATAAATAAAATAATTATATATTGGCTAATGACGGCTCGATTTCGTTCTAACGGAAAAAAATAAATATTCTGTTATGAATGAATATTATGTACTATAGGTAGAAGTCTTTCATGTTAAACGAAGGAGGGCCAGCAGGTCTACCCTTGAATCCAATATCAATCCAATTTATTGCCAAGGACAATTTTATATAGCATTCACGAAACAACAGTTAGGAATTAAATTTTAATTGAGATCCGTTTACAATAGTTTGCATTGACAAATTACAGTAATATGCATCTATTAGAACAATATAGAACCATATTTTTTTTTTTTATTAAAAATACAGTACAGAAAATTTTACAGAAGTAGATGGTCTCATCATAGTATAAACTCTTACAGAAAACTTTAGAATAGCGCACGTGATTTTTTGTTAAGACTTCAGATAATTATTTAAATAGACTTGTTTGGTCACGAATTAATCAATAAATACTTTGTATCTTTGCCCATTAGTTTATAAAAACGTCTAATTAACCTATTCTAGGTATTAAAACAACAATAAATTCTCAATAGAAAATAAACCTATTTTAACTATTAGAGTTAAAATAGATTTGTAAAAGGTAGATAATAGTTTGTAAAAAAATTTAGTTTTTATAAATAACATTTTAACGATGCCTATATTTTTGTTATCTTCTACCTTTTTCCCAGTTATTATTTAGGGTCGGCGTAATATGTATGATAAAAAACCATATTATAAAGAGATTTGACTTATAATTTTACGACCGGCCAGCTGCCTGACGTCAACACTCTTTGGGAATTAACGATGTCTAGTCATATATAACGGGAAATTATCTCGTAGCACCGCTATCTTCGCCCCCATGCCCGCCACGCCGATGTCTTTACAGGCTCTACGCCCGCAGTGCGAAACGAGACCTCTGTGACGTAAAGCGCTGTACTCCCCCTGAAGAACACTTCCGGATGAAGTCGGAAACGTCAAACTTAGTAAGTTCATAAAATTTCCCGTTATACATATATATATATATATATATATATATACAGACATCGAATTAAAAATTAACATGTTTTAAACATAATATCCAATCAATCAATCTATTACAGCCCGTCTAATGGTAAACTGTTACTGTAGCCTATGGACGCCTGCAATACTAGGGGTGTCCTTTTTTTTTAATGGATGGTAATGGAATGGTAACCCCACCCGCGCTATTGGTATACACCGGTGGGGCACCAATGAGGGATGATAGGTGAGGATGAAGCAGGTCAGTTAGCCCATCGTGACGAATTCAACAAGAATTGTTCACGATGGTTTCCAGGGGGAACCACGTGGAGGTCGACCTGATAGGGCATATTGCTAGAAATGTCGAACTCCATCGCTAACAATCCCTTTCCCCCCCTACTAGGAGTGTCACGTGCGCGTTGCCGACCCTGAAGAAAGCTTAATTATACCCTTTTTGAAGAACCCCATACTGTAGTCTCTAAGGAAATCCTATAAGTATATAATTATAAAATTAAACTCACCGTTATTATTCACGTTCATATCCGTCGAGTCGTTGAACATTGACAAAGGATTATCGGACGTAAGGAACGAGGACAGCCCCAAATTATAGAGGGAACCGTCAGCTGCTATTGAAGAGTTGAATGTGCGATCAATGTTGTATGCAACTGGAATAAACAAGCATAATATACATCTACCGACATCGAAAAAGGAGGTACTCAATTCGGCTGTCAGTTTTTATGTTTGCTAACTCATAACTCCGTTTATTATAAACCGATTTGGAAAATTACTTTTCTATATCCAAACTTATATACTTTCAAATTGGTCCCACAGAACTTTTATCAAAATGAGTTCAATAGTTTATCTATGAATAAATAAATAAATACTGCAACATATGTGAGGATATCATCTTCTGTTGTCGAAAACTTCTAGGCAGCATTTTTCATAATTCCTCATTTTCCCGTAAGTGCCATAAGAGGTGAATAAGGAAACATAATGGTCGAGAGAAAGGCCACAGTATCCCTCATGAAATATAACCAAAGCCTAACTTTGGTTGTCATCCTGCCTGCCAAGCATGGCAACTGCTAACAAAACCAGAGTGGGTTTTGCCAGAATGGGGAAAGCCTCTGTCCTATCCAAACATTGATTATTAATTTCAAAGATTTAAGGCTAGAATTTGAAAGCTGCAGTCATGCATTGTTCATCTGAACTCTTACAACTTCTATGCAGTGCAGTATTACAGGCCGTATGGGCCACAGCTTTACAGTTATATTATTGAGACATCTTTATAATGGATGTGCAAATCTGGCCACAGTTGTTTTATTCTTACTGTATTTTTTTTTCTTAGAATCATGAAATTTATTTGTGTGTATAACTTTTATGTAACTTAGAATGGCAAAAAAGTTGAGCGCCTACCTAATGAAAAGTGTTAACCGTCGCCTATAGATATGAGCAGTACTATGGACATAACAGAATATACTGTTGCGCCCATGATACTCCCATGCGTTGCCATTTCTGACGACTTTGGTGTTATTCCACTGTACCTATAAATTCAATGCCATATTCCACCCTTCAAACCGAAACAGCCATGCAAACACAACTGTTTCACGATAGAAAAACGAATGGGACAGAGAAGTACCCAAGCAAATGACTTTGTACAAAGTCTCTCTGTAGTATGATATAAGCGTATGTGTATGTACTAACTGTCATCAGCCCCGTCTTCTGCTTCGTCGACCGTGTCTCTGGTGTCGTTGTTCTGGCCCGAGTGTGTTGATGGCGGAAGCTCTAGGTCCTCGTCAGGGGAGGGTGACGGTACGTCCTCGTCGCGACGAGGCGGCGACGGGGCCGCCGACGGCAGCCGGGGCGTCAGCTCATCCAGTTTACGTTTTAGTGCACGAACGCGAGCGCCAAAGTTCTTGTACGCCTGTTAAGTTTGTAATGACCATTTTTTATTTCGTAATTCCATCAAATCATTTCAATATGCATTAATTGATTATGAGTAACAATATTACATCGTGTTGAATATTTTTTTATAAGTTATAAAAAGATATCATCTGCTACAAAGACTTTTTTATAAGTATTTCTAACTACTAAATAGATAACAAAACACGTCAAATTAATTATAAAAATAGATTCAGGATTGTTAACAAATTCGCGTAATAAAGCCACCGAAAATTTATGTTAAGAGTAATATTTATAAGTAAGACATTTGAAATCGAATGTAAATTCACATTCAGATAAGTTCTTTCTCACTATTAAAATCTTTGTTAACATCATAAATTACGTTTTTGTTTTTTTTTTTTTAATGCTCTTAATAATGTGTTGTAAGGATATAATTAATTATTTTTTGTATATATTTCATTTCTCTAGTCACAAAAGTTAGAAAATATTACTGCTTTTACGAGAGACTAGTGTAAATACCTGTTATATTGAAAAAAATATAATTTCTGTGTATTTACATAGATACATGGAAATATCTACTCACATAAGCCACGACTTTGACTTCACCGCGTTGCGTCGAGTAGTACTGATTCGCCGATGACAATAGAGCAAGCAGCGCTTCCCTCGCTACAATCTCGCGCTGCAGCGCTTGCGTGTACCGCTCCACGCACGCTATGCCTTCATTGAGCTCCTTTTCCACATCATCCTTATGACTTCTATCTATAGAAAAAAGAAGTTTGACAAAATTACTTTTTAGAAATATTATAGCTTATAAGATGGTATTTACCTGCTAAGGTGGTTATTTTCACTTATTATAACGCAGTCGCCTACCGCCATCTTTACACTTAGGTCTTTAAAACTACGCAACGGATTTTAATGCGATTTATATCAATAGATAGAGTGATTCAAGAGGATAATAAATAAATAAAATAAATATGATAATAATTGTACAAAAAATCGGAAGAAATCAAGTTTATTAAGAACTTTAATATAAAATGCTGCTTACTCTGTTTTAAATATAACAGAAAAATGTATGGTGGGATTGTTTCTCTTTTATTGGTCTAAAAAAAGTTATGTACAGGGGGAGGCAAGTTGTTCCAATACTTAGAAGCTGTGTATTTAAAACTGCCAAGGAAGGCGGCACTATGATAGCGCAGATGGACACAGGCACGAGACGCGTTAGCCCGAACGTCGCGGGACCATACTAGTTTTTTAGCCAGATATGACAGTTTTCCATGCTTTATTATACAAAATAACAACGCGGCAAAATACAGCTGTCTTCTTGCGCCCATTTTAAGTATTTTGGCATTATTAAAAAAGAGATTAAAATGCGTACGTGGAGGTATTTTAAAACAAAATCTTGTGCAAGCGTTCTGCACACGTTGTACGAATTATTGCGTACGGACCAACAGCCGCGAACCATACACTATATTAGCATAATTTAAAAGATACGAGAATGGCAAAGTTTAATTCTTACTTTTGTTTTTAAATAATCACATATTTGGTATAAAATTTTCAGTCTGTCAGAAAGTCTTTTTATTAAGTTGTAAGAATACGACATTCAATAAGTGATTTTCGAATCACAACTGTTCATTCATTAACAATCCAAGGTTTTTTGCCTCCTTGACGCGGTCTCATTTCATTGCTAATATTAATCTGTATTATAAAACGTACATGATATGGTAACGTATCTTAAGACACCATTCCATGAACATAGCAAATTTTTTTTTTTATACAACTTAGAATGGCAAACAAGCTGACGGCTCACCTGATGGAAAGTGGTAACCGACGCCTGTAGACATAAGCAGTACCATGGACATAATAGAGTATACTGTTTCGCCCATTATACCCCCCATGCGTTGCCATTCCTGAGGACTCGGGTGTTATTCCTCTGTACCCAGTAAATTCACGCCGTATCCCACCCTTCAAAGCGAAACACAGCTATGCAAAGACAATTACTTCACGGTTGAAACACGAATGGGACAGAGGTACCCAAGCAATCGACTTTTGTACAGTCTCCCTCTGGTTTCAAATAATTTTCTAATATTAAACTCCATATAAGCACGTAGCAGTTAATATAGATAAGAGATATTCTAACTAGTTAAGACCAAAACAAACATCGTGTGCGGTTAACAGGTACACGAGTTCACTCTTCTTCCGGTGTTATTATTTCTACAACCTCTCTCGTTGGGGGGATAGGAATTGTTAGTAATGCGAATCTGCCAGCTCCATTGCTAGCAATATGCCCAACCAGGTCGACCTCCATGTGGTCCCCTTGGACATCATAGTGATGAATTCCAGGTAAAATCATCACGACAGGTTAACTGGCCTGCCTTTTCATTCTCATTTATCATCCCACACTGGTGCCACACTAGCGTGTACCATAAGGCAGGGTTACCATTCCATTAAAAAATAAAACTCCGTCAGTTATAAACCGGCTCGGGTATATTTTTTTTATCTGAAAGAATATACTTTTAGACTGATTCCATACAAATTTAATGAAAATCAATTCAAAAGTTTAATTTTTAAATCAAAATAATTGATTTAGCTACAATTGAAGTTTTTTTTTATTGTTAAATAAAATCTTAATTATAAATTAAAAGAATTCAACTGTTATGAATATTACAATAAAACTTTTTCTTACCTTTAAGACTAGCACATAACGCATCAGCATCGGACAGCTGCAAATGGCTCTCATGAATATATTTAAGCCTCAAATCTGTATCGGCTTCTAACACAGAACATTGCTTTATTTTATTCACTAGTTGCTGTGGCTGAAAAGGAATATAGTTCAGAAATTAGGTAACTATTTTTAATTTTCCAAATGGGTGGTAGAATTATTAAAAAAAAATACTATTAAAAAATGTTATAATAAAATTTACTTATAAAAATATTCTTATTCTATGTCCAACTATGTGTAACTAAAAGATATTCTAATAAGCAGGTTTTTCCTTTTTAATAAATAAACAAATTTACCCTCTTTTATAAAAATTAAAAAAATAAAAATTCAAAATATGTTTTATTACTTTTTTTAAATTGATTATAGGGCTTTAGAAACTAAACAATAGCTGAATTATATATATATAATTTTTTTTCTGCACATTCCCATGTAAATCATTGAATTAATTAATTCTTACAGGGTTTGTTAATATCTATATCTAAATAAAAACATTTGACTAGCTTTGAACAGAACAGGTGCTAAATATATTGCTCATTAATATCATACAAGCACATTCCTACTTTGGCTTTAGAAACCATAATCATCTCTCAAATCGACCCAATACAGGCCCAAGTTATTTAAACTGAAACTATTCTTAAAGTAGTTTCACATGAATTAATGACAAGCAATATCTCGTAAATAAAAAATAATTGTAATTTCTGTTTAACATTGTGAATTAATACATACATACATATCTGTCACGCCTGTCTCCCATTAGGGTAGGCAGAAACAATGGAACGCCAAATGCTTCGATTCAAACAAACCTCTTTCGCTTCTTCCACATTCATCAATCTTGTCATACACGCTCGTCGGTTACGGGTACTTTTAATTTGGCCCTTCTTCAGCACGTCGCCTATTTGGTCGACATACGTCCGTCTAGGGCGGCCCCTACCGACATCTCCATTCATTCTTGCTCGATAAATCTCTTTCGTAATTCTTCTTTCATCCATCCTCTCCAAATGACCAAACCAACGCAACATTCCTTTTTCGATTTTGGTCACTACATCGACTTTCAGTCCACACTTCTCTCTGATCACACTGTTTCTTACTCTATCTTTTAAAGTAATACCACACATACTTCTCAAAGCTCTCATCTGTACAGCATTTATCTTACTTTCATGCTTCTTCTGCCATACCCACGATTCGCTTCCATACATGAGTGTTGGTGTCAGTACTCCTTGAATTATAGCATTGTGAATTAAATTATATATTATTCTGTCCATTACTAACTCTTTTAGTAGTCTAGTGTTTTTCAACATTTTTCATGACAGGACCCCCCAGTATGAAAAAATATTTCGCGCCCCCCCCCCATTCACTTTTGTTTTTATATATTTTATAATGAAAAAAAGGCGAAGCAAAATCATCATAAAAAAACTTGACTCAAGAAAGTCTTGGGTCAAGTTAATATCTGTGTAATATACATGGATGAGGTATACAAAAACGAGATACATAGATTTTTATTTTTTTGTTAATTAAAAAATATTAACATACAAATATTCGTTATTATCATATTTTTTAAAAATCTATCTACAAAATAAAACAAAGTTATATACTAGTTTATAATTTTAGTATTTTTTGCTTTTAGGTAGTTTTTGTGACCCCCCAGGGAGGCGCGACCCACACGTTGAAAAACACTGCTATAAAGAGTCTACTGTGAGAAGTGGGACATTGCCTCCTAATGATACAAATAAGTGATTAACAGACCTGAAATTCCAGAGCATCATCATCAGTCTTTTTGATAGCGCCCGCACTAAGTAGTCCCGTGAGATCGGAAAGAAACTCATCATCATACACACCACGTTGCTCCCAGATCTTAAATATACGTAGGATCTTGGTACGAACTTTCTCATCTCTGAAAATTTTTAAACATGTGTTCATGACAAAAATAATTGTTAATATCTTCATTAAATTGAGGATATTCAGTGTTAAATTAATGTCAATAAGTTTTTTCTTTTTCACTTTCATATAGAAATTGTAGTGCCTAAAAAAAATTTTATACAGTATATCACACTGCAAAAAAATCCTTTTCACTCCTTGAATTTTAAAAATGCATATCAATAAACTGTGAACATTTAAATAATACCCTACATACAACTAGTTTTGTAACTAATCTACATTATTAACATTATTTACATATAGAATTTGCAGCAAACACTTAATGTTTTGTAAAGACAAATAGCAGCTTCGATCATTACAATGGAAATAAACATAGGTATAAATCCATGACATGTTCAGAAAATATAGTTGCAAAAACACTCATTTGTCACTTAAACTTCAAAATAAAATGATAATCTTGAGAATAAATATAAAATACATTCATTGTATTGAAAAAAAAAAACAAAAGTAAAGACTTTGCTCTACAAATACAATAACTTCAATTACTGCAAAATTAAATACTCTAAAAAAAACAAATACCCTTTTCAATTTTTTTTTTTTTAATAATAACAATCCACTGATTTGTTAGAATATGATTTAAACAAGTTGACAATAATATAATCCTATCATAGTCTGCTATTTTCATACAAGTATTTAATAATGTTATTACAATTGGCATAAGTACAAAACATTTTTGTATTATTTAATTAAATTATACATATTATATAATTAATATAATTTTAATTTTACAATATGTATAATTTAATCTTTATAACATTTTTAGTATTAGAATCTTCTTAGCAAATGTCAAAACTTTATTAGAAATTGATCACAATCACAATGATAGCAAATGTATGTTTAATAAAAATCCAAATGGTACCAAAACTAGTTAAGCTTTCTCAACCCAATTATATGTAAGTTAAACCAGTAGTTATTATAATAAAATACTACTACATATAGTCTACTTACAAAGCTTTTAACAATAAAATAAAAACTCATTAACATGACTCCACTGTAATTTAATAAAGATGTTTCATGAATACTATCATTGGATTTTGAATTGGTTACACTTTCTAATCTATTTATACTGTGATATAATCTATCAGTTTAATGCATGTCTATTGCACAAAAAGTAATTTTCCAACAAGTAAATGACTACTTGTAAGTACAGTTTCTAGCAGTACAACAAAATAAGTAAACAAACAAACATGAACAACAAAAATGAAAATTGATAGATATTAATAATAAACACAAATTAACCTGACTAGCGGAGTTGCTTTTTGTAGATTAAGGCCCCAGCTCTCCACAAACTCGTAATTCTTCCTCTTACTATACTGTATAACATCATTTGCTAGATAAAACAAAACTAATCTCTGCTCAACCTTAACCCTCTTCAATACATTTAACCAGCTTGAAACAATTTTCTTATGATGTGCCCTCTGCTTTAAGCACCAAGATGATAGTGACTGGATACTCTCCTGAGTATCCTTTAGCTGTACAAGCTTTTTTTCAAAGGTTAAAGTATTAAATTCCTCAGTTTCACCCATTGTTATCAAACTAAAATATTTTTTATTGGAGAGAATTCATGGAGCTGCTTTTTAACGAAAACTAAACTGAGTCATAGCATTTCACTTCTATACAGTACTTTAATCCCGAATATACTTGCTTATAACAAGTAAATACACATATTCATCTCACAGCACGTTTTGCTAACAAATACGCGGTCTTATGCCGCGTTATTTATAATTTCAATTTTTTTATAAATATTGTGAGTGTGGTGATTTAACGCCACTCCCTAATTGTTAAAACTCATAGTTTATAATTAATCGACGAAAATATCAGACTAATATATTATATTCGACCGATAAGATGCAAATTGCATGTAAAAGGAAGTACATTTTCCAAGACAACAACCGCCATCTTAACTAAATATTAATGAAAGTTGCCAATATCATAAAACTATTTCACATCGGAAATACTTTTCAATTCTAAATAACATTAATTTCTGCGATTGTAAAGTTAATATAATTAGACTCAACTGGGTGAACTGGCCAATAAATTAGCAATTTGGAAACACTGCATACTTAGATTGCAAAATATTTTAAAATTATTTCACAACTACTCGCAAGTAATTGCATTATATAACTAAAAATATAAATAATAATTTTTCGCAATGACTAATAATTCCACAATTAAGATCACTTACAAAATACGAACTTAATTCATAGTTTTAGTTTCTAAATTACCCTGCAGAAGCAATATCGTCATTATGATAGCCATTCGTTTTTAAATAATAAAAAAAATAACAATAAATTTTGTTTAATTTTCGACTGTTACAACCATAAATTATAAAGTATATATTTTTGATTCACAATGCTCGAGACAGAAAATATGTTAAAGGTACCCTAAGGAATTAAATAGAAGGAATAATTAAAAAAAAAACTGTAAGTAATATGGTTGCCTTCTTTTTTCTTTTGCAAATATAATTAGTAAAAAGAGGACGAAAGATACACTATCAGTTGCTATTTTTCAATTCAAAATAGACTAGTGTATAAAAAAAATGTTATACGGCTGTATAACCCTACCAAATTCAGATACAACCTGCTTACATACTTTCCATATAAACTGTGTCGAATATATGATCTAGTAGACAAATAGAAAATGTGTATGTAAAATTTTTGTTTACATTGGTATGTTAATTATTTGTCTACAAATGTAACATTACCAGATTATATATTCGACACAATTTATGTAGAAAGTATGCAAGCAGGTTGAATCTGAATTTGGTAGGGTTATACGGCCAATACGTATCAAGAGGTGAAGAGACTCGCTGAAAATCGTAGTGAGTGGCAAGAGCTCCACCGACAAGAACGCAGCTCTTAAATGGATAGATAGATAGATACGGCCAATAAAACCAAGTGACATATCATGATAAATTCGACTTATACGGAATAATTAAAAGGTAGTGCATTTTTATATGTCTATTCCTCTCTAACCCATTGGCAATGTTATAAATACGAGGAGCAACACACTATGTAAATTATGCATTCCATCTATACTATTCCGAAATCTTTGATTAAAAATAAGTAATTTTTGTCTTTTCCGATATGGCGTATCGTTTTCGATGAAGTGAAGTTCGTCAAGTTAGTATTTTAGAATAATTATTTTTGGATTTCGAAAAAATAATCAAAGATATATTATTATTTTTGTTGACATGCATGTTTTTCAATTGGACTATATTTTTTTGTGTGTTTATTAAACAATATCTTTGTTAATTATAAGCCGATTTCGATAAGTCTTTTATTAATCGAAAAGGGTATACTTGTGTATTTGTCGTATTATTTGTGTTTCGGTTTTAACATAATTTTTTTTTCAAAATATTCTGAGGTCCTGAATGTGGTAACCATCGTGTAAATATGTACAGTACTATGGACATAATAGAGTATGGAGAATACCAATCCCATTGTTAGCAATGTACCTTATCAGATCGACCTCCACGTAGTCCTCCCTGGAAACCATTGTGCTGAATTCCAGGTGTATTCATCACGATGGCCTAACTGACCTGCCTTTTCATCCTCACCTATCATCCCTCACTGGTACCCTGTCAGCGTATGCTATAAGCGCAGGCGTAGTTGCCATTTCATTATCAACAATTAAAAAAGTACGGTATATTAAATCTATATTTTCTGTTTTAGGGTATCATTCTAGATGTTCTTGTTAGCGTCTAGACAACCTGACTTTCTAATTTCCGTAATTTAGTATTTTACGAGATAAATAAGTCAGATATTAAAACCTACTAGAAGCTGTTCCCAATCTATAATCATGTAAAAATAGAAGTTTAGCTATAGAACAAAATATAGGCAGCTCAGACACGTAGAATAAAAATTATAGGTATTCTTAATCTATGGTATGATAGGTTAGACCCACAGATTAGAGACTATTCTAGACCTACTTAGTGTCTCTAAGTTGTTTTTATAAATCTTTTGTTTGACTTTTGTCTGTAACTATATAATCGCAAAAGTTTTTTTGGTTTCAACAGGTTTGCAATTTTCAGGTAGGTCTATCTCATTGCTATTCGTCCTGGAAATCATCGTGTTTGAATTATTGTTGAATTTGTCACGATGGGCTAACTGACTTGCTTCGTCCTCACCCATCTTCTGGTGCCCCGCCAATGTAGCAATAGCGCAGGCGGAGGCATCATTCCATTATTATCCATTAAAAAAGAATGGAATATACTTTTTTTTATAGGTGATAATGAAATAGTAACCCCATCCGCGCTATCTGTATACACCGGCGAGGTACCAGTGAAGGATGATAGACGAGGATGAAGCAGGTCAGTTAGCCCATCCTGACGAATTTAACTAGAATTAGCCACGATGGTTTCCAGGGCGAACCACGTGGAGGTCTACCTGACAGGGTATATTGCTAGTAATGGGGTTATTTGACCCCATTACTAACAATCCCTTTCCCCCCTAATATACTGTGTTGCCCATGATATGCGCATGAGATGCGTTACCATTCCTGAAGACTAAAGTGTTATGCCTCTGTAACCAGTAATTTCACTGCTATACTCCATCCTTCAAAACGAAACGGCCAATTGTTTCACGGCAGAAATACGAATGGGACAGAAGTACCCAAGCAAACGACTTTTGTGCAGTCTCTTTCTTACTTTATGTACATTTTAGGTATTTTTTTATAACAGAGGAGGCAAGAGAGCATGCGGTTCACCTGGTATCATGCGCATCGTAGTATACATAGTGCTGTTAATGTTTAAAAGCAACGGTTTGTTTAGATGGACCATTAGGTGGACCGTTAATTTGTTTGCTTGTTTCTAATTGTATGAAAAAATTACCTATCCAATGATATAAAAAAGAAAAAAGCAGATACGCTGAAAATGAAACCTGAAGAAAAAAACGGTATTCTAGTTGCTTTTGAGCATAATTAGTCAACGAGTCCCTTTTTTATAAAGAATAAAAAGTATAGCTAATCATATCAGAAATCTTACTCAGTTGCATTATCAACATGTCTATACAGACTGAGATTTCTGGTCGGCCTCTACGCGGTCCCTCCTGTTAACTATTTATTAAATTCGTCACTTGGGCCAACTGACCTAATTTCATTTTCATCTATCATCACATCCCATGGGGTGCCAACCCCGTCGGCGTAATAAAAAAATCAGGTCTATACACAGGAATCGTGCGAGTTGTGGTGGCTGTGGTACTGAAACTTACTGACATCCTGAACTGGTATATTGTTCAGGTCATGCTAAGGGTTAGCGCATTTATTGAGTACTAGCGACCCGCCCCGGCTTCGCACGGGTGCAATGCTGATACAAAATATACCTACCTACTACAGAATGTCCTTATAAATAACGTTTACAGCTTTTTTGTCATTAGACAATATAAACATAATAAAGTGCTATAAGGCGATGTGCGGTCTTCGACATGCTATTATATAGGCACGCGCATCCGGCCGGACCGGTGCCGCCGCACCGGTATGTGCCTGCATTTTAAATCTGTAATATCTTCAGAAATATTCATTTTAATTACATGCTGTAAAGGGCGATATTGATCTATATTAAATGCGCAATGTATTTAAGGGGCAATGTATTTACTTAATTGGTTAAAAATTAATGATGTATTGCTTAAAATCTCTTCTTAAATAAACCATTTTTTCCCGTAAAATGTAAAGGATTAAAAATGGTTATATATAATAGACATATACCATCGCGGACTTTTTTTGTTAACCTTTTTAAGGTGTACAATACTGTAGTACATTGCTTTGATTTATCTCGTGAGGTTCGGCCAGCGTTTACAATGTAAGCGCAAAAAATGTGTTTATTTACATCATCACATTAGAAACCTTTAAATTTATCAGTGTTTGTCTACAATATTATGCATGTATTATACATATAAACCTTCCTCTTAAATCACTCTATCTATTAAAAAACCGCTTTAAAATCCGTTGCGTAGTTTTAAAGATTTAAGCATACATAGGGACGGACAGACAGCGACAGCGACTTTATTTTATACTGTGTAGTGATTAATTTTTTGACATTGACTTTTAGATGTAAGCAATGAAAAGAAAAATAGTGATCTGAAAAATTGTTTAATATAACGCCCTTGATCAGCTATGATGACTTCTCTCACCATCTCTAGGAAATGTATTCTCAATTCTCTCTCTTCAATGCTGAGGATTGTGATCATCTTAATGACATGACTCCAAGCGGAACCTTTGCTTCTAATCATTCCCGTGATCAGCAAAGCGTATCAGATTGTGGAGAGAAGAGATAGTAATTAGTATCTATTAATTATCATTTTTTCGATAGAAAAAAAACGTATAGGATTGGAGGAGATCTAATTCCACGCGGTTCCTGCTGTGAATCATCGTGGCTATTATTATTGTTCAATAGGTCACGATGGGCCAACTAACCTGCTTCCATTCTCACCTATTATCCTTTACTGGCACACCACCAGCGTATACCGATAGTCCAAGCGGAGTTACCGCTCCATTATCATACACTAAAAAAAGGATACCTTCTTCTTCTTCCAACTCTTAATCCCAGCACTATTTAGGATTGAGTCTTCTTGTACAGCGGCGCTAGGACCCTCTATCCTGGATTGTTATAGGAGTAAAGTTCCGTGCTTTCATCACCTTCTCGATATGGACACCATGTAGCGAGAGATCTTCCTTTTCCCCGACGTATATCGATACCTACTTTCTTTTAGTTTGTCTGTTATTGGTGTAAGTCTGAGAGATCGTCTCACATTCTCATCGCATATTTAGTCCAAACGCCGCCAATTGCCCAAGTCTGCTGTAGACTATCTCTTACTTACTCCCTCTCCCCTACTACACTTTCCGCCTGTAACGCCATTGGATAAGCATTGTATTAGCTTTTAATATTTATGGTATAAACGATATAAAAATAAAATAACTTTAACCGAATCACGAGTGTCATCTTGTTTTAAAAATCTATAATCGGTTAATTTTTTTTTTTTATAAATATCACCGAATTTACAATGTATTGTAAAATTACAAAGTAATGGAGGCAACATTAGTCTTTCGAAATGACAACGCATGGTGTATCATTGGGATCACAGTGTAATGCGCAGTATCCTGGTAGTGTTCATATCTATAGACGACGGCTTCCACATTCCATTAGGCTGGCTATCAGCTATTTTCGATTCTGTGTTTCATATACTAATTATTCGATTATTAATTGTTTCAGGATAATTAAATCATCATGATTGACATTGTTGGAAACAACTTGGGTGAAAAGCACCGATACTTAAACGCACAAGTCCTCGCAGCAAAATTGAATAATACAGACTTTGATGATGCAGTGGCCAAGGAGGAAACTTGTGACACTGATAAATTATTTAAAATTGATTTAGCTTCGGAACATAAGAACATCAATTATATAGTTAATATACTTAAATGTGGCGATAGTCTCTATATAACGAGAGGACTTAAAAGCGTTTGGATATTCGATGATAAATATTCAAATATTGTCAACCCAGACAATTTACAGCAAAACATTTTCCCGTTTATGTCGTTGAAAATGAAAAAGAAATTTTTAACAACTACAGCAATAAATTTGCAATGTAAAAATCGAGCGGCTGCCTTCTATACTTATTGTATAAATATAAAACTAACAAACATAGCGGCCAAGTTTCTCATTTTAACGAGCGATGATTTTAAATTGGGTGTCATTCAAAAGGAGGAACCTTTCCATTCAATAACTAATCGTAGCGGCGATGATAAATATATAAAACATTTCATTGGAAATTCGTTTGAGTTGGCGCGAGCCTACTTGGAAAGTATTAAAGATTTTTTAAGAGACCCCGTTATATATACACTTCGATATTTATATTCAATATCACAAAGTGAATATTTGGACTTGTTAGAAAAATATGATTCAGGACGCAGTAGAACGTGTCGTTTTGGTTTAAGAATCAGTAAATCTATAATGCAAAAGCACAAAGATAGAGTATCAAATAATATAAAAATATATATTAATGTCGTAAACAAAAACATTTTAACCAAATATATCAATGAAAACGATTGCCGATTGTATCTCAAGTTTTTATTACCAGATTCAACGGAGAAATTTTGGAAAATGAACTATTGCAAATGTTATAAATTTATAATAGATTTTCTTCCGAATGAAGAACGTTTTGAAACTGTTAAAGTATTATTTAAAGAAAAATATAATGAGGAATTTGAGACGAAAGTAGATTTCTATCAATTACACTATTACAAACTCATGACTCCAGCGGAGCAGAACGCTTGGGCATTATATCAAATAAGTAATAACAGAGAGATCTTAGGCAATGATAATGAATATTTATGGTATAGATTTATAGACTTCAAAAACGCTTTCATTGAGATAAAAAAATATGTGATGATTACGACAGATACTAGTAGTAGATTAGATATACTAAAAGTATTAATAGAATCCGCAAAAAACCAAGATGACTTAAAGAAATTGTTCACCTATTTCTATGACAGGCATGTGAATGAATTGAATAGAATTAAAGAATCATTCTTAACAGAAGTTATAGTAAAGCATAATATATTTGAGTTTGACGACGAGTGCTGGACTGCATTCGATAAAGTATTATATAGTATGAATATATATAATATAACAACAGTGGCTAATTGTAGATCTTTACTCTTTTTAGCAACTTTAATGTATCATATTTTAAAAAAGAAAGAACTGCATGATGCTATAAAAAAATACTTAAATGATATGCGGTGGTATAGGGTATGGAGAGATATGGAAATATTGTATACAAAACTAAATTTTAGCCAACAAGAAACAATATATGAATACTTGTTACAGTGGTATACAAAAAAAGTTCAATCTATGGAGGAACAAGCAGACGATGAAAAAGTTCGTAGTTCTATACGACATTACATTGAGATAATTCTTAATATGTTAATACACCACAAAAAGACAAAAGAACAATGCCCTGATGTTGTCAGCAAGTTTGTGTATCTAGACTGGGACTATTATAAGAGCAATCCAATCTTTTATGAAAAGAGAGAAAATTTCACCGATGACAATGCATTGGTACGTCAATTGAAAAAAGACGCAAGAGTAGTTGGCGAGAGACTGGACGAAATCAAAAATGAAATATTGAAAAGTAAACGTGACTACAGGATAAATCAGTTCTTGAGGAAAGTGAAAATATATTTCTCACATGATTTAGCTAAGGATTATCTTCTTCTTCTTTTAGATATATTAAAGTCGACAGATACTTTAAATATGTTTACTGTACGTGATACTTTATATGGTATAATGCAGTTAGCGGATCAACAAACCTTGAACGATTTACTGTTGAAGTATGCTCCAACAGAGCCCAAGATAGATCACGACAAAGTTAATTCACATCTTTTGAATATTCAAATCGGAATTTGTCGATTTGCCTGTTTTGCATGTCCCCCCGTTTCCCTCTCAAATATTCGTATGTACATAAAGGGTGACTATGTTCAGTTTTGCTTGCCCATGTTCAATTATTATGCAAACAACCTTCCGCTACCACTTTGCTTGAAATTTATTGAGTCGCTACTAGATGGTCCAGTATCAGTCCATAAACACGGCTTACGATTAGCATTTTCATGCTTCAATGAAGAACAATTGAAAAGCTTAATTATAGGCGTTTGGAAAAGAAGAAAAAATGTTTCTGTAAGATTAGTTGCATACAATGCTCTGTTTAACCACATAATTAATGGTGTTGAAAGCGAACAAATGGTTCTATTCCCTGTATTAAAATCATGTACTTTAGATCTTAAAGAAGACGACCAAAATGATATATATCGTCTGATTAATTCTAATAGACTTCCGGATGTTTTTTTGAGTGAATACATAGAATGTGCTTGGCAAGCAGTCGATAAATTATCATTTGACAAAACAACAAACTTAGATCGTAAAGAAAATGTTGTTAGAAATATGATTAACAGTATTAATTTACTAAAAATAGATTTCGTCAAATCTATTATTGAGAAACATATAAATGATATGTTGTGCGAGGGTGGAATTAGAACAAAGTATAAGGAAAATGTAAGTAGCCTGCATATGGAAATTTGGAAACTTACAGCAAGTTATATCATTTATTTTGCTGACCAACAATTGCAAAAAAATTCGGATATGGCTAGTTTAATAATAAAAAAATGCATAGAATCGTGGCATTTTGTACAAGACGAAACCTACACTATACGACAGTTTTGTTCACAATTCATTGGCTTTCTTATTGAAAGACGACACGATAATAAAAGCTACGAATGTGTAGTTCCAATTTTTGAAGTGATCATAAAACATTTACAGGATTCTCTATCAGTATTTGAAATATATCTGATGGTATGGGACCTACAACTGAGTATAGCTGAAATAACAATCGTACATGCTGGTAAAAACGAATATAACACAAAAGAAACTGCTGAGGATAAGGCATTTGTAATGAAACAAACTATATTAAATTTTGCTTATAACGTTGAAAATCAAATTAAAGATAGAGTTCTCAATCGAATGTACTTTTCTTGTTTTAATAATGAGATTAAAGACAAAGTTATTTCAACACTCGGAACAATAAAAATTTGCCTTGATTACAATGACGAATCTGAGATAGAGGTTACAGATTTGCGTGTCATTTTTGCTATGGGCTTATTGCAGAACGATATGTTTGAGACGTATTTACTTGCTGCATATATATTACCGAATACCAGCGTACGTCACTGGAGTGATGATTACGAACATGTAATAAATAAAATTAGAGCTTTCGATAGTTTAGAAATCAAGAGTTATTTATATAAGAAGCTTATCAATTCTGATTTCAAAAGAAGAAGATTTATTTAAGTATAATTATATTAACAGATGATTATATTCTGATATTGACTTAAAAGTAAATGCCTATATTTATAAAATATTTAAAAAACTGCTGTGAAAAAGGAATATTTTTCTATTATAATAAACGTTTACGGAAATTCTACGATATACCTAATATTTCATTTCATTACAATTTTATATACTGTTTCGTTGTTTCTAAGTTTGAAAGTAAGTACATTTCTGTAATAATCTATATGTATAATTTTTGTTAACAACAAGTAAAAAGTTTTGAGTTCACGAGTGTTAGTTCTACCTGAATTTTATTCTTAAGTTAGGATCTGATCTCACCCCCTCTCGAATACTTGTCAGCGCCCATACTGTAATGGATGTCTCTAGTCTATATTTCAGCTGCCGCCGATGTCAGAGATGTATAGAAGATAAAATATTTACGAGGTTATAATAACTAGCTAGTTATCCTCTCTGGTCTCAGATAGTCTTAATTTTTATCGAAATCAAGAGTTATTTAAATTCAATATCGACTATCGTTGCGTCGCACTAACCTTGTATTTTTTTTTTGGTTACGACAACTTATATAACTTTTTAGTTAGGTATATCTAGTTATTTATCTAAATCGGTAACATTCTTAATATGTTATTATTCTAACAAAGGCCGTCCACTGGCGACAGGTACGCGCTTATTCATAATTATATTCGGAATCCATATTTCAATTTCCGAATCAACACGGTTCAGCATTTTCTTTTTTTTTTATTATCAAGGAAGCAGATCGAAAGTGGCTGCTGTCGTCAAAAACTGCTAACTACATAATATTGAAAAAAAAACCGCGCGCATTCCGTTCGATTTAAATTGTACCTTAGTAATATCATACATTCGGCATGAGAATATATAAAAAATCAAAGACATTATTATTTTGCGAACTTAATTTATAATCTACTCAAAAATGCAACGTTTATCAATACTTCGTATAAAAAATAATTACATAACAACGAATATTCAATCTGCTACGACACAGCTATTTAGAATGAAGCTATTCTTTACATTTATATCACCGCCACCAATACAATCCACAGTAACGAGTTTTTATATCTACAGTCCGAACAGTGATTGAAGTGTAAATTATTATAGAAGCAGAAAAAAGGTCAAAGGCGATTTTTATACTTATAAATACAGTATAATGGACGGAAAAGATACTCTGTGTCGTATAACAGCATTTGTTAAATGCGACACAGAGTCTTTATGTTCCTCTCTTCCGTGCATAATAACTATAGTTAGTAAACAGAGGTATAGATAAAATACGTATATATGTTACATTCATATAAAATTACATTAGAATTACATTATAGGTATTTTGTAAATAGAATTAATAAATTTATATGAATACGTCAAAAAATTTGAAATGACATTATAAATAAATAATCAATAATTTATTTAGTCCATCAGAGCCGGAGCCAGGCTGGCAAATATGGTCCAATAAAATGAATGAATATGGGCATTCGTTATAAAGAATGGCATTGAAAATGTTTTGGTCGGCAATATAACCAGATAGGGCCCTGATTTTCACCCATTACATCTTAAGACATTTCACCATTGCTAATATTTAAAAATATTATTAATAATAATTGACAAATTGAATAAATGCGCATAAACAACAATAAATAAAGGGATAAAGTGAAGAATCGTCAGATTTTAAAATACAATTAGATACCTAATACGAATTAAAAATATTATTTTATTATACATAATAAGAGCTGCCTTCTTACTAGTTTATGACGTAATATAACAATATCCATAAATCCTAGTCTAAAAATGTAACAAAATAAGTATATAATTAATCTAGAAATGAAGGCGATTTGAAATTAAAAATATACCCAATATTCACATTATCTTTCCATTCAAATGTTACACTTGAAACTGTTTTAAAATTAAAAAAAAAAGTAGCTTACATGGCATTTGGAGTGGAATTTGCGCAAAATATACCCAAAAATTTATGTCCAAAGTTTATTTTATTTACCCGACGTCAAGAAAGGAGGAGGTTCTCTATTCGATTGTATTTTTTGTGCTTGCTACCTCACATACTTGTGAAGACATATCAGTTTGATCCCGTATAAATTTTATCAAAATTAGTTCAGAGTTTATTTTTTATTGAAATAACTGGTTTTGCCAACATTGAAGCCGATGTTTTTTTATGAAACAAATCAAAAAATAAATTATACAAAAGAGGGCGTTATTGGGTTCAATGTGCTTTAAATGTTTTAGCCTCTAATTATATCTTTTTTTTTACATACCAATGCATAACATAATAAAACAGACAACACTACAAAATATAATTTTTCAAGTTTTCCTTTATTACTATGGTGGCAAACAAGTATACGGCTCGTCTGATGATAAACAGGTTTACCGTAACCTACAGACCCTTGTAATAATTAAACAAAACTTATTACGCCCTTTTTGAAGAACTGTTGTAGTCTTTAGAGAAAACCATACATACATATCTGTCACGTCTGTCTCCCATTAGGGTAGGCAGAAACAATGGAACGCCAAACGCTTCGATTCGAACAAACCTCTAAGGAAAACCAATTTAAATAAAAGTTATAAATGTCTCCATTTCTAGACCAATAGTGTAATCACCGATGCATGCCATAGAAAACCAAATAAATGGAAGACTTTACATTAGTTGTAATGGAAGTCTTTTGTTTCATTGTTAGATTCACAACAAAAGAATTAATTAGTTTCCCTGCCTACCTCTTAACGCAGGTAGTGCCAAGTATTATATTATCTAGACTAATATTATCTATCTATCCTGTTTAAAAGCTGCGATCTTGTCGGTGGAGCTCTTGCCACTCACTACGATTTTCAGCGAGTCTTTTCACCTCTTGATACGACACGACACCAACTCCTTCCTTGATCTGCCCGATGTAACTATGTCTCGGTCTCCCTCTTCCCCTCCTTCCTTCTATCTTACCTTCTATTATAATGTTCATAAGTTCGTCGTGTCGTATCAAGTGTCCCAACATTTTTCCCCTTCTGTCCTCAATAGTTCTAATAATTTGTCTTTTTTCCTTAACCCTAAGCAGGGCCTCCTCATTACTAATTCGATCCCTCCAGCTAATTTTCTCCATCCAAATATTATAAAGAGGAAAAATTTGTTTGTTTGTAATAGATAAATTAAAAAACTGCTTAACCGATATTAAAAATTCTTTCACGTATATAAAGTTATATTAGCAGTGAGTAAAATAGTATATATATTGTTTAATAAAAAAATAGAGATCCTTATGAAAATTTCAAATATCCAAAGTAATCTAAATTTGCTTATTAAAACTAATATAAAATACTAGCATTTTTTTTCTATGTATCTACTGATGCAAAGTTGAGGCGGATCTCTGGTTTTTGTTTAAATTTATACATAAAATATATATTTATTACCAATTTTAACTATTTGAATTTTTAATACAAAATACTAGTTAAAGTATTATTAAAGATTGAAAATTAATATCCGTAGTTTTTGACTTATATTTTATTTAGGGCATTGTTCTATGGCATGCAAAGTTAAGGACAAAGGCGTGAAGTTAATCTAACCATATTTGGAACTATTAGTTACAATATACAGTATGTTAATTAACGTAACCCATTCCTTAAAACTAGTGTTAGTATTTATTAATAGGGTCTTAATAAAAGTTTTCCTAAAACTAATTTTTAAATGAAAATTAATATTAACAAGACAAAATAAAAAAAAAATAAATACAAACTGTATCTGTAACAATGACACTAAATAATAATAGATATGATTTACAGTTGATACTACAGTACAGATTGTTTTATTTTGATTTTTTTTTTTTTAAATTTTATGGTAATATAATTTTTTTTTAGAAAATATTACTTTTTTAGGACATTACTAACATTAGTTTTAAGGAATGAGTTGCGTTAATTAACGTACTGCATAGTAAAGAGGAAACTAGTAGAAATGTTACCTTATTGGATATACTTAATTAGGAAATAAAAATAATTTGAAATATTACTTATAATATAAACAGGAAACTAGTAGAAATGTTATCTTATTATATATATTTAATTATGAAACAAAACTAGTCAGAAAGACCATTCTAACACCTAATTATGCCTGCTGCTTATATAACCTGGCAATATTGTACCATAAACTAAGAGATTTTTTTTTCTAATTTACATAACCTCCTTTCCTTGTCTATGTTAAATAGAGAAATATTTTTTATTTCAACGTATTGAGAATTAATTTTAAAACTTTTTTATTTCAACGTAATTGTAATAAAATTAGGATGTATTTTATTTTTCCTATAAAAATTTGCCCGTATTATTTATTTATTTCTTATTGCATTCCATAATGTGATTAGCAGATAACATTTCAACTTCAATTATGGACCCTGTTGGGCATTATTGGTTATATTAGTTGGTAAGTATTGGTGGTTAACTGACCACTGACCGGTGGTCATGAAAGACTAACTATGTCAAGTAGTGAATGCGTACATTTCTCCTAGTTTCTGTTAATATATTCACCTACTCTCACATAACGCGGCCAGACTTTGAAGCAAATTATATGTACACCCAATATCCGAACAGCAACTCCAAATTATTGTCACACAATTGCTTTGTATCTACGCAAAAAGCTTAAAAAAAAATTACCGTGAAACACTCGCGTGATAATGTCACTAACATCAAAAAATCTCATCGAAACATTTAAAACACTTAAAAAATCCGTCCCGTTTTAACTTACATGTTGTCCCTTTCGCGTTTATCACATGACGTCACCCGTCTTTTTACAGTCAGTACACCTCTACAATTTGTACTAATTAAAAAAAAAACATTGATTAACAATAAATTATATTATTGATTTCTATTACAATGGCCCTTATTGCTCGAACAATTGTTTCTAAATACCAACCTTACATTTCTAGTAGGAAATCGTTTTATATTTTTTTTTTTATTACACGCTACGTTAATTTTTCTTTTTATTTTAACGTAGTATGGCAGCGTCTAAATTACCTGTCGATTTTTCAAATCATTTCTCAATGTTAACCAATATTATAAAGAGGTAGTAATTAATTTTGTATTATATTTGTAATGTCATCTCGGGAAAAGAGAGGAATTAATGAGCATCAATAATTTATAGAGGTGACAATTTTTTTTTATTTGGGTTCAGCTAATAGAGATTCAATAAAAGCAATATTTAATATATTTAGGTGAAAATGGCGCATGAAATCTCCTTTTTTTTAAGATACTGAAACAGGCAATCAATCCTCACGAGATTGATTGACAAATTGCAGAATTGCAATAAGTCAGTATGAGCGAGACCTATGTTGAACAATCGACGGTGGATACATTGTAATAACGATGACGATTGTTAGCAACATTGTTATAATATTTTTGTAAACTGACAGATAATGTAAACCTGGCAACACTACAGCACAAATGTTCTTAATCCAAAATTTTTAGCCCGGATTAAAGGTAAATTACTTTTTTTGTGATGTAATCCATTCTCAATTATACCTACTATATACCCAATTTTACTCATAAATTGTAATGGGCATTGTAAAAGATATCTATAAACTCGATAATACACATACAGAATACACTAATTGTCATTTGGTACCGTTATATTGGTAGCCACTATTTAATTTATGCAACAATAAAAAACATTACGTTGTCTATGCCTATCTATGTCTATCTATGGTCTAACAGTGTGGTTTATATATCCGTGTAACAATCATTTGTAATACTAGTTAACATCGATGCTAATTCTGTTGTATGATTATCCACATATGTTTTTAATAGTTGCAAATTTCTTTTTCAATGTAGTGTATACATGATGGGTTGTGTATCAATCGACATTAAGTACGGCATTTGTTTAGTCGCGAAATTATTCTAATACTGAATTGGATTAAAAACAAGGCGGTATAAATAGTAAGGACTGATTGCTAGGTCATTTAACAACTCTATGACTCTAATTATCAGTTAACGCCTTCCTCTAATGGGCTCCATACACGATCAAACAGATTAAATCAAGCATCTTTTGGCGCCTGTAAAATAAAAGACTGAGTAGTCTCTGTTCTACAAACGACATTATAGTGCAATTCTCAAGTAGCTTGATCGTCTACGGAGCTCTTTAGAAGCTTAAAAACAAAATGAGATTAAATCGAAGTCAATATCCTTAATAATGTCACTGTTATGTATGAAAGAAGTAAGAAAACGCCAAATCTTTCATTTTGTTTTCACGATACATTATTCATTAAAGTGAACAATATGGGTTTTATTATTTCAATCAATCTCAATATGGTTTTTAAGCTTCCTTATTTTTCTTGCCTGCGCCACTTTCGGCTTTCAATCCCCACGTGTTTTACTTATGAAAACCTAATTACGTTTCACATCCTCCACTTGTATAAGTTGTTCTATCGGTATTAGTGACAGCTCTCCACCTAACATCGGTGCCGGGAGCCCCTGGAAGTACAAAAATGTATACATTTTAATAGATTATATATATCATATATACTTACAAATATCTTTATATTGTCTCTCACAGTCATATTAATAATTAAATCAAATTAATTTAACGATAATAAATCATTTTTATTTAAATAAACTTAATAATAAGCATTTTTATAGTCATTATTTTTTATAAATTCACCGCCCAGTTTGGAATGTAATTTCAGCTGAGAAGAATGGGCAAGAAACACAGCTATTGTTTTTTTTAAATAAAAGTTAAGTTTTATTACAAAAAAAATGTATGAAAGGATAAAATTACTATCACAAACATCGTATTAATAAAAGAAAATAAAAAGCTATCAAGCCACAATCAATTACAGTATTCTTGAACAGACCAGAAGCACCCTTTCACGAGTTTATATCTAAAGGGGACAGTTACTACTTTTTTTTTATACCACTGAGGTGAAAAACAAGCATACGGCCCACCTGATGGTAAGTGGTTACCGTAGTCTATGGACGCCTGCAATACCAGGGGTATTACGCGCGGGTTGCCGACCCTGAAGAAACCTCTTTACCCTCCTTTTGAAAAACCCCATGATATAGTGTCTTAGGAAAACCTCGGCAGGGAGCTCATTCCATCACTTTTCATCAGGACCGTTAACTTGTCTGTCATTCTAAGCGTCATAGAGAAAAGAGAGGCGTCAGACCATGGTGCCCTTGTCGGGCGTGTGCGGCGTGTGCGCGGGCGCCCGCGCGCCGCCGCCGCCGCCTCGCGAGCTCGCTTCAGCCCCAGCGAGAACACCGCCACCGACCGCACCCGCTTCACCAGCGCCGCCTTCGCGCGGGAACGACCTGAAGCAATATACAAACATTCACGCCATGCCGACATACACACACAACTTCCGTGTATGTCGGCTTAAAACCCAGTGACCCGAGGCTATGGCCTCCGGATAGGATGCCGGGGCAATGAGGTTCACCCCGACGCCCCTACCATTATGGCGGGTATTATGAGATGGCCAGGATGATGATGAAATATTCAAAACTAGCTGTTTGTATGTTACTTCGACACGTGAATTTCAGAAGTAGGAAAATCAAATAAATAAATCACTTCTAGATGATCCTGCAACTGCTGACTTCCTCTGCTGTTGATGCAGGTGGTAAAGGACCGTTCCTTATGACAGTCTATAGGGGAGGTTTATGTTTAACAGTGGATTGATATTAGCTTAACTAAGATGAATGATAGTATACCAGATTTGAAATTAGATTTTCGGGAACACAACCATGAAATTAGCTAACTACCTTCATTCACCACAAATATAAAATGAGACCAACACAAAACTAAAAAAAAGTTCACTCCAGAATTAGCAATGTAACGTATATCATATTGCAATAATTATTTTATAATTAAAAAAAATCGAAGCGAACGGGATTCGAACTGGCACTGCTAGGCCAGTCATATTCCATTGTACTGGTAAGTTTCACAGGATCGCAACTGAGTTCATATCTAGTGGTAATTAAATAATATAAAATTCTTTGTTATTATTATTATTTTATATCATCCATTAACTGTCCACTGCTGAACATAGGATTTCCCCATAAGGATTGTTGTAGCAGTAGTTATTATATAGTACATTTGGCTGGTGGGTTGGCAACCGCATTTACTGCTGTTGATTTTCACCATCGTACAATCCGCCATAAACTAAAATTTCATCCCAACCATCTGGACGAGTGGCGGTCCTCCACCGTGCGTTTTTAAAGGCACTTTCTCCCACGCACAACCACTCTTTGGAATCAACTTCCAGCAGCAGTATTTCCGAATCGATACGACAACATAACCTTCAAGAATAGAGCGTATTCCCTTATAAAAGGCCGGCAGCACACCTGCAATGCCGTAGGTGTTGTGGGTGACCATGGGCGGCGGTAGTCATTTACCATCAGGTGAGCCGCATGCTCGATTGCCCCCTGTGTTGTAAAAAAAAACGTTGCTGCCCATCCCTCGCCCTCCCTTAGCCGTTTCTTGTAACATTCCTCGACCATTAAGTTTTATTAGTCGCCTCTTACGACACTCACGGGAAAAGGAGGTGGCCCATTCTATACCGGGACCTCACAGCGTAAAATTTGGCCATGTCTTGCAATTGGTAAAAGCTGTAATATCTAACAAGCAGTGTTGTAAATAGAAAATAATTAAAGGACACATAAATTGCTGTTTTAATACAGTTTATCGAGAGGCGCCTTCTCGCTTTTCATTAGTCATTGTTTTATAATAAAAGCTTATGACAACAATTAATCATCCTGCAAACAGTTACTTACCCCCTTTGTCTTTAGGTTTATCGTCCTCACTAGAGGTGGCGCTAGCGTCGATTGAAGGCGACGCCGAGGGCACCGCGTTCAAGTCCGGCTCCGAACCGCCAGCGCTCACGCTACCCGACAATTCCTAAAAATAAATAATAAAATTATTTGTTTATGGAATATTTTCAGATATATAATATGTATGTTAACTATATGGATCGTTTAGAGGGAGAAGGAATAATAATTCCTTCTCCCTCTAAACGATCCATATAGTAGTAGTAATGGGGATAAGTAGCCCCATTTCTAGCAATATACTATATCAGGTCGGCCTCCTTGTGGTTTCCCCTGGAAACCATCGTGATTGATTTATTGTTAGTTAGTCACGGCGGGCTAACTGACCTGCTTCATCCTCACCTATCATCCCTCACTGGTGCCTTGCTAATGTATACCGTTAGCGCAGGCGGGGTTACCATTCCATTATCATGCATAAACAAAAAAAACCGTCGCCTATAGGGGGGAAGGGATTGTTAGGAATGCGGACTATTAGTTCCATTGCTAACAATATACCCCATCAGGTCGACCTCCACGTGGTTCCTCCTGGAAACCATCATGCTGAATTCCAGGTGTATTTATCACCTTTCAATTTACTTATCATCCCTCACTGGTGCACCGGCGGTGTATACCGATAGCGCAAGCGGAGTTACCATTCCATTATCATCCATTAAAAAAATATGGATCGTTTTCAAAGTACATATACGAATTAATAATTGTCTCCTATTTGATATCGTTTAAAACTATGAGGCTGATATATTAAAAAAAAATTACATTTGTTATTTATATATATTTATTCGTTTATATATGTAATTTTAGTATGTATGTATATCAATAATTAGTAGTACCGCATTCGAGTATTCTGACACTTTCCTATGGTTGACTGGGAGAGAATGCTCTTAGCATTAAGTCCTCCATGTACACATATTTGTACTAATGAATAAATAAATAAATAAAAATATTATTAAATCAGTGTCCTCTTTACCTTGCTTTTATGTTTATTTTTATGTATATTTTAAGTTTATATAAATATTCATTCTTTGAAAGGAACAATAGTTTTCATTCATTCGCTTTAAAAATCGAAATTTCGCCCATACAACCTATTTTTCCAACTAAAGAGGAATGGGGAAAGCGTGGAGGTTGTTTTATAATGACATGAAAATGGAATGGTAACCCTGACACGCTCGGTCTATGCTGGCTGGTCACCAGTGAGTGACGATAGATGTTAGTGTCAAGTGAAGGTCGACCTTACATGGCCTATTGTTACCATAAAACCAGTGCTAACAATTCTCTCGTACATGCATAGAGGTTGGTCCGGTAAATATTTCATATTCATCCAATAAAAACTGTAGTGTACCTGCAGGGTGGGGTTGACGAGTGGGCGGTGGTGTGCCGGCTGCGGGATGCAGTGCGCGGACCGATGCAGTGGTTCGTCGCGTAGCCCGCGCACACCCAGCAGCGACAGCGGCGCTCCACCCACCGCTTCCTATCACCGAATATTTGCTTTGACATTTTAAACTTTAGAGCATTTTAAATAAGATTTCTAATTCTTTATTACCACTGTGAATGACAAAAGTGACAGCTAATTTATATAGATAGAAAAAAATTATCACCATTTAAAGATTCCAAATTCAAATTAATTGAGCGAACGATGGAACGAACTTAAATCTAGGATACCTCGACTTATTTATAGTGTACAAAGTTAGTGAGTTCGAATCTGGAGTCTAAAAATTCTGTGGCACCTTAGTGATGGAACACCTTAAAAGAACCAAAGTTATTCGAATGACGGCGATAGTTTTTAATTAAAATAAGTTATATTTTCACATTTCAGTAATTATATAAAAATACTCAAGGGAATCCATCGAGAAAAAGGGAAATGTAAAAATTTAAACCATTTTAAACACAATCAGAATTTATTCTCCTCTTCGGTCTGTGTGAATGGACGCTTTTTTTTTATACAACTTAGAATGACAAACACGCTGACGGGCCACCTGATGGGAAGTGGTAACCGTCGCCTATAGACATGAGCAGTACCATGGACACAACAGAGTATACTGTTTCGCCCATGATCCCCCCCATGCGTTACCATTCCTGAGGACTCAGGTGTTATTCCTCTGTATACTGTAAATTCACTGCTATATCCCACTCTTCAAACCGAAACACAGCCATGCAAACACAACTGCTGCATGCCCAAGCAAACGACTTTTGTACAAAGACTCCCTCTGGTATTCTGTAATCCTGAGTTTTAAAAAGTTGTTTTTCTTTTCCTTAAATTTAAATACTTTTAGACAGTTAATATCGAGAATACTTATACATAATAATTAACTAAATAAATTTAAACTGGAAATAAATTTTATTAATATTACCTTACGCCGTATAGGCTTCGTAGGACTAACATCTTGTAACAGCTGCAGAGAGCCCGTATTCACGACAGGTTCCGTTATAGATGCCGCTTTTGGCCTGGAAATGTCCACGTTCCTATTTTGTATTGCGAGAGAAAAAGGGAGAGAGACAAAGATATAAGTATACATTAGAAAGAGAGAAGCATATTCATATTAGAAAAAAAATACAGTGCTGCGAAATATCGGTGTGAAATAGACGAATGATAATAAATGTTAACATTTACCTTTGACTTCCACTGGTGGTGTCGTGGGATTATATCAAAAAAACTATTGTTTACTCTATGGTCAGTTTAAAAGATTTATAAGTCTTGTCTATGGTGAGTAAAGATAGATTCTATACAGGGTGTAACGGTACGAGTAAATCAAACCGAGATCCAATAAGTATTCATAAAACAAAACTTTCAAGAGACTATAAGGAATGAAAGTTTTTAATACTTTTATATAAAAAGTTTTTAAAAACCCTTAAGTTTTTTTTTTTATACAACAAAGGTAGCAAAAAAGCATACAATCCGTCTGATGGTAAACGGTCACTGCAGCCTATGGACAGTTCAAATAGTAAGTAGTAGTACTTTAACGTGTATATTGGTGTTCCAATATAAAATAGTAAATGTTACTTTGCACATTTATAAGCGTTTATTATTTCCTTTTGCTTTGAGCCGCGTTAGTCGTCGATTTAAAATTTATATCTCCGTATTTATTTAATTTGCTTGGTATATAAACTTTATAAAAGTATATACAATTTTTGTATATAAACTAAATGAAAGGTCTACTAAAAAACTATATATATACTAAAATATGAAACTAAAAGCAAATTTTTGAATATTTTTTGAACGTTTACATCATATCAAATAAATATACTGGATTCTTGGTAGGAGCAATTATTTTTTGTCTTTTTTAAGATGATGAGAATTTAAAAACAAAACTACAATGTGTAAACGCAATTATGGTAAAAATAGCCAATGAGCTATAGAAATAAAATCACTCCAGCGTGTCTGCAGGTCAAGCAATGAGATTTGAGATCTTTTAAGCTTATCTTAGGAATAACTGTTATTGTAGGAAGCTATAGTTGTGTTATTGTAATTATATTTCTTATATATAGTTAATTAATTATGAATGTATGCTTCTAAATAAATAAATAACACCTTATTCGTCAAGATTTGAAACATATGAGAGGTATCACGGGCGTCACAGTATATTCTCTGTGTAGATGATGTTGTATATGTATATAGGTGACAGTTACCACTTTCCATGAGGTGGACCGTCAGCACGAAATTCATCTCTCATTGCGAGACCTCGTTTGGAAAAGATAAAAAAAAAACTACAAGTAAATTGATAAAATTTATTGCAACATAAAAATATAAACATAAAATAAATTAGTTGAAACAAGCAACATTATAATACTGACTTCACGGAATTGAAATTGATTAATAAATGTATAAATGTCTTTAACTACACACCCATCCACAATTTTACTTGTGCCAAATTAACTGAAAACAAAAAAATTAAAATAAATTAAAACCTATATAATCGGATTTTCGTCGAATGCTTGCAATGAAGTTTGTATGAATTGATTTCTTTCATTTATCATTTACACACCTAAAATACGAAAAGAAAATATAATTAAAATAATAAATATTAATTATTTCTCATATTGATCGCACTGTAGGTACACTAAGTACAAATTCCGAAGACTAAATATACTAGTAAATTGATTTACTATATAAAATTAAATTAAATTGAATTATTAAATTAAAATTAATTAAATCAGTTACACAAACATCATTGCACCAAATGGTTTATTTCAATCCGTCACAATATAATAAACACCTTGTCTTGCTCAAATATTTTACGATTTTAATATATGAAAATATATAATAGCAGAAACAAATCTCAGATACAGCTAAAATGTTATACTGTTTAGTATTAAATTAAATATTATCCTAATTGTTATACGAGTACGACTCGCCGTGTGGTCCGGGCATAGAATGGACCACTTAACGGTCCAGATATAGTAGTATAGTAGTAGTAGTAGCTGTTGCCAACTGGCCTGCGAAGCGTGGCAACTACTGGCAAAATCCCCCCATAAGGCCTATATTCATCATCATCATTTCAGCCATTATCCGTCCACTGCTGGACATAAACCTACCCGGTAGACTGCCATTAAGAACGGTCCTGAGCCACCTGCATCCACTAGTTCCCTGTAATGCATTTCAGATAGTCACTCTATCTAGTGGGGAGTTGTCCTACACTGCGTTTGCCCGTACGCGGTCGCCACTGAAGCCCATGTTCAGCAGTGGGCAATTAACGGCTGTTATGATGATGATGATGATGACGAGTACAAATTATTTTCTGTTTATAAAATTAGTATAAGTACGACGGAATTGTGACAGTCACTTTAAATGCACAAAGACCCCTTAAAAAAAATAAAGAGAAAAAAAAAATGACATCATAACTTTTCACTGGCAGAAATAATGGAACTCAAGTCAGTTAGTTCAAAAGAAGTATTATATATATAGTACTACTATTATACTATGGATATTATTTCCTAGAATAACTTATTATTGTTAAATCAACGCGCTTATGAGTGAGACGAGATGTTTAAAATTCCAGCCAACTACAGCATCATGCCTTGATATGACCATAGCGATGGCACATGCAATGATCGTTGGGCAATTACTATGCCACAGCTAACCTATAAGTCTTTAAAACTTGAGATTTCTGAGGTCGTTTTTATAATTTATATGCATACTTAAATTTATAAAAAAATTAACTACAATCATAATGAATCATATAGAACTCTTTTCTACCAGTTGTCCAACGGACAGAATTGACATAATTGTTCGAGATATACCAAAGGTGTTGGACTACTGGTTGTTATTTAATTATTTATACTGTGCCACAATTGTTTGATATTTCGACTCTATTACAATGGTCAACGAAATTAAATAGTGACAATAAATAAACGACTAAAGGTTAACTCCTTTTTTTGGAGAGGAATTGTTAGTAATGGAGAGATATGGTCTCTGTTACTAGCAATAAACCCTATCATATCGACTTTGCTCGCCTTTCTCCCTGATAATCTTTTTGGGTAATTTCTCAAGGACCAACTGATCCGCTGTCTTCCTTACTGGTGCATAGTCAGCTTATACCAATAATGCAGACGGAGTTACCATTCCATTATCGTACACTAAAAAACTGTGGTATTAATAGTACGTTTATATGACTACGCAATAAATTGTACGCCGCAACTTTCTTAATAACGTGAAAGCGTCATAAGTGAATTCATGAATTTATACGATTTTGTTCTTTATCATAAGCGACAATGTTCCTTGCTACCTTCGTAACAAGATCGAAATATCGATGCGCTCGAATAAAAACGACGATCGTAGACGGTCTTTTTTGGTTTGCTTAAAATTGCGTGCCGCGAACTGAACATTTAATGGTCTACGCAGACGTGGGACATATTGTCTGTAAACAGAATTTTTATTTGCCTCCTTTTCCTACTCTTTTAAGTATGAGACAATCCTCGATCACCTCTATGTAGATTTTAGTCTGTTTATAAAACTTTTAAGATTGCACATACTTTTAAGAGTAAACATGCACACTTTTTATACAAGAGGCTACAGTGTTGTAGTATAGTATAGTAGTATGTGTTCTACATACATGTAGTTAACATAAAAAAAAATGCGTCCGCCGACAAAATGTCCATCGTCAGCACAGGCCTGAATACAAAATATTGTAGGACAAACCTGAACGGCGGTATCTCCGGTATCTTGCCGATGTTGATGCGGCGGCGGTCGGACTTGTCTGTCCCCTTGGGGGTGGTGGGGGTCCGCGTGGGCGTGGCGGCCGCGGGGGCCGCAGGGGGTGCGGGGGATGCGGGGGTCGCGCGGGGAGTGCTGCGGGCCGACGTGCGGACGTCGTCCTGGCTCGGGCACTCAGACTGTAATACCGAAATATTATACTAATATCACAGTTTATGTAACATATATAAGACATGTTCGTCGAATGAATAACTTTGATAAACATGTCTAGACAAGATAATGCTTAATGAACTATTGTGCATTTTCGGGGCATGCAGAAAGCGTTGGACTACTGGTTATTTCTGAAGGCAGATAACTTCTACACTTCTTAGAGGTGGAAGGGAATATATCCTTTGTTAAGTTGACCACTTAACAGTCCAGAACACCAGCAGTGACCACCACAAGAAGGTAGTAGTTAAATCTTGGTACATTCGTCAATATGGGCGTTGCTACAATCTCTATCGGCACATGGACCTTTTTTAATGTTTATCTTTCAACTGTCACTAGCACCTTACCATCTCGTAAACCAATAGCGCTAACCAATAATATTGTTCCATTGTCATCTATTTAAAACTAAAAATCTTTAAGACTGTATCAATCAGTTTTTCTGTGACACACTTTACACTACTACACACTACTTGGTGCATTAATTCGTACCATAAAGGCTCAAGCATAATTTCATATATGCTTTCTCAAGAACATTCATAACTTTAGCTTGCTGAAGTGAGGCAACGTCGTAATTATCTGTCAATTTTCAAATAAAAAAATATTTAATGTTTCTTGCTGATTATTAAAAAAAAAGTTACTTACGAACTAAAATATCAACCATAGAACACGTCGCATAATAACCATCGTCACGTACCTCTGTCCCATTCGTGTTTCAAGCGTGAAGTAGTTGTGTTTGCATGGCTGTGTTTCCGTTTTAAAGGGTGGGATATGGCGTGAATTTACTGGGTACAGAGGAATAACACCTGAGTCCTCAGGAATGGCAACGCATGGAGGGTATCATGGGTGAAACAGTATGGTACTGCTCATGTCTATAGGCGACGGTTACCACTTTTCATCAGGTGGGCCGTCAGCTTGTTTGCCATTCTAAGTTGTATAAAAAAAAAATAGTTATATTTTTTCATGGCGTCAAGTGCCGATTGCTTATTTAAAATGCGTTGCATATAAATCTACCACTCAAAACTTTGCACCCGCTTCGCATTTTGCTTTGAAATTATTTTAAATAATTATTTGCCATCAAAATTCAAATTTTAAGTGACACTTGCTTTTTTGCATTGCATGCAAATTTTCATTTTGTTTTTCTCTTAAATGTAATAAAAGTGTAGCTCATTACCATAAGCGGCGCGTGTGCATTTTTGATGGCCTCCCGTCGCTGGAACTCCACTTTAGCCATCTCGGTAGCAAGCCAGCCGGGAATCTCTGGTATGGCGATGCGGAGTGCCAACACCACTATCAAGATGACGTGCTGTGGAAATAAACATATTCAAGTATTTAAATTAATATACCAATAGTCGTATTATAATATTAAATTACAATATTATAGTATTAAATATATATATATATATATATATATATATATATATATATATATATATATATATATATTAATATATATATATATTATAACATTAATTACAGATTCCTAATTTGTATATCGTATATTAAACAATATTATACGTATTTAAATATATGCCTATGTCGCTCGCTAATAAAGTAGCTTTTTATAGGTGAAAGAATATTTTAACAAACATACGAAAAATGAAATCCTCTCTTTGTCAATTACAAACAATAAATCAAACTTCTCATTGTACTATAGTTAAAAAAAAACAAATCCCCTCCCGCTGTAAATTAGAGTGGTGGCACAGTGAGACCTCTAAGGCGACGATGAGCAGCACTGTGTGCGCGGGCGCGGCGTCCGGCCACAGGCGGTGCACGGGGCCCGACAGGCCGATGAGGGCGCAGTTCACCAGCACCGCCACGCCCACCATAGCCTCCATCGCGTGCTGCACACACCGCCCACAACTTCAACGTATGCTTCAATGTCATTTCTATTATTGTTTATCGTTCTATTAATCTAATTAATATTTTTGTACTATATGAATAGCTGAAAATCAATCTAGTTTTAAGAATCAACTGGCGATAAACTGATTATGAATAAACTAAAATGACTGATGAATTTTTTTTTTTTATAATCCAAGAGAAATAAGAATATAAATAACGAGATAAGCAGTAGTAAGATGAAGATTGTTTTTTTTTTTAATGGATGATGAATGGAGTGATAACCCCGCCTGCGCTAACGGTATACGCTGGTGGGGCACCAGTGATCGTGCCCATCGTGATGAATACACCCGGAACTCAGCACGATGGTTTCCAGGGGGAACCGCGTGGAGGTCAACCTGACAGGGTATATTGCTAGCAATGGGACTGGTAGCTCGCATTACTAACGATCCCTTTCTCCTAAGTAAGATGAGTTGACATGGTGTAAGGTACGTGTAGGTTAAAGAAAAGACAAGTGGAGTACTATGGAGTGAGATTGAGTGATATGAGGTGAGGTGAGGTAAGGTGAGGTGGTACGAAGCGAGGTGGGGTGGTTCAAAGCGAGATGTGGTGGGAATTGCGTCGGTACCTGCCAGCTGCCGACGCTGGAGACGCGCTCGCCGAAGGGCCGCTGCGCGACGTGGCACAGCTTGAAGGCGTCGGCTCGCACCTCGGCCGCGTTGTTGAGCAGCGCGCACACGGCCGCCAGCGGGAACGCGGACGAGAACAGCACCACGTGGCCCAGCTGCGTCAGCATCTCCAGGTACTCCGCGAACGTGCCCTCGTACTGCGCACACATACACATACACACCACGGTCGCTTCCGACCACTACACGCTACAATAAATGTTTTGACAATTTATTGCTGCCGTATTGGCATGACATAGTTGTACTATATATGTAGGTTTTATTTACCTGTGAACGCGTCGCATTAAGTACCGATCAGAGTTTAAATATGTGTATACATCGCAACAGTTTAAAATTAACTATGGCAACAGTATCATTGTCATATTTTTACTGACATCACGTAACGCACTTTACAATTAAAAAAAAAATCGACTGACACTCCAATTGTTAGATTTTTTTGTATTAGGATTAGATTATTATTTTGAAATTAAATGTCGTTTAAAATTTTTAAGTTTGTAAAATAAACCTATCACTACACGTTTTAGGATACTGTAAGTGGGATAAGTAATTTATAAATAAATAAATATAAACCGTATTGAGTAACTAAAAGTTGAAATACCATCAAGACTAAACAGTAATAAAAATTTTAAAATCGGTTCTATATGTATATTATTTTTAACAGCTTCAAAAACAAGAATATTCTTAATTTTACTAACCTTATATATATTTTTGTTACACTAACTTAATTTTTTTATTCAACATTTAAAGCAAAGAAGCCTCCTGACAGAAAGTAGTCACTATCGCCTATAGACATGAACTAAGTTAAATAAATATCCTTTTTTATCCTATGATATGTTAACACACCAACGGTGTCACATGCATATTGCTGATTTTTAAACAAAATGTTTGTCCTTTTTGAAGAAACCTATACTGTAATCTCTGAGAAAATATTGGCAGGACGGTACACAAACAAATACACACGCTTCACTATAAATTTTTTATACTGCATTACATATTCTCACTCTCTCTTTCCCTCTCTCTCTCACCTTAAACAGCTGCGACTCCAACTCAGCCTGGTGTATGATTTTCTGTCCAACAATAGGCTCGGAGTCTCTGCGTTCGTCCTTCTCGGCGGCGCCATTAGTTAAACTGTTCTCGGGCAATTCCCCGGAGTCTGTTTTCTTCTCGAATAACTCGGCCAGCTGAGCTGACGTTGGTACTGAAATATTCTGGACATTAGAGATCTATGTGTTATGTAATGTATACATAACACATATCCCATATATCATAATTGTACCCAGATTATGTAGGATTCTGAATGCTCACAGCGATCAAATTGACATCAATTTTGGATCAATCAAGACAATCCATTGGGGGGAAAGGGATTGTTAGTGATGGAGACTAAGAATCCTATTGCTAGCAATATACCCAACCAGGTCGACATCCTCGCGGTTCTCCCTGGAAACTATCATGGTTAATTCCTGATGAATTCATCATGATGGGCTAACTGACCTGTTTTCATTCTCATCGATCACCCTTCACTGGTGCTCCGCCAGCGTATCCCGTTAGAGCAGGCGGGGTTACCATTCCATTTTCACCCACAAAAAAAAACCGAGACAATCCTATGATCATTAATATTATACAATGAAATTATTAATAAATAATTAGCTTATTTATCAGTTATGAGGCAATAAACTAAATATAAACAAATAAACATAAAAATGAAAATAATAAGGAACAACATTGGAGCAAAGCACAAGCGACCAATCCGCCCTAGTACACAATGTAAAATGAATCGTCGTGTCTAAATGTACAACGCGCGCTGCCACAGGCGCCCCCCTCCAACAGTATACCACCACTCTTGCGTTACGCTATCTAGGCCACCCTTTAACAAAGTAAAAAAAATCCTCTAATAATACTATTATTACTTACTTTTGCTTGGACTAATCGCACCGAACACATCGACGCATATCTTAGCCAATCTGAGGTTCTCTATGAGATATGGTAACGCTGATTCTTTCAGGTTGCCAATCACTTGTCTTGTTATAAGCAATACGGCTAGTTGCTGAAATAGAGAAATAATATTGAGCAATACACATTTAGTAAGTACTTATTATTTAGTAAGGTACGGAGACACGAGTCTTAGTCCTTGAGAATTACAACGTACACTTTTATACTTATTATACGTATATACAAAATTATACAGACATACGTATATATATTATACTAGCAACCCGCTCAGGCTTCGCACGTGTTAGATATATTTATATAAAAAAAAATCTAACACGGCCATTCTGAAACGTACTTTGCTGTCGAAGTATATAATATATCACAGTACAATATCTATAATACTTAATTTTTCTTATTTCTTAAGTTTAGAAAACTAATATAATTTAAAAAAATCTAAGAAACGCATAGATAGGTAGAGATAGAGATAGAGAGAGAGAGAGAGAAATTAGATAAAATGTAACCTATGTTACTAGCGAATAATGTAGTTTTTTATAGACGAAAGAATTTTTATATTTTTTAAGTTTATTAAATACATTATGTGTAGACAAAAAAATTAATCTTTTTCTTCATAATAATAATTTAGATGATTTATATGAAGTTATAAACTAGAATTATATGTGATATTAATGTCTATAGCAGACGATTGCCATTTTTCATCAGGAGAAACAATAGTTTGTCACTTCAAATTTTACATAGTAAACTATGGATAAAAATGTTTAGTTCTTGAAATACATGAAATATTTCAACGATCAAGTACTTTTTAGAACCCTAGACTGTATGTATATGTACTTATTAGTTAACACCTACCTCTTTCAATTTGTCCATATCTTGCAGATAAAACGCAATGTAGAACAAACTCATGAACGAGTTCACGAACTGAAACTGTAAATAAAACAGTCGATAATTAATTTTCTTATATGAAATTTAAAATAACATTAATACTTCACAAACTATCACTTGGAGTTTATTAATATAGTTCAACCTCATATCATCATGTCAGTGATCTAATTTCCCATTTTGAAAGAGAGAGAGAGAAAGTGAGAGAGAAAGAGAGAGAGAGAGAGAGAGAGAGAGAGAGAGAGAGAGAAAGAGAGAGAGAGAGAAAGAGAGAGAAAGAGAGAGATGGTATGGAAGAGAAAAGGAAGAGGGAAATTAAAGAGGAATAGACGAAGGAAAAGAATAACAAAAAGGAAGATATAAAGGAAAGAAATAGAGATAAGGAGAAAGAGAGACCTGTCCTCAGCAGTGAAGCCCATTATTATGTATTTAAAAATCTAAAAAATATAGGTGAACATTTTTAAAACGCCCAAGTAATATTGCAAAGATTTTTGTTACACAAAAAAAAGCCTAATATCTAATACACTATAATGTCAATGAGAATATTCTACGAGGGTATGATGCGGCTTTGATTTTCATTGTGTTTTTGCAACGATTGTAAGCATTATCATAAGGCAAAAAAAATTAAGCATGTAACTACTGACGCAATTGTAAATAATGTATTACCAAACCAGCTGTTCCCCACAGTTTGACATATTTTTTTATTAAACAGAGTTTTATATATATTTTTTATACAACTTAGAATGGCAAACAAGCTGACGGCCCACCTGATGGAAAGTGGTAACTGTCGCCTATAGACATGAGCAGTACCATGGACATAACAGAGTATACTGTTTCGCCCATGATACCCCCCATGTGTTGCCATTCCTGAGGACTCAGGTGTTATTCCTCTGTACCCAGTAAATTCACGCCATATCCCACCCTTCAAACCGAAACACAGCCATGCAAACACAACTGCTTCACGGATGAAACACAAATTATTATACTTCGAAATCCGTTCAAAAATCATAACAAACATACAAACATCTTTACTAATTTCGTATTTATAATATTAGTAGGTTGATACGAGTAGTAATCGTCGGAGATAAAAAAATCACAATTAATTATTACTTATTTTTGTAAATTGTAAGTAGATACATTTATGTTGGTGAGTAGATTGGTTACAAAATGCTCACCAAGGATATATGTTTATCGATACATAAATCATTTTGGAATGTTTATGTATAAAGGTGACATTTTGTTTCTAATTGATATTAGTTTTTTTATTTAAACGGCTGATCGAATTTAAATAAAATTCGATATACAAATACGACCATTATTCTAGATTAACATTTAGAATACTTCATATTCAGCAGTTTAAATAAAATTTGTAATTCACGTAGATTATAACAATCTTGTTTATGGTCGTATTTTTTTAAATATACTTTTTTTTTTCAAATATTAAAAAAAATAACTATTAAACATATAAGAAATATAATACTAATGCTAAAAAGAGTGAGAATAGGTAAATAAAGTAAAATACATTTAATAATTTATTAGTCTTTAAATTTAATTTTAAAATCTATAGATTTTAATTAGGTATGTTAATTTAACAAAAGACGTTATTGGTGTCGAAAAGTTTACAAGAAACATTACAAGTTCCAAGTACCAACTTGTGATTTGCAGTTACAATGAGGCGTGCTTTAATCGGTTCACTTAATTTTATAGCATAAAACAAATCCATGCAAGCTTCAACTGAAAACGCGTGCATATGCAACCAATACCGCTGTGCCTTCATTATCAGTTTCCATAGATTACCATTTATTTTTTAATCTCCGTTAATTGTCTATGACAAGCGTGTCTATGACAAAGCGTGACGGAAGCTTGGCTTTTATGGCGTTAGTTGGACAGCATTTTTTATACAAACCAATGCTATTTTCACAATCAGGTGATTCTCATACTTTGTCTCGAGACGATAGTTTTCTGTCGGATTTCAAAATCATATTATGATAGTTGGATGTCACCAGATTTTTTTAACGTGGTCCAGTCCCATTTGGTAAGCAGAAAAGAGAGAAAATAATATGCGCTATAGTAAATTTCAAGTCTACCTACACTTGAGGGTGTAATCTACATAAACTAACTAGAATTGTTTAATATTATTGCCAATTATTTAGCTATTTATAATTCAGTTTTAAATGTAGACAATACACTAAGATCTGGGTGCTAATATTCGTCTAGTAGAAGGAAATACAGGGATCAATACTATAGTCATGCAAAATGCCTAACTATAGAAGTTAGAAGTTTGTACAAGTCTATTATTGGACACACAGTTAAATCAAGAAAAAAAAAACACACTCGCACACTACACTCTGGAATTGTCACACTCTTTAATTTACCATATTATGTATTCATATTTCGTATTAGTCGACATTAAAATGTTTATTTCTACGATCCTATTTATAACTTTACCTATTAGATATTATAATACGATAAATATATATTTTTTAAATACAATATAAATTCAAACAGCAAGCTATCAAATGTAAAATAAAAAAAAAATTAAAGGGTATAATGATATTACAAACTGTGCGACCTGAATAGTAATATTAGATGCGTACTTACAAACGTATTGACCCTCAAAACAATTTTCACACAAACTCTCTCCATAAACAATAAAGACTCAAAATTAATTATAGTCTACATATTTATCATAAAAAGAAAAATAAAAAAACAAAAAACTGAAACTTTGTTTTAATCTTTGTTAATGTTAATGCAGTGTACGAGTTATCTGGGTTTAATTTGGGCTATTGTTACATGTTTATTATAATATTTTTTATAGAATAAATGTTGAAATAATAAAGAATGTATCTTCTTTAACCAATCACAGTCAATCATGCAATAAACCTACTTTAAATCAAAAGTTTTATTATTTTCTTTTGAGTTAAATTTTAATTGAAAGGGATTTTATCTCTCACTACAGTTCTTTTTTATGAATACTACAGTAATACTATTTGTCTTATGTTATTGCGTTTCTTAGCAAGATACATACATGAAAAGATGTCAAAGAACGGTATCATACTAAAACTTACATATGATAGGTACCTTGTATTCAGTGTATTATATTTTATAGTTAATGAAATTGGAGAAAAGATTTTATTATTCTTAATATATAAACATTTTGAGTTTTAAGTGGTTTCTTATTCCATTAGTAACTAAGTTGTAGAATCTTTGAGAACAATATAGTCCAATAGTGGAGTAAAATGAATAGACGACTGAAGAATGACTAATACAATTGTTAAAAATCTATGAAGAGTGGTGTAAAGTTGGTACATGATTTTCACTTGTGACTACAATCTCCACCAGAAACGAACATACAAAATAATTGTCTTACAAATAACCTTCATAATAAGTTTTAATATTTATCAACAGACTTTCTTTATTGTATACCTACATTCTTCGAGCTAGAAAGAATGGTTTGTAGGAACATTAATTTCTTGCTTATTATAATTACCTTTAGATATGATTACTAAATCGTGTGTTTGATAAATAATTGTATAAGAACTAAACAAATTTAGTCAAATTAAATCGATGTTTAATTTTCATCACCCTACATGTAACAACAGCCCATATTTCTAAAAGACATTCCAACGCAAACCTTTTACAACGCAAATTGCGTAAAACGGAACGTACCTTTATCGTTGAGCCACCTGGCTATTCTAGCGTACACTTCCTCTTCAACCCAGATTATAATAGCGAGAATAGCCCGTGGGAACCACGTGAAATATATAATGTTGCTCTCCCACCAGTCCTGTTGGAATATGGAAGATTTTTTAACTGAATACTACAAACCATCGGCCACTAGCTTGTTGGTTTATCTAATAAAAATATTAGATACTTAAATTTTCTAAATACATATGTATTATTTATTTCAAATCTTATAAGGTGGCAAAATAACGTTTGCCGGATTAACCAGTGGCACATAAGAAGGTAGGTACCTGGGCCCGCAGAAAGCCGAAGGTGGCGGCGGCGGCGACAGAGAGGCAGAGCAGCATGACGGGCAGCGACACCAGGTGGCGCCAGGCGCGCCGCCGCCACGCCGCGTACTGCGGTTCCGGCCGCCCCGTCACCGGGCTCGTGCCCATCTCGCCCTGCACACGCCTCACGCTTAGCAGCTATACACTACTCATCTATGAGTACAGCGCTCACTTAATTTACACCAACTAACACCTAGTGGTTATGTTTACCCCCATATGGGGGAAGTTTACGTTCGGCAGTGGACATTATGATACGATTGGAGGGAATGGCTTTTTAGTAATGCAGACTACCAAAGTCATTTCCAGCAATATGACAAGGAATTAGCAAATTAGGTATATTGCCAACAATGGTCCACTATTAAACAAGAGGAATAAAAAAGTCGCTTTACCAAGTTTCAAGTAACTCATGCATATAACCTTCAGTTAAATATTATGGGAACAGTACAAGTTTAATCAGTCGATTGTATGATTCGTGTAAAACAGATCTTTTAACTATTTTAATATCGTTATTTTATTACAAATATTTTGTTAGCAAAAACTCATAAATGTAAATATTGGTCAGTTAGAAAACCAGTTAGCCAAAATCTGAGCACATGTTGTGAAACATTAATAAGGTTTTATAGCAATAAGGATGATACCTGAAAAAGTGGTCGCGGCTCTACTAACAATTCGTCTCTCTGATCCAATGTTCCCCATTTGTACGCTAAAACATTTGAATACCTGAAATACAAATAATACAATAACAAAATCATATCATATGGTCAAATAACATATACAAACTTGAATGTAAAATTAAATGTACACACCTTTTCCAAGTTTCTAAATATACGCAAGCCCACAAAACGTTGAAAAGTGAGAATAATACATAAGCTATATCCTTCCAATTTTCATTTGCTGTACCCAACCATATCTGCAAAATAAAAAATGTAATAAACCTTTTATCCGGCTGGAAGGATCATAATTTCAATTAAAAAATATATTGAACTCGAATAAAATAGAAAATGAATTAAATCATACCCAAAATAGAAAACCAACAACAGCAGGCACTGTCAATGACTGGGTATAATGTCCGAGCCATGCAAAATACATCGCAATTTTAACACCAAAGTATTCACTTATTTCATCTGAAATAAAATTATATGATCAGAAATAAAAGTTTAAATGGATAGACGAATATTTAACCAATTAAAAAAATCTAAAATGCAACATCTATTCAAAATTATAAACTTATTTGTTAAGAAAAAGATGTCAAGAGTTCTAAAAAATCAAACAAACATTTTTAACTAAAATAAAGTTGATTTTTTATTGCTATAATATTTATTGAAAACTAAGTAAAATGCTAAATTTACGTAGTTTTCAAAGTATAATTCTAGTCAGAAAATGGAAAGAAAGAATATACCTAAATCATACCTCATTATAAATATGAAGTATGATTTACAGCTTTCCTTTCATGAAGTTGTATTTTTGTATAGGCCTAATTTAGATTATTTATTAACGAAAAATGCTATATTTTAATTTATTGATAAAGAATATGCAAAAATACCGACCTAATGGCTGTGGAGAAAAGAACGTCTTCACCCATTTCTTTCTCAGGCTTTCAAGGGCGTTTCTATCATGAAGAGGAAACATACTGGCGACAACCCCTCGGCTGACACAAGCCGGAACTGCAATTAAAATAAAAAATATAAATGTATAATATTCTGCTTCAATAGAACTCTATGCAAGTGTATTTTTTTTAATGGATGATAATGGAATGGTAACTCCACCCGCACTATCGGTATACACCGGTGGGGCACCAGTTAGGCATGATAGGTGAGGACTAAGCAGGTCAGTTAGCCCATCGTGACGAATTCAACAATCAACCAATCAAGGTTTCCAGGGGGAACCGCGAGGAGGTTGACCTGATAGAGTTTATTGCTAGCAATGGGATTGGTAATCCCCATTGCTAACAATCCCTTCTCCCCCTTATGCAAGGGTATTGAACGACGGGCTTTTTCCAGACAGAAAAACCTGTGACACTGTGACCTTTTCATAATCTTTTAAGCTCGCAAATGGAAAAGAGTAACAGTTTTGTTGAAATCATCACAGTAATATTCTCCAAAAATCCCAAAGTAATATGAAGTATTTGCAAAAATTTTAATGTATATTTTTATGTAATGTATGTTTATGTATGACTTACGCTTAAGTTTAAATAATCAATTAGAAACATTGAAAAATCGCAAATTGTTTTTAAATAATGACAGATAAGTTTGACAAATTATAAACTGTGTCAATAATGAAAAATATAAATTAAATTATAATAGCCATTTACCGATACTCTGTCCGGGCCGCAGCGTGAGCGCCGGCTCGAGAGCATGCTCGTCGCCGGGCTCGGCGCGAGCCGACTCGAGCACGTGTTTCACTAGAGCGCCTCGCTCCTGAGAGTTTAACAATTCCGACGCAGACGTGCCCTGGGGGAAAAAGAATACAGCTTTCAAGAAAAACTAAAAAAATATTTTAAAAGTTTGCCCTTGAATTAGCGATTTAAAGGTATTTTATTTTAAAATGTTGAAAATAAAAAGAATATTACTAAGTGAAACCAAAATTATTAGCTATGCATAAAACTAAGATTCTACCCATGATATATTTGACAGAAATTTCATGAATCGAATATTAAAAAACAGTATAAGTCGAAGATTTGGCGGGAATTATGAACAAAACAAAATAAGATTATTTCTACATTTTGAAGGTTTAAGTGAACGTTACATTTTCGAGTAATCAAAAAGAATTATATGAATTTGTACACGATCTCAGGTAACTGAGTATTAGCTTAACGATTTTCTTATTAGATCGTTTACAGTTTTTAAGAATATTGTATTAAAATAAAATTTATTTTCTTTCGTTTAAAAATAGAAAGTACCTTACATATCCTTTTTAAAGAAATCCCTATTCTTTTCACCTCTAGAGAAAAAAAAAACTAAACGAAAGCTCATTCCAAAATGAAAAAAATAAATAAATAAACACATTGGTTTCTTCATCACAGAATTCCACGAAGGTGTCATTATTCTAAAAACATACATCATTAACCTCTTAAAGAAAATGTCTCAGAGAGAATGAAACGAGATTTTTTGTAAAACAGTAATTTATGAAAGCAGCTATATTTGATACGATATTATCATAATACACCTCGCATCTGTTAAATTGTATCGTCATTATAATAACCTATTGATATTGTTCAAAAGTTTCGTAAGCACACATTATATTAAACGTTTAGTGAGACTCGTGATCGCCTCACAATCGCTCATGACTAAGGATCACGAATTGATTCCGAAATTAGTGGATCTAATTCACGTAAGTTTTTTTTTATGGTTTGCGGTACTGTATTTAAGGCATCCCGTCCTCGCTATTGGATACGGGTGACGGAATGCTTATTAAGAGGGTACATGGTGGGCGCAGTTCAGACGCAATATTTGAGGAGCATTAGGAAGGTATTACGGCCGGATACTGCAACAAAAAAAAAGAGTATGTGGTCGTCCCCCGAACTGGCGACCTCTGCTGTTTACCGGACTCGAATTCGAGAGACGACCGATCACCGGCCGTAAAAGATGACGCAGGGCGTCTATGAAAACACACTAATCATCTAGTTGCATTACACTAAAACTTGTACTTATTACATTAAAACCTATTATCCTTCATACATCATATATATACATACCTCCAGTAGAGGGATACATACATATATATCCCTCTACTGGATAATGGAAAAGTTAGAGAAAGAGATAGCCTGTTAGTGTTAGGCGGATGACGTTGAAATATGATATTAAATGTTTGTAAAAGGTAAAGTTTTATATAACATGACTAGGTATGGTACAGTATTGCGTGTATTTTGTTGTTTCGTGTATTGTAGTTGTACATAATATAAAAGGTAACAAACTTAGTACTTGTTGACACGTGAAGTCTGACACATTCAGTGCCTAATAAACAAGAAAATTTGCTATCAGATTTACATAGTCTACCTATGTGGTCCCGGCATAGAATAGACCACTCCTTCCTTTCCTGTGGGTATCGTAAAAGCCGACTCGGGCGAGGGATGGGCAGCAGCGTCACTCTTAAAACATCTCTAAAGCCTGACTGTGTTTACCAATCCGCCTGCCAAACGTGGCAACTACTGGTAAAACCCCTCCAAGGAGTTTGACCTGCATTCATTCTCACCTATCGTCTTCCACTGGTGCCCCATCGGTGTATACCAATATTAATGGCGGAGAAACCATTTTCACACATTAAAAAAAAACCCAGTTGCATAAAAAAAAACATGTGAATACTTTTCTTGGCCGCCATTTTGGCACAATGTTTCCATAATGATTAGATGAAATCAAATATATGATTAAAATTGTTGATTTCTTTTATAAGATTAAAATAAATCAGCCAATAATCTAGTGCGTGCAGCACGCGTAAGCGGGCCATTATACAGTCACAATTCGTTACTTAGCTCCCAAATGGTAGTTATTTCCGTTACGCTTTCTTCTAAGTTAAAAATACACAAAATTAAATTGCGTTTTATTTCAAAACTGTGGGCTTTCTCTTGAAATAAATACCTTTTTGTTTTATACAACTTAGAATGGCAAACAAGCTGACGGCCCACCTGATAAAAAGTGGTAACCGTCGCCTATAGACATGAGCAGTCCTTCAAACCGAAACACAGCCATGCAAACACAAGATCGAATTGAGACGTTTCGCACATTTGAATTGCTATACTAGCGACATAATACTTTTATATTGTTTTCATAGATGCATGTTAGTGTATCTATTCTTGCCAATTCCATCAGGTGGGCCGTCAGCTTGTTTGCCATTCTAAGTTGTATAAAAATATTGCAAACCGATCCCAATTCTAACCTTATTTCTAAATGGTTTTTCATGAGTGCAGAACAAAATTGTATTTTTTTTTTATACAACTTAGCAAACCAGCTGAACAAGGTAGGCCACCTTATGGACATAAGCAGTACCATGGACATAACAGAATATACTGTTGTGCCCGTGATAACCCCCATGCGTTGCTAGTCATGTCATTGGCAATAAATTAAATTGATATCGATTTTTAATTTAAGAGTAGATCTGCAGTTTTTTTTTTAATAGCAATTCCTAACAATTAGAATCTATCAATGCTATTCCCATAATATGGTCAGTGGTGAATTGAGGCCCTACAAACTCAATTTTATGACTAGTGAATCCAGTGGTAGCATAATTTGCTAGCAAAAATAAATGTTATTATTGCTAGCAACCTGTTTGTTTGTATATTGTACATAGATAAATAAATACCTTCTGGAAACAATGCATGTCTCGTACAGTGAACTCCTTATAGCCACCTCCAAACTCTGGCTTCAACAACTTCGGGAGGTGAACTTCTTCAGCAGTTTGCAAAAGCCTGTATAAATATATTGTATATTTAAGTTATAGTTTTTAATGTATCTACTTGTATTTATAATTTGAGACGACACCTATTAGGACTGAGTAAACTTAAGTATCTATTTAACTGTCCGGTGATGTAAAACACCGGTAACAAACTAAATAGTCCGGATGATGACGGTATATTACTACGAATATTACCATTTCATTTTTATCCCATTAAACATACTTGACTGCGCTATTAAGGATTAAAGTCGTCATATTTTTTTTTAATCCTAACGTGATCGACTGCAAAGATGTTCGTATGATTGGTACTCAATCACGCATAAAAGATTAAACCTATTTGAATGAAATTTGGTACACAGGTAAATTATATTGTAACTTACACGACACATTATATACTGTTTCACGCGGGCAAAGTCACGAGAAACAACCAAAAATAAATAATTTATAATGTACAATAATAGATCTATATTGTAAAGTACTAGGCAAACATAAAAATTGAGTATTACACGTCGTCGTCAGCAGTTATATAGAAGGCGGAGCATTGTGACGAGGCATGCTGTCTCACACACACACGCAGCCGCGGACGACTGCCGCGGAGTTTCTGCAGTAACCATAGCAACATGCTGTCGGGAAGGCCTGTAGGACAAGTGGAGAATGTACATTATAACTTTCAATGTCGATTCTAAAACCTTGAGTTTATCGAAACATTACATGCTAGCGATCGAGAAATATTAAAATATGGATATATACATCCATATCAGCCGTCAACCGTTCACTGTTGAAATTAGAAATTAAAACAGTAGGATATAATCATCATCATCATCATCACATCAGCCTTAACTGTTCACTGCTGAACATAGACCTTCCTCTATTGGGGGGGTTTTGCCAGTAGTTGCTACACTTGGCAGGTGGGTTGACAACCGCAGTTAGGTTTTGGAGATGTTTTGAAAGGAACGTCGCTGTCCATCACTTGACCATTAAGTTCCATACGTCGCCTTTTATGACACCCACAGGAAAGGAAGGGATGGCCCATTCTATGCCGGGACCACACGGCTGTATGGATTAATGCATAGACAGGTATCAATACAATTATGATGGAAGAAGAAAGGATTGTTAGTAATGGGGATAAGTAGCCCCATTTCTAACATTATACCTTGTCAGGTCGATCTCCTCGTAGTTCCCCCTGGAAATCATCGAGATTGATTTATTGTTAAATTCGTCATGGTGGACTAACTGACCTGCTTCTTCACCTATCATCCCTCACTGATGCCCCGCCAGTATATTACTGGGGTTACTATTCCATTATCATCCATTAAAAAACACAATTATGAAGAAAGGCATCACAATTATTTCAATCTATATGGAATTGAAGTCGTTAGCCGTACGTAAAACTAAGAATGTACCCAAGCTATACAATATATCATTAGGTCAATAATTCAAAACAACATAAAGTGTTAGGCCTCCCATAACTATTGTGATAAGTTACTATGAGAAGATCGAACGTTTGTCGTTCGAGTTTTTATCGTTTTTCAGCCCATATTCGTTAGTTGGAAATGTTCACTTCATTGGTAAAAAGAGGAATCTAATGGTTTCCCTTTCACCATATAACCCGTATATATATATATATATATATATATATATATATATATATATATATATATTGCATTTTTATTTCTACTTTTTAGGATTCCGTATCTCGAAAGGAAAAACGGAAATCTTATAGGATAAGTTTATCCGTCTGTCTGTCTGTATTTAAAATTCATTTCAAATACTCAAATTCGCAAACCCATATAGCTGTGATAAATTACTAGGTCAACGTAATCAAAAGATACAGTTATAACATATTATTATTTGAGTATAACATTGGCAAAGGAATCAAAACCTACAGGGTACTTCCCTTTAATCTAGAATCATAAAATTTGGTAAGAAGCAATTATCCAGCACATCCGTTGTAGTTACATCATAAAACAGACTTGTTTAGCTGTGTGTTTATGTTTTGATCATGCTGTGTACGCATATTTTTGGAGTGTTAGCTTGAACAAAACATTATTGTACTGTATAAATTAATGTAACCATGTTAATTCTCTGTAATGTGTACCTATCGAAATAAAATAAAAAATTGCAACAATTTTATACGAGACATTTAGTGCGCGACTCGCACTTGGCCGGTTTTTTTATACCACAAAGGCAAACAAGGATACCTACAATTTGATGGTAAACAATTACCGTATAACATCTGAGGTGCCATGTGTGTTGCTGACTCTGATATAACCATAATACTATCTTTTTGAGTAAAACAAATCATTTCCATGGCCGCAGATCGCAACTCGATTTAATACCCAAGGCTTCGGCCTACATACAACAATGGTGTTTGATAGTGTCTTGCTGTTCGCATATAAATCATTCAAACTCACCCACATATACATTACAATATTGCTAAAGAAAAAAGTTACCCGTACCAAGTAGTTCCGAAACAAATTGCAGGAAATCAGCCATTAGGGGCTATACAAATGTAATCCTGGCTCTTCCCTTTGTCGTCAATGACATGTGTTTATTGTTCTGTGTCATTAATTTCTATGCGTCGGCCAAATTCCGACCCAAATATGTAGTAACGATATGGACATTTGCCAAAACTTCATGGTTACGTTTACGTTTCCGATACACTAAAGGCAGGGCCGTATCTAGGCATTTCGCCGCTCCGTACGATCGTAATATTTGCCGCCCTTTAAAATATCTTAAATGTGTTACACATTGATGATTAGAAAAAAAAAAAGGTTCTTTATAGTTAATATTAACTTTTCCCCACAACTTCGTACGTGTAGATTTTGGAAGTATAAAAACCAATTAGCAAGTAATTTACCACTTTCAGATAAAACATCAGATTTTAAATCAAACTTCAAAAATAAACCGTATCCGCTTTGGTGTAGTAGTTGTTACAAAAATTACACAAACACAAACATTTAGTCAAATATTAACAAAATATTATTTCAAATTCTATTGCTCTTATTCAAATCTTATTAATTTAACATTTTCTTAAATCAAGTTATAATTTTATTATAAGTATATCGATATAACGTGAATGCGCGCCCTTATCCCCTTTGATTAGGCCCCGACTAGGGGAGAATGAAAGCGACATGTTTCGGAAGATGTCGATCATAAATTACGTAAATGTCCAGGTCACTTAAAAGTTTACTACTCATGCAAGTGTGCCTCTCCCTTTACTCTCTTACATCAAGTTTTTCTAGGCTGCTTTCTATAAACACGAAGATGTGACTTATCGGAGACTATGTATTGTGGTCTCCACAGTATAAAACAATTGATCATTATTTTCAAATAATCCCTTTTATAAAAAAAAAATGAATGATATTATTAGCTCTCACCAGCTATGCTCGCGGCATTAGTTCGCGATTTTTGTATTTTCCATGGGGTTAAGTTCTCAATAAGAAAAACTGTAAAAGTTGACTCATGTTATATTTATTCTCGTATTTCATGTAATCTTTATAGATTTCATCAAAATTTACCCAACAGTTCATGCACATATGTGTACAAACATTGTCTATAGTTTTATTATGTGTAAATTAATGTTTTGAAAAAAAAAAAATTACTTTATTTTCTATGTCATATAATGGTAATAAAGAATAAAATATATGTTATTATCAGAGGGTTGACATTGAGCAAGTGGGTGGTTGTAGAACCAAAAACCAAAACCTTGTGTAATATGAATAAAAATATATTAAGCCGATCTCAAATCATGATGTTTTTCATAATTTGATGAATGCACTTTAAATTATGAAAAACATTTAGAACTATTTTAATGTAAAAAATCACTTTAAAAATAAATAATTTGTCCTTCATGTCATTAAATAGTAAATTAGATAAATGTGATAGCCAATATGTATATATGATGATTATCTAATTTTGAATTTTGCCAATGTTCAAATCTGGCCCAAAGAAGAAACTTCACATGTTAATTTAGTTTCCACTGACTCTCCAGTAATGGTAAATACCATTAACAAATAAACGAACTAACATGATAGATGGCAAAAGGATTACATCCAGCCATGTTAAATTGAAATAAACTAAATTTTGTACATAAAATATAATTAAGTATTCATTTTGCTTGTGTACATATTGTTAATCTTTATAATCTTTACCATTGTTGGAATAATAAACAGTTTTTATTCATTCATAAACTCAGCGCAATGTAAACACGCAAAATGTTATATTCAGTTCAACAATAACAGTCTTCAACTTATAAAGAATTACTATTGTGATCATACTTTATACCATTACAGTGTTACATCAACAGTAACAAAAAAAAAATTTAATTAGAGCAAAGACTTACCTTTAGGAAATATCAATACAACATCAGTATGCTGAGTTGGTGTTGAGTGCAAGAGCAAACGTCTTGGATGCATCAAATGAGCGCCAAGTTGTCCAGCCATCGGGAGACGTCGACGGAGCTCTCGTCCCGCTGTCAAAGAATACATTCAAATCATAATAGGATTCATACAGAAATTTACTGAAGAATGATAACATTAGAGTACATTATATTTTCAATAATCAATTAAAATTTTTTCAACATTTAAAATTTATTATTTAAAGAGTTCCCTATTAGCACATTAAAATATTAACATAAACCTATCACTAAAAGTTTTGCAGCTATTTCACAAAATGTGATGTAGCTACAAAACAAAATTTACAAATACTATTTTACTATCAAAATCTAGATTTTTAGTGACAGCCTTTTAAGAATCTTGTTGCATAATTAACATTTTATTTTGCCAATAGAGAATGCTCTATTTTTAAAGAGTGCTTTGAACAATAATAAAAAAAATATATAAAATAGTGTAATATTTAAATTTTAACATAAACATGTAATTCCAATATTGCTACACTTTGGTAAGCTTCAAAACGAAGTCTCTTAAAATTTGCTTTTTAAATCAGCCATGCTAAGGGATAAAGAAATCTAGAAGCAATAGACACAGTCACTTTTATTTTACCAGACATTCAGAATGCAAATTTAGTTAAGAACAAGTAAAAAATATTTCGGTATTTATTAGCGTATGCATAAAAAATAACAAGACATTAGATGTTACTGCATCATTCTACTTTCTACCAATAAATTCTCTAGCCACTTATCGAGTGGAACTTAATATAATTTTACTGTATATTTTAGTGTGTACAATATTTAAATTTATTCCTAGGTAGCTAATGTGACTTGGTGTATAAATAATAAAATGCATCTACATATGTGTAAAATCAAATTATAAAATTTATTTTGAGAAAAAATGACCAGTGGGTAAATCTTATTTTATACTGGATGAGTATAGATTATTCAAAGAAAAAAAATGCTTGTAAAATGTTATAGATATTTTGTTTATGTAAAAAATAATAACAAAACTATATACCTATATCAACCAGACAAACAAATAACAGAATTATATACTGTTTTTTTAGAATGTATTAAATTAACCGTATCAGTAATCAAAACAAATCGACGTAAAATGGTGTACAAGTTCTTACCGCTGTCCAACTTATCTTTCGCAAATTCTGCGAAAGACTTGTGTTCCTGAGGTGTAGAGTGGGAACTGCTCTCATATTCATCTTTTTCATTGTTCCCCAGTGTTCCATCATCGCCCTCCATTACGAAAATATTAAATAAGCACAGAAAAACAATACAAATACACAAAACTCCAAAGAACCTTCACTTTCTTACATCATCGACCACAATAGAAAAAAAGAAAACAAACGCATACAATGAAAATATTCAAGTTAAAACAAATTGATAAACGCAGTAAACATTACACTTTAAATAATAAACTATCTCGATTAAATTATCACGTATTAGGATTTAAATTTTCTAGTAAGAATAGTCCTTTCAAAGAGACCAGCAAAAATACATACAGCTGTCAGAATTCAAAATTGATTTTTGGCCGCCATATTTTTAACTTTTTTTGTATTGGTTCGACTGATGTTGCTCATATAAAAATTATAGGATAGAGCCTAAAAAAATTAAAGCTATTGTAGTTTTAATTTAGTAGTAGTAGTTAACTAATTTTTTTTTTTTTTATATTATGGTAACGCTAATAATTCTTTAGAACCGAAACTGTAAAGTTATATCTACTTACTGAAATCCAATATTTTTTATTTTAAAAGTTAGTAGCAACTAGCGATGCACGAATTTATTAATATAACTAATAATTATTAAGTTACTTATATTATTCGAATGTATTCAAATATCAATCGAGTACTAATTTAAATCATTTATTTTGATGCTTCTACTTATCGTTAAAATCATTCATTAGCAGGCATTCATGTATGAATCGATACAAATATAGCTGAATTAAAACGATCACTCGAATGATAAAACAAATTTTCTGTGAATAGTTAATAATGTTACCGATTTATCACATTTGGTATATAGTTTTGAAAATGACTATGGTTAAACAAGCCTTTAATAACAAAAAACGCCTCTTACAGGCTAAAATAACAAAAGATATTAGAAAACGGTTTATCGAGGCTTATATCTGGAGCAGATATATCCATATATTGTATGGATGTAAAACGTAGATACTAACTCTGAAGGAAATAAATAAACTTAGAGTCTGGAATGTGGTGCTGGAAAAGGATGGAGAAAATGTCGTTTTTGATCGTCTATTCACTATCTATTCTTAAAGTGTGGCTAAAGTAAAGGGCGAAGCATTAAATATGCTATCGATGACAGATTATTATTTTAAATCCTTTATTGAATATTTAATGTTAATGTATTTTTGTGATTCCATTTATGTAATATATATAATGTAATGTATGTAAATGTTAAATACACACCCTAGTTTTATCTGTTAAGTAGTTATAACTATTTAAAACAAATGTTTTATTTTCATTCATATTCATTTAGATCGAATTACTAATAATAGTGAAGTCAATCGAACACAAAAATTAGTATATTACTAATTTAGTAGACAAATTGTAAAATTAATCATTACTAATTAATAGAATAACAAAATAAATCGAATTCACGTATCGTTACTAGCAACATTATAAAAGTCGTTTGAATACATTTCTAGACGAGAATTTGAAAAATCTTTTATAATAGATAAATTTGTGTTATACTCCACGAGTACTTATCGATTTCTATGCAAATTAGTAGAAGAAGTTAAATACAATTTTTAGCTTAATTAATTTTTTTAAATTTATTTTCTTAATCTGTTTGTTATCATATATTATTAATACATAACAAGAGTATAAGTAATTACTATCTCTGATGATTTCCGAACGTCCATACTTCAATCAAGTCAAGTTTCGTTATTTTGCGCGATAATATTTTACCAGTGACAATGAACGTTTAAATTAAAAATCGTATCCACTTTCTCTCATTAATTAGTAAGTGTTGCAAAGAGTCTTTTGGCTTCCTTGCAAGGTGGAAAAGCCTTGACGTTCGAACACATCAACAGATTACAAGGTGAATAGAAATATCGTTTGACCTTTCTTTGTACTGTTTCGTCGCAATAACACTTTTTTACATTAAAATCTATAATTTACTTTTCATATTGAGTTAAATCTCCTCAGAAAACTTCCGGTACGTGATTATGTAGCTGGCAGTGGAATTTTAAGTTAGATTTTATAAGGTTTATAGCCAGTTTTTCTATTGTAACCCACTTTCTCGATAAAAAAAATAGTAACAGCTGTTTTTTCGTCACACCTATAATCGAACAGCTGTTTACAGTGTATTTGTTACGTCGATCGTAGTGAAAAATTTGAGCACCATGCCTAATATTAATTATTTCAACAATTGATACATAATTAGTTATTTAAAATATAATAGAAGGTAGTAAAAATTTATTTTCGTAAAACTATATTAATTTAGTTACTGGTGAAATAAAATATTTCGTCATTTTAAGTATGTGATATTTTTGAAGGTCGTGTAAAAATAAAAATTTTTAAAAGACTATTTAAATTTGTAATATTTTTTATTTAGATTATGTAATTTTAATTAAATTATTTTAATATAAAAAAAAATGCTATCAAAGTGTGTAAGTATGAAATTGTAATTGAAAGTGATTTTATAAGTATTTAAAAATATATTAAATAAATGAATTAAAAATAGATTATGTATTGATTTAATATTATTTATAGGTGTGGTCATATTCATGTATTTTTTTTTTTTTTACTTATATTACTTCATCAATTCTACATAATTTTTAATGACCTTTGCAAGAAAACCTAGTTTTCTTTTGCTGGCACTATATTATTATGCAGTGTACTCAATAGTGTCCAGTGTTGTACATGCTTGTAGAAAACTATTACTATTCATCAGGTGGGTCATTTTTTGTTTGAAATTCTAAGTAGCAAAAACCTAATTGTGTAGTAGCATGGGTAATATGTACACCACTCTAATATCTATATATCGGGTTCCTTTAGGCTTCAATTAATATAAAAATGTTATCACTTGTTTCAGTATTGCCCATACCTGTCAGATATTTATATTAATTTTAACCATGTTCTTCATTTCAATGTTATAATATTGGGTATATTAAATATATGTTCATTATTAGGCCAATATTACAATTATTGTAATGACAATTACAATGTTGTAACAACAGGATTCTATATCCTGTAGTCATTGCTATGTATGATTCACTTCTGTTGTGTAAGAACCTATATTTTCTTACTCTATTTTGTTAGAATAAAATCCTAAATTATAATATGAGACTTCAAAAAGGACTTCTCATTTAACTTATTATTTATTGTGCTTAGATATGTAATAGACAAAAACGTTTCTGTCTATCCAAATTGGAGACAGGTGTGACATATGTTTGTATATGTAATAACTTTGCTAATTCTGATCTGTTCTTAATAATTCTTTTTACCGCTTATAGTATAACAGTAAATAAGACTGCCTACTTGATGGAAAGTAGGAACCGTCACTTATAGACATGGACAGTACATTGTATTTTTCACACATTCTTACTAAGATATATAGATGAGAGATTAGAGTCATATAACAGTAAGTGTAAGGAAGTCTACAGCATAGTAACATTGCTCTGTCATGTCATGTACATTGGATAGTTGGACCACTGAGAGGGAAGAGTTTTTTTTTTTTTATTATTATAATGCTTAGAATGGTAAACAAACTAATGGCCCACTTGATGAAAATTGGTAACTGTGGTCTGTAGACATGAACAGCACACACTCAAATAAGCTGACAGTCTACCTGATGGAAAGTGGTAACTGTTGCCTACAGACATACAATAATTTATAAGCACTACCATGGACATAACAGAGTATACTGTTTTTTAGACTGTGGTTGTATTTCATAGATGTCGCAATGGGGCAGCTTGCCGCTTCTTCCTCTGAGATGCATACTAGACCACCTCAGTTTGGAGGATGCCCTCGCGGCCATGTCTACATGCCACCATTGGCGCGCAGCTGTTTTATTATATGAGGGACACAAGTAAGTGATTATTGCCATTTAGGTCCTGGCATAGAATAGGCCACCCATTCCTTTCCCATGGGTGTTGTGAGAGGCGACTAAGGGTGCTCATGATAAAAGGATGGGCAGCAGCATCTCTTTTAATACATTACTAAAAGCCAAACTTCTGTTGCCATCTCGCTTGCCAAATATGGTAACTACTGGCAAAATCTCCCTTATGGGGGAGGTTATATTCAGCAGTGGACAGTTAACAGTTACTACAGATATTACAACAACATAAACTTATTTCCATACAAAATATATAGTGCAAAAGGCAGGCTTCAATTCTGAAGATAAGCTTCTCCATAGACTGCTAAAAGGAATGGTCCTGATTACGGCTGGCCTTAGATTCATTACAACTTTTCCTCATGACGTAAATATAAGACAGGGTCACCAGTCACTGAGACCGAGAGGGCGACTAGGCAAATTTTCAACGGTTCCCGGTGCCCTCTGGTAACAAAAAAAAGAACATTATTAGGGATCCGTGCTATTCATCGTAACATCGAATTGGATTTGATCTTATGACACGATAGTTCCTATGGCCTTTCTCAAACCTTCACCGGGCAAGCTGTTCAACCAGACTTCTAAGACTACTGGTCCTGTATTACCCATATACATTGACTCTTATTTCTCTTTTTGAAATTTAATAACTTTTGGCTTATCAACTTAATTATGTGACTTATGTATTAACAAATTCGAATGGAGCTATTTCTAAAAGATCTTACTAACCGTATTAACTACTTATTTGTATATTTTTAGACAGTGAGATGGACGTATAAAAAACATTTAAATCGTAAGACACCACGTCTGATTCATTGTCTAAAATCCAACCACATACCTCACGCATGAGATCAAGTGTTAACGTATTTAAAAATGAAATATCGTAGACTTCAATTCATTGTGGCGTACATACATAACTTTTTAGGAGAAAAAGAAAAACATTTTGTGGAATGTGCCAGTATCAAAGCAAATTTGTATGTAGCCATAAAAAGTAGTACGATATTAACTCTTAGCGGCTAGACATAGGTTCCGAAACAAAGTGTAGTACTTTTTTACGCCAGTCGAAAAAATCGAATATATAATATAATAAAAAGTCAAATATGGATATATCCATAATATATACGGCCCCTTAAAAAAATCATGAGCATTGATTTCTTTTTCTTTTTCTTTCTGCTCATGGAGATGGGAATAACTTACATCTTTGATTAAAGGTCGTTGTTGCCAGAAGTATGACTCTCGTAGCTTTGAAATCTTCAAATTTTTTTGTTTCTGATTGTAGTATATAATCATCCCTTCTTTTCCCGTGGGTGTCGTAAAAGGTGACTAAGATAAGTTAATGGTTGAGGGAAGGGAACAGCATACCTCTTAAAACATATCCAACAAAGCCTAACTGCATTTGTGAACCCGCCTGCCAAGCGTGGAACTACTAGAAAAACTACTACTACTGGAAAAACTCCCCCAATAGAGGGAGGCCAATGATGATGATGATCTTTAAGGGTTAAGTTAAACAGTAATAATAAACTAGTAATTGTATGTTTATGTGGAAAATAATTTTTGCTTGTGTGTATCAAATCTGCCCTCCTAGACAAGGTGCAAACGAATCTATTGATAGAATAGATATAGCTAGCAAGTCCCTGAGATAGAATGAGACGGCGACGTGCGCTATCATGTTCTTTCATATGTGAGCACTGACCTAAACGATTCTATAAATAGATTCGTTTGCAAAATGTCTAGGTGAACTACATCGTCAACGTTAAAACAACACAACATCTTTATAATTTCTATATATTTTCAGAGAGACATTGAAGCTAAGAGCGAAACAACTAGACAAGAATGTGTTCCTGACCCGTATGTTCAGAAAATACGTAAAGAGGTTGCACATCTATATAGACTGCAATGAGGGGCAGCTAAACAAATTCATCACGTTCATATTGCCACAGTGAGTCTTGTAACTTTAAGGCTTTTTTTGTAATCATAATTTTTGTAATTGTTTTTTTACCACAGGGAGACTTTACAAAAGTCGTTTGCTTGGGCATCTCTGTCTCATACGTGTTTCTGCCGCTGAGCAGTCGTGTTTACATGGCTGTGTTTCGGTTTGAATGATGGGATATACCAATGAATTTACAAGGTATAGAGAAATAACACCTTAGTCCTCAGGAACGGCAACGCATGGAGGGTATCATGTGCGTAACAGTATACTCTGTTATGTCCATGGTACTGCTTATGTCTATAGGCGATGGTTACCACTTTCTATCAGGTGGGCCATCAGCTTGTATGCCATTTTATGTTGCGTAGAAAAAATCTATAGTAATTTTTTTTATTTTATTTTATACAAAAATCCACAGCTCTTAAAAAATAACTTACATGCTAAGTCTCTTATGAATACAGCCAATAACGGATTTTACTTATACAAACAAAAATTTTGATTCCGTAGCGAGGTAGGCAAGTTAGAGTGGGTGTATGCAAGTAATATAAGCACATGTATGAAAGGAACCATATATTAAAAATACTAGGTTTTACCCGCGACTTTGTCCGGGTGACCGAATATGTTCATTGTTGGAATAAAAAGTAGTCGTGCTCAAATTAAAATTTAATTTATCCTTTTTGAAATAGTCTTGTTTACAAGCACTTTCAAAACCGTCTTTTTTTTTCTTAATTTACTGAAGGTTTCGTAAAGTTGCTCCATGCCCTTCTTCCTCTCATAGAATACGTGTTATAGGTAAACCGTTAAGGCGCTAAGAGGTAATAAATAAATAAAATAACTTTTACTTCACACACATTATTAATAACAATATTATTATAAGGTCGATTGGTGAACAATGCTATTATTATTAAATCCGCTTTTTGTGCCATATTTTTTTTTGGGTCATGAAATTTAAATAAATAAATAAATATTAGTGAGGGAAATTTAAATAAATAAAGTGAAAAATTTTGTTAATTTGTGTAAACACGCTAATCTCTGAGATTACGAGTAGCCTTTGAAATTTTTTTTTGTATTTGTTAGCTTTTTCTTGAGGAAGGGTTATAGGCTATTCAACATCACAATACGACCTCGAGCCAAGTCGCGGGATTCAGTTAATATTACAATAAGCTAGCTAGATGGTTTTGCCATTGAGAAGCCAGTGATATTGACACTATTGTCAAGCCTTTATAGTAGTCAATTGTGGTATAGTTGTACAAGTGGAGCTCGTAACACTGCGTGTGAAGTAAAATAACGTATATTTGGCTATGCATAACAAGTTCTGATGGCCTATTGCATCTGTAATGTTCATCGAAAACAGATTTAATTAAATTTAAACAGGATTAATGATTTATTTGCAATTTTTCCTAGGTGTAAAGCAAAAAATAAAAAATATGAAAATAATTAATTTGATTGTTAAGGCAGTATTCCTTACAACATACTTGATGATGACTAAAGAATTTATATAGATTTTTTTTATACAACTTAGAATGGCAAACAAGCTGACGGCCCACCTGATGGAAAGTCGTAACCGTCGCCTATAGATATGAGCAGTACCATGGACATAACAGAGTATACTGTTTAGCCCATGATACCCTCCATGCGTTGCCATTCCTGAGGACTCAGGTATTATTCCTCTGTACTCAGTAAATTCACGCCCACCCTTCAAGCCGAAATACAGCCATGCAAACACACGTAGCTACATAATTAAAGACTCTGGGCAAAAAAATAAACCAGTTTAAGAATACAGGGGAGTTCCCCGCAAGTTTCAAACAAATATGTTCGAAATTTGTTGGGAATTTCCCCGTATTTTTTCAAATAACTTGCCATTATAAAAGTCGCATTCTTGGAATTTGGTTTATTTATATTCCGATGTGTATTATATGTGGGAGAAATTTTCACTAGTTCAATTTATAGTTTTTAAGTCAGATTCGGAGGGGTCCCCTGAGTTTGGGGGCTTGGGCACTGGTCCGTCTAGCCCTCCGGTAGCTACGCCACTGATATCAATCTTTCTTAAATTTGATTGATTGTTTGTTAATGGATAAACTTAAAAATTACTCAACCGATTTTAAAAATCCTTTCACTTATAGGTATAGCTTCCTATGAAAGAATCCTTCTTTCCTTCTGCATATTATCAGCGGGTAACATGGGGCATATATTATTTTTGAATATTCTATCTACTCATGCAAAGGCAGGCCATCAAACATCTATCGCTAGTATAAAATACATAAATCTACATATGTCTAACCCTTATTAACAAATCGACATATTGAACTACTGTATTGCCATGGCAAATTCGCTTCCGTATGTACACGTCAAGGTTAGTAACAAAATGTTTGTTCAATACAGTTTGTTTTTTAATCGTTTATGGTGAATGATGCAATGTATGATGCAATAATAACAGTAGATTATATTATAATTTCAAAATCTAATTCAAATTCGAAATCGGGCTTATATTTTCGTCTTTTTTTTTATACAACTTAGAATGCCAAACAAGCTGACGGCCTACCTGATGGAAAGTGGTAACCGTCGCCTATAGACATGAGCAGTACCATGGACATAACAGAAGACTGTTTCGCCCATGATACCCCCCATGTGTTGCCATTCCTGAGGACTCAAGTGTTATTCCTCTGTACCTACACTGTAAATTCACGCCATATCCCACCCTTCAAACCGAAACACAGCCATGCAAACACAACTGCTTCACGGTTAAAACACGAATAGGACAGAGGTACCCAAGCAATCGACTTTTGTACAAAGTCTCCACTATAAAAAAAGTGAACCAGCTCTTACTTTTTTTTACAATTATATACATAAATACATTAAATGTTGATAAAATATGTGGTAGTTATGTAATTGGATATTGTAGATTGGGCACGCTTGTTCATTGTAATTCTTATCATAATTTTAGAAATTGTAAATACCAATTCACAGAAATGAATGGTTTCACTTACAATTGATAAAACTAAAACGTCAACGGGTTCTTTATGCAATATATCACGCGATTAGTCACGATAACTGAAACGTTTATTATTTTATTATGTAACTAGCTTTTACTCGCGACTTCGTCTGTGTGACCGGTATAGGATAAAAAAGTAGCCTATAATCTTCTCCATCCCATATAATACATGTATATTATTATTAATTTTTTTTTATTAACCAATGTAACAATTTTCGTCACACAATGGCAAGTCAATATTTACATTATAATTTTGAAATTAATACAATAAATAATAACAATGAGATAATAACATTTTATTGAGATAATAATATTTATTATTTATTTATTTTAAAAAACCAACAATGGTTTACAAATAAAATTAACAAATATTTTCTAACAAAGTTAAAGGCCAATAACAGGTTTTTCTAAATTAATTTCGTAGGTTATGTAGTCGACAATTGTTGAAGGAAAAGCAGAAAAGTTAAACAAATCAAATAGGTAGGCAATCGTTGAAGTCACAATAATATTTTTACACATATGCAACAGATATATACATTCAATAATAAATATATACATATGTACCAATACACAAATATACGCATACATATACAATAAATTATAAAATAAAAATAACATTTTAAATTAGTTACTACATGTCAATATGATGGGAACTATATGCCAATAATGATGACTTCAAGTTATAAAATTGGAATTGTCACATTTCTAATAATTAAATATAAATAAATAATAATATGTCATAATTTAATATTGGCATTTAGGTATTCGGTCACGTTGTAAAAAGGATGTTGTTCAAAATATGTCTTTATTTTATTTTTAAATTCATTTCTCGGCAATTGTGTTACTGTATTGGGTAATTTATTATACATTTTTATTTTGCATGTATATCAAATTTCATAGCAATTGGTTAAGGCGTTAAGACGCTATTAAGTAACTTTTTGCGTCCATTTTCTTCCCGCTGTCTTGCGGAAGTCGTCAGTCCATCTAAAGGGAGGTCGGCCCATGGGTCGTTTTCCTTACTCGATCACCATTTTTCTCCCACATCTGCCGTCCCTTACTCGATTGATGAGAATGGACCACATTAGGTTGTGGACTTCGAAGGCTATGTCGACCACTTTGGTTCTCCGTTAGAGCTCTTTATTTCGGATCTTATCTCTCAAAAAGATACAGAGCTTAACTCTCTCCATAACTCACTGTGTGTGGCTTTTAGTTTATGAAACAGCCCAGCGTTATTAAAATTAGTATATTATAATGAATAGTTTGAATTTGAAGCATTAAATTTTTTTTTTGATGGGTGAAAATGGTATGGTAACCCTGCCTGCGCTAACGGGATACGCTGGCGGAGCACCGGTGAAGGGTGATAGATGAGAAAGAAAACAGGCCAGTTAGCCCATCATGATAAATTCATCAGGAATTAACCATGATAGTTACCAGGGGGAACCGCGAGGCCTTGACCTGATTCGTTCAGAATTTATTTTCATGGCAATTTAATGGTAAAAAGTTTGAAGCGACAGCTTACTGATTAGTTCAGAATTTATTTTTATGGTAATTTAATAGTAAGTAGTTGTAAATTTTGAAGCAAATAATTTTGATTTTATTCTATAAATAAATTGTAATTTTTTTTTTGTTTCAGATTCTTTGACGCTGTGAAACTACAAGAGATAATATTCATAGGCCCAAGTTATATACAACAAAATCACAGAATTTCCCTCGTTAAGTTAAAACGGTGAGACATCATTTATGCATCTTTTATAATTTCGACGACAATGCCGTTGATATATAAAAAACTTAAGTACACAATCAAAGATTAAAATTGTTTTTAAAAAAATATGCACGTAATTTTTTTTATTTACGATAAGTAATCGACTTGGAAATTGTTTTAGGATAATAACAGAGAGCCTGATCTTCAAGCACCTTCAGACGATACAGAGGTTGGGATTCATGGGCTGTGGCATGGGTGCAGTCAAAAATGACGATGAAAGATACACGGTAAGTAATATAACCATTACTAACATTATAAATGGGGGAGGGGGAAGGGATTGTTAGCAATGGAGTTTGACAGCCCCATTGCTAGCAATACTAGTAATATTAGTATTAGGTCGACCTCCACGTGGTTCCCCTTGGAAACCATCGTGAACTATTCTTGTTGAATTCGTCACGTCACGATGGGCTAACTGACCAACTTCATCCTCACCTATCATCCTTCACTGGTGCCCCGCCGGTGTATACCGATAGCGCGGGTGGGGTTGCCATTCCATTGTCGTCCATTAAAAAAAAAACATTATAAATGTAAAAATAAGTTTGTTTGTTGGTTGTTATACCTCACGGCAGCGTCAGCTCAACCAATTGTCATAAAATATGGAATACACGTAATGTTTTAATGGAGAAGTACATAGCTTCTTTTTTATAGGTCAATTAATATATGATTAAAATTTTTATGTTTGAAAATTTTCATGGTTCTTTTATTACTCTAAATATATATATAGCGTTCCATAGACATTTGTTCTTTGTGACGTGTTTTTTCTACATTTTTTTTATTATGAAAATAAAACAATGATCTTATTGGTGGGGTACCAACGAGAAATGATAGACGAAAATGACATTAAGTTATTTGATCCATCGTAATGAATTTAAATGGTTACCAGTTAGGAATAGAATAGAATAGAATAGAAATCATTTATTCAAATAAACTTACATTGAAGCACTTTTGAAAAGTCATTACATTTTTTTAATTTACCGCTCGTTCGGAAAGCTGTCTCATCACAAGAAGAACGAGCAAGAAACTTGCGTGAAACTCTTTTAAATAATTTTATTATTATTTTACATTTTTAAGTTTAATTGTGTGAATACAAACCACCAATTAGCACTAATTCAATTAAATACTCAAAAAGAGAAAAAAAAAATTGAATACATAACCAACTGGTTAAACAATTAATAAGAGGAAATCAGTCATAGTGATTAGAGCAGACCAGTCCCTACAAGCAGCACCCGTTCACGAGTATGACGGATGAGCCAGCCATCACTGCGCTCGACCATATTTTAGGGAGCCCAATGACCCGGCCCACCACGCCGCCACAAGTCTGGACATTTTAGTGAGCATGACTACTCAAAACACTAGACCACGTCAAAGCTACTCACAATTGCCATCTGATAGTTATAGTATTCACATTTTACATAAGAATGCATGCGGCAATTAATACAAAAAACCGCTACGCTTTAGGATCGCGTGGAGGTCGATCTGACAGAAAACACAATTAATAAGGACGCCAGCACCATTTCTATTTTTTCTACATTTTATTTGTGTTAATAAATTATTATTTTTATAACATTTCCAGCATAGACTCGTGGAATACTATTCTAGGCCGTTACTATCCAACAATGAGTCATCTTCCGCCGACGCTATCTTCTCTAGCTGCAACGCCAATATTATGGCATTTTCTACATTAAAAGTGAGTTGAATACACTATCTTTCTTGCGTAAAACTTTTAGATTTTTTTTTATGTTTTTCTATATTAACTGTGAATATAGCATTGTTGTAAAGTTAGTATGTAGTACGTACCCCTTCCTTTACCGTCGCTGTCGTTAGAGGCGACTATCCTAGTCCCCTAACCTAATGGACGAGAGATGGACTGCGTGGCAACTGTTGGCAAAATTCCTCTATGGGGGAGGCCTATGTTCAGCAATAGATAGTTCACGGCTGATACGATATGACGTCTCTTATGCATTGAGAATTATTCAAGAAGAGGTTATTTATTCGTACTGTGTAATTTCACAGTCATGTTACATTCTTCAAACCATAGATAGACGTACTTTAAAACTATTGTGATTATTTTCAATCTGCTTTAAAAAGAAGGAAGTTCTCAATTCGGTTATTTTTTTTTTATTACCTCATAACTTTTTCAGTTGTAAACTAATTTGAAAAAAATCTTTTTATTTCTGATAGTTACAATAGTAATAGAACAAAGTGAGATACATTTATTGTAAAGACCACCGGAATAGGGAGTCTGGTAGGTGTTTATATTCGTATTTAGGATTTTGAATGTTGTATATGTATTCGGCAGCACATTATAGTGGATTGCGAGGAGCTGGGCGATTCGCTGCAGTGGGTGGCGGCGTTGCCGGCGCTGGCGCACCTCACGCTCAACGTCACGGGCCGCCGCCCGTTGCGCCCTCTGTGCCCGCCGCCGCAGACTCACCGCCATCTATCTATCGGCGTCAACATTGTTAGTCGCACTCCCCACTCATATTGTTCATGCTCAAATCAAACTTTGTAAACAGATCTGGATATTTATTTATTTATTTGTTTAATCGAATTATTAATTTAAATAATTATTTAAGCAAGCCTGAAAGTTTCCCAATATACTTACCTAGGAAAGTATTATATATGAACAGATTGGCGCCTGCCAAACGTGGCAACTACTGAGAAAACCATGCTGTTTGTGTTCGTATGAAACAATAAATAAATAAGTTACTTAACAACATATTTTGTTTCAGATCGCCCTGCCATATAAAAGGTTTGAAGAAGTGATAGAGAATGTTCTAGTCGATGGAATAGAGTTAACGTCGTTGAAAGTTATGTTTTGCAAAACTGTAAGTATACTTTATTGTTAATTTTATCATTGGTCTTATTTTTTTTTAATATTCAAAGTATAAATGACCATAGACAATGACCAAAAGAATTGATGAATCGTCTATAACATATAGTTCTAAGTTCATATCTTTTTAATGTTATGGTATTTAAATTATCAATCAAGCTGTTAACGCATTTGATAAAAAATGATAAATATCATCTATAGATGTCATCAGCACCACAAAAATCACATGATGCCCATTGTACTTCTAAGGTGTTGCCATTCTTGAGATTTACGCCCTGTAATGTTACTGGTATGAGAGGAGGGCAGCGACATTAATAAAATAATAATATAGAGGCTTACCAGTATAATTCCTTTTAGACAAGCACAATACAACAATATGTCAATCAAGACAAAAAAACAAAATAGGTATCAAAAAGACATATTCAAAATATAAAAATATAAATCTAAAAAGGTAAACTTATATAAAAAGAGGTCTGTCGCCAACAGGTATATTTCATTTTTAAACCAATAATTATACAATACAATACAGTAGCACGAGTGAGTAAGAAATATATAATAGGTGAAAATGGAATGGCAACCCCGCTTGTGCTATTTGTATCCGCTGGCACAGCATTAGTGAGAGATGATAGGTGATGATAAAAGCAGACTTGTCGTGACAAATTCAACAATATATAACCATGATGGTTTCCAAGAGGAATCGCGTGGAAGTTGACCTGATAAAGTATATTGCTAGCAATAGAGCTTTCACAGCCCATTACTAATCATCCGTTTGGCGAGTAATGTGATGGTTTAGTTTATCGGCGGTGTTGTGGCGGGCAGGTGTACGCGCCGCTGCTGGAGCACGTGGTGCGGCTGTACAAGGAGTCGGTGCGCGAGGTGGTGTGGGCCGACTGCCCCTCGCACTGCGCCGACCTCGCGCGCCGCCACGTCCGCACGCCGCGCAACGTACGTGCTCGCCGCGCACTACACCGCGCACTACACCGCGCACTACACCACACACCGCTCGCTACTCGCTACATACTACGCGCCAGTCGTTATTATAACTCACCACACACTATTCGTTACTCACCGCATACTATTCATTACTCACCACACACTATTCGTTACTCACCGCACACTATTCGTTACTCACTACACACTATTCATTACTCACCGCACACTATTCATTACTCACCATTCACAATTTTTTACTTTCCGCACACTATTCATTACTCACCACTCACAATTTTTTACTTTCCGCACACTATTCATTACTCACCACTCACAATTTTTTACTTTCCGCACACTATTCATTACCCACCACTCACAATTTTTTACTTTCCGCACACTATTCATTACTCACCACTCACAATTTTTTACTTTCCGCACACTATACATTACTCACCACATACTATTCAAAATTCTCCCTTTACTCACTTCACACCATTCACTATTTACCGTATACAGTTTACTGTACCTTAATCACCTCACGTCAGTTATTACTTAGTTTACTATACACTACTTACAATATACCATTTACTACGTAGCACATAAATTAGCACCTACTAAATACATGTTACTCATAATACACTATTCACCACACGGTATCAATATATGCTTTTAATCAAACACTGATTACTCTCCATATATTTTCCATTACTCATCAAACCTCACCACTTATATAACTTATTCCATAGTGTACTTACTAGTTATTCGCTGTGTTATTATTTATTCACATGTTACTTTGATATTGAAATACTCAAATTGTGCTAATGATTTTATTTTGTAGTATATTTTTTCATAATAATTAATTTATTAATTTCTTTCTGTTTTCAGTATGATATGTGTAATGTGAATCCATTTATATTGCTGTGTTGGCAATGTGTGCAGCTACAAAGACTAGTCATACACGGTATGTTAAATTAATATTTTTTTTTTTTTTACAGTTTCTGTTTCTCTTAAACTTTTTAATTAATATGTTTAGTGTTCCTTGTGTCTCGTCATTAACATTCTATGAAATACTCAGATTCCGATTATTATAAAAATACATTTTTTTATTCGTTTAGTTTAAGTAAAAATAGAATGGTAACCTTGTCTGCGCTATCGGTATACACTTACAGAATACCAGGAGATATGATAGGTGAAGATGAAGTCAGGACAGTCTATTTAATGTGACGAAACACGATAGTTTGAAATATAGCGTTATAGTGTTAGTTATATAGTGATAGTAAACTAGGAATTATAATTTATAACAATATACTGTATATATACTTGATCATCATTCGACTTCAAAAAGAAGGAGGTTTTCAATTTGATTGTCCAAACATAAAATAAGGTAACAAATATAAAAACGTGTAAATCCTTTTTTATCTTTGTTACCTCATAACTCCGCCAGTCGTAAATCTATTTGGAATATTTTTTTTTTTTATATGAAAGGATATCCTTACTGTTTGGTCCACTAGATATGTTTATTAAAATCGGTCTAGTAGTTTAGTTTTTCAATTAAATTAACTGATATTGCTATAATCGAAGGTTTTTTGTCGAAAACAATTTAATTATTATTATTCCGTATCATGAATGTGGTACGGAGGGTAACGCGAGACGTCGTATGCGGTATTTAGGGTACTATTTTATACATTGTAATGGAATGGTAATCTTGCTTGCGCAAACGGTATGCCCTGGAAGAGGGATGATTGGTGAGAATGAAAAGGCAGGCCAGTTCACCCATCGTGACAAATACATTTGGAACTTAACACGATGGCCTCCAGGGGGAGCTCACGTGGAGGTCGACTCGACAGGGTGTATTGCTAGCAACAGGACTGGTATTCTGCATTAGTAGTAATCCCTTTCTCCGGTGTGGCGCAGGGTACTGGGTGTGGCAGTACGACGTGATCGGGTTCGCTCGGCTGCGGCGGTCGCTGCGCGCGCTGGAGGTGTCGTCGGTGTACGCGCGCGCCGCGCAGTTCGGGGCCGCCGCCGGCGCCGCGCTGCGCGTGCTCGCCGCCGACGCGCCCGCGCACCTCGCCGCCTCCTACGTGCAGGTGAGCACTCCTCGCACTGCTGCCCTCGCCGCCTCCTACGTGCAGGTGAGCACTCCTCGCACTGCTGCCCTCGCCGCCTCCTACGTGCAGGTGAGCACTCCTCGCACTGCTGCCCTCGCCGCCTCCTACGTGCAGGTGAGCACTCCTCGCACTGCTGCCCTCGCCGCCTCCTACGTGCAGGTGAGCACTCCTCGCACTGCTGCCCTCGCCGCCTCCTACGTGCAGGTGAGCACTCCTCGCACTGCTGCCCTCGCCGCCTCCTACGTGCAGGTGAGCACTCCTCGCACTGCTGCCCTCGCCGCCTCCTACGTGCAGGTGAGCACTCCTCGCACTGCTGCCCTCGCCGCCTCCTACGTGCAGGTGAGCACTCCTCGCACTGCTGCCCTCGCCGCCTCCTACGTGCAGGTGAGCACTCCTCGCACTGCTGCCCTCGCCGCCTCCTACGTGCAGGTGAGCACTCCTCGCACTGCTGCCCTCGCCGCCTCCTACGTGCAGGTGAGCACTCCTCGCACTGCTGCCCTCGCCGCCTCCTACGTGCAGGTGAGCACTCCTCGCACTGCTGCCCTCGCCGCGCTGCGCGTGCTCGCCGCCGACGCACCTGCGCACTTCGCCGCCGCCTCACTATTCACTACAAACCCTACACTGGACCCCCCGACTAAGGTTTTAATTACAATGTTTATGAAAAATTGTAAAATAATTCCTTGCTTATGTATTAATGTGTATGTATGATTGTTTGCCAGAAAATGAACGAGTACACACAATTCGAGTGGCGCCCTTTTCCATGGAGCGAGTTGCCGCGAGGACTTAAAGCACACGCCTCGCCTGCTGCCCGCGCCGCGCTCGTTATAGCTGAGATCACACGGCCTCAGTGCACGATTGACACGTGAGTTACATCATTAAAGCCCATCAGGCTAGGCGTACGCTATGAGGATGACCTAATGATTACTAATAATTAAATTTGTAGTTACTTTAAATTCATATTACCTTATAAAAGCGTTTAACTACTGGATTTTATGGTCCTTTTTAGCTAATTTTTTTAATTTAAAACTAAGTAAAAAATTCTACTAATAATTAGATATTAAAAAGGCTTTAGTTTCTAAATGCTATAGATACACGCTAACGGGGCACCACTTAGAGATGATAGGGGAGAATGAGGTCAGGACTGTTGATCAATTCTGACGAATGCACCGGGAATTAACTACGACGGCTTCCTAGAGAATCAGCTTGGAAGTCGGTTTGATTGGATATTGTGGGAGACATTAAACTCTTACTATCTTCTCCACCTAGCTCATCAGGCTTAACATATACAGTTCGCCCTACAACCTTGCTTGTGTACCAGTTTAACTCACTCGAATGCAAATGTCGAGGGTTCGATTCGCGTACTTTCTAGATTTTTTCTTTTAAAAACTGCCAAAGTATCTACTGTCTATGTAGTATATGCACCATGCTAAAACGTGCAGACTGTACGAGCTTCTCTTTAGAAAGGCATAATGGCCAGCTCTCTTAGATAATCATCAAATGAATCTATTGGTAGACATGTTTTCATTATCATATACACATAAGAAAGAACAAAACGCCATATGTCGGATAGGAACGGCTATCTATCTCATACGTGCGGTAGCGATAACGTATCTATCGGTAGATTTGTATGCCTTGTCTTTACAATGTGTCAATAAAAATTATTAATTTTAATTCTGTATTTCATATATATACATACATATTATTACGCAGGTTGTATAACCAATGATTGAGGAACGCATAAATCAAGACCTCGAAGACAACAGATCATCATTTTTAATGATGTTGTAAAACAAAAAAAATAACGTTATCGAATATCGTTATTACATAATACATAATATCTGTATTAAGAGTAAAAATCACGGAGGAGTCGGAATCGCGCAAGAATCAGTATCTTGTAAGAATTGCGTAATTTTAATAATTGAATCTTTGTTTTTTTTTTTTTAATTATTTTTATATACGGTTTTACGTGTTACTAAAATATCTGTACCATTATATAAAATAAAAGGGTTAAAACAAATTTAATTATAATATTACCCTCTTTATTCATGAAAAAATTTGAGCAACTAATAGACCTGTCTTAGCTATGAAAGTGTTGTCTTTCTCTTTCGCACTTTGAAAGAATGTGACGAAACAAATGATTCTTATTCAATCATTTGTTTCTAAGAGGTTTTATTTTTTATGAATAAGAGGTCAATCAACAACAATATATTATATAAAATTTATATTTTCATGAGTTATCAATAAGAATTTTTTTTTACGCAACCAATACAAACGAAATGGTTGTTTGCGGTATGTCTTATGCGGAGAACTTATTCCTTAATATTAGCTAAATAATTGAGTGTATTTCTAATTGTTGGGTAACATCGAATTTCTAATGATTTTGGACTGTCATAAGATAAGGTAGTGAAATACAAAATGTCATAAAATGTCTCTTTATCGAAAAGGGCAAAAAAGAAATAAAACTTTATATAATGTCATTGTTATAAATTTTATTAATATGTTTAATAAAATAAAAAATAAAAAATTGTGCGTGTTTATGTAGTTGGATATTTGAAATTGGAATTTGATTAAGCAATGACATTAGGGTTGTGCCATGAGAATAAAGATGTTTAATGTGAAAGCAAAACTCGTAAAATGTTTAAAAGGAATTTTGAAGGAGAACTGTTAAATTTGTGAAGCAGCACGTGCTGTCGTTTTAGATATATCGAATTTCGTAAACGCACAACATCAAACATGTAGGTTACTATTGGGTAAAATATGTCGACTACTTAACGAGTATAAAGTGGCACGTGCTATAAATATAATTATAGTTATCGAATTTCGTGATTTTAAAGTTCAATAAACTTTCGCTTGTTAAACATTTAAAGTGATTTTAAATATTTTATAATTAAATTAAACTAAATATCTTTTTCGTTGAATTGTTATGTTGATCTGAACATTCCGATGTTTGTTAATCAAATGATAGTCCAATAACAAAGCAACCATTGCTGTATTTTTAATATTCGGCTTTAAATTTTAACGACTAAGTTTTTAAATTAAATAACCATGACATTCTGTACAGTCAATAAAAAAAATTAAACATTGACAACCCTAGCATACGAATTTACACTCTGGAATTTGACAGAGCGACTTCTATAATATATTTGTTGGCTATCTCTTATCATATCTATGTTCAATACGTAGCAAAGTGCATATTTTGCATATATTACAGATATGCTTCAAAATTCTTATTGGTAGCGAAAGAAAATTATCCATTCTATTTTGGTATAGCGATTTTAGTAACTAAATTGTAACTGAGTATATATTATTTGAAACAATTCACACAAATATATGTATAACAAATAATTTAAAGTTGTTAATCTAGAATCAATATTTCTCTTTAGTTTCAATTGATAAATCTAAGCTAATCCAATGATAATTAATTAATGTAGTAAATAATTATATTTATATATGTCATTCCATAATTCGGTATCAAAATATTACAAATATAATTATTAGATCATAATTCAAATATATTAAATGTTTCCGTGTGTTTGTGTTGTAGGTGTGTGTTAGCCGGAATGATCGATAAATACATATTTCTTCAAGAATCGATTCATTTATTGGCTTTACATGAGAACTCTTTTAGTGATAGAATCGAAAGATTCGTGGCTTGCAGCTATTGAACAAACTTTGGTACTTAATGGCCTAAAACATAGTCTTCATTTCGAATATAGAACAATTATGATAATAAAAAAAAATATATATATTTTTTAATATACGTACGAAATATATTCAGTCAGCACGTTTAATTCTAAACAACAAAGTTTTCTCCATTAATGTTGTTTTGAAATTAAATAGTCTTTTTTATATAGTATAATATAAAAACCATTATGTACATAATCAAATTCTTTACGTGCACTGAAATTATTAAAAAAAAATGTATAACAATGTGTAACATTGCTTGTAAATATTTAACGAAACATTGGTAATTTCTTTTAAAAAGCATAGATTTGTTGTATGCCTATAAGTGATAATAAAATGAAGTAATATTGGTACAGATTGTTCGAAAACTAAACATCAAGGTAGTACTTATAAAAAGGTTTCTACAAGAAAAAAAAAATCAACTATCTATTGGCCAGTTTTTTTTTTGTATTTTCGGAATATCCTCTCACTGGAGAAAAAAATTGTCACAAATGATAACGAAAATCATTGCCAGTATCTATAATTCAGAAACTACTGCAATTTTGATAACATACGTGTTACAGATAAAAATAATAATAAAAACCTTTTTAAAAAGTATTCCATTAACTACTTATTACCGGTACCTGATTTTATATGAAATTACTACTTACCATTACCAATTTTTTTTTTAATTAAACAAAGGATTTTTCTGCTAAAGCTAGATTATTGCCGAGCTTTCGAACAATCTGTATTGTTCAAATAAAGTTTGCACCAAAACCTGTAATAAAATTTGTATTATAGCTATTTAATTAAATGAAAAATATAATTCTTGTCCCCACCTTAAAATCATTCTGAAAACGAGTAAAGCAGGTGGAAATAACTTAGTCATAGTGCGGTAATGTATAGAAAACATTGAGAAAAGCCGAATGATATGTTTACTGGCAACATCTCTCAAAATCGCGAATTTATTGTGTAGTTGTAATAATTGCAATGTATAAAACTTTTTAAATGATCAAAAAATATATCTAACCAACATCGCACACCAATCGCCATGACTGATGACTACACTTATGACTGATTCAATCTTGGTATAATTTTAGTGTTGCCATCTCTAAAAATGCATATATACCTAAACAATTTTTATAAAGCAAGACTTATTTATAACTCTATATAATTGTGTGTAAAGTTAGTGCTTTACAAGCAATACTTGACAATAGTGTTGCGACTTACTATATCTACTTAGTTAATATTTAATAAACTATTAATCTAGTGAGTTACTGAAGTAATTAGTGTTGATCACGTTACCTGTGCTCTTTTGAACAATCTTATTTATTCCCCAGTTTTATATTCAAATTCTTATAATTATCTTGCATTAAAAATTATATTTTAAACGAAAATTTAATGCATGATCTGTTTTCTATCATATATTTGTGTTTAGTAGGACACTGTGAAGACACTATTTTTTTTTCTATTTGTTTCCTTCCATTTTATTGATATATGGTAAAACTTTTACATAAGAATTATCAATGATAAATTTTATAATTAAATTTATTCTATATTATGTATTCATGTATATTAGTAATTTCTCTAAATGACAATTTTTTTTACGTTTTCGTTTTGTGTACTAGTTTTTTTTTTATTCTATGAAATAAGTGAATATTCTCCCGTTGTTATCAACGTGAGAGTTTCAAAGAGCTTCACTAAAGTTCTTTATTCAAATAACGTATTTTTATGATGTTACTGCCCAATTCAAAAAGTAGTTTTAACCAAGAAGAATGGACAGAAATATTGTTTGTTACTCTCTTATACGAAGGTACAATTATATAACATTTCGCCTGAATAGAAACTACCAAACGTCATACGTCATAAATTTTTTAATATTAAACATTCAATTAGAGCTCAGTAACAAAATTAAAAAGGTATAGTGTAAAGTAGACCCAGTACAATTAGTAAAAATATAATATTAAAACAAATAAACATCAAATAGTCATAAGCAATAGTGACAGACAAACTACTACGAAAATAATAAATGTCTACCAAACACAAAGCTTTAAAACGATTCCATAGGTATCATTAAAGACTTAAAGAATTTCAAATGTTCATTTTAATTGGTGTGCGATGGTCAATTTATATATAAAAAAAAAAAAAAAACTAAACATCTAGTCAAGGAGCCTGTAGGAATATGTAAATATTTTAACAAGAAGCGGTAGGCATCCACTGGCTCTCAAAGCGAACATTGCACAAAAGGAAGTATTACACATACAACATTTATATCAACTGTAGCTTTAAGGGAACTATCTCGCGATACTGTATCAAATACAGTTTATATTATATAAAGTGCCACACCGGTAGCGGATAGTGTAAACATGTGACGTACCAACGAGGGAAGGTAAAATATTTGAGACGACGCAATAAGCGGTCCGATAGAACGATACGATTAAATCGGCCGCGTCCGCTGTACCTTACGATCGCTTTACTTGTAAATAACATATAGCTACGAATCGATTATTTTTATATTTTCAACCGTCGATCGGTTTCTGACATTATTAAATCGAGAAAATCGAAGTTTGAAATTCGAATTGAATATTACAAACGAATGTGTATTTTTTAATGGTTGCGACACAGACGTTGCATGTAAAGAGTTGCGTGACGCGACACTGTTGTATTATATATACGAAGATGTATAAAATAACGAACGAACATTATCGTGATGTGCGAACAATATTTATTAGTTTCAACATATTGTAATTGTTTTATTTAAAACATGACAAAAGTCCGTCCCCATCGTACTCAATTGCATTTCACACACAGAGACTGAAAACAATGTTACATGTTGAATGAGCTATAATGATAGTCGTCGATCCTGTGGCACCCTCAATTTTATATGAATTTGACATTGGACAATAGACAAAATAACATTTTACATGCTGGTAACAATATATTTTTAAAATGATAATCACTTATTTAGAATGACAACTTTCGCAACACTATTGCATTAAAGTTTCCTTCTATTGTTCTAGTCCTGTTAATAATAAAATAATGCAATTATTTGTGCCAAATTAAAGAAGATTTAAAAAAAAAAAAAACTTAAATCTTCCATCTCTAATGTAAATATTTAAAATATTCATAAGGAATGCGATCCATACTTGCAATAGGGCCATTTCTATTCTAAATTTATTTCTTAATTTAATATTTTGATTTGATAATTTTGTGAAATTATTCCTTTATGGACCATCATGAACTAAAATTATAATAATTTCTACTTAAATCTAATAAAAAAATAGTTTATATCGGCCCTTCAAATAAAGACTTCGCTGTTATATAAGTTTGAAATTTTAATTTCGAAGATACGTTTAAAGAAATGGCTCTTCAGAACCGACATCGATATATCTAAAAAGAATGTTCAATTGATATTATATAATCTAAGAAACTTATATCAATCATGTATCAATCCTATAAAATTTTGACAGATCTAGTAGCGACATCTGTAGTAATCATTTAATTTGTATTTGCCTGGAGTCAGGTTTGATCTGTCAGTAAACTGTTACTTGAACAATAATTGGTTAAAATATGCATCATAAACCTATTTAGTATATGTTTATATTTTAATTGACAATAATTTAAAGTATTATACTTAAAATTCGTGCCGACTATAACAAGATATACTGTTACTTTTCATATAAAACTTAGTTTCGTGTAAATGCAAATATGTATACTAGAAGATTGTGATCCAATTCTTTTTTGCTCTTGTTTAGAGATAGTTTAAATTCTGTAATTAGCCAATATATTATATATATTAGCTAATTAGCTAATATTAGCTAATAATATATATATATATATATATATATATATATATATATATATATATATATATATATATATATATATATAAGCTAATTAGCAAATATATAATATAGTTAATATATCTGCCAAGATTCAGCGTTACTCAAATACATGAAAGTGCTAAATGAAAATTACATACATGAACCAAATGTGATTTTGTCTTTGTTGAACTATATTGACCAAAGTAATAAATACTCTTTATTTGTCGTTTAATCGAGGCTTCGATACAAAATAAAGTGCGGGTGCCACTGTATCGAGAACTACTGTACAATATTCGCAAAGTGACTGACATCATTGTTTTTTTCAATTAATACAATCTAATTTCTCGAATTTGGAAATAGAACAATTTTAAGATGGAATTACAAATGTATTTTTATAAATTGTTGACAGACATGAGTATATATACAATTAGTTCATTATATATCATTTACTTACAACGTCGATTATAAAAAAAGCACAAATTAGCAGTCGGTCAACTGTTGACGTGTTTTTTTTTTTATTACATAACCAAACATCGTTTTTCAGTATTGCAATTGATATCAATAATTTCTGTTATTCTGTAAGTTTGTGCCCGATTTATGTTAAAAATTAATTCACATAAAAATAAAAGAAAGATTCCCCTTTTTTCGTAAATTTTCAGTAACACTATATAGGTATTATTAAACATTGTGTTCATAATATCTTTTAATAAATTATAAAATTTCGTTAATGAAAGTAAAACGTGATGTCAGTATATGTTGTATGTCATGAAATAAATCAAAATAAAAGATTAAAATTCTCTATAAAATGTGATCTTTAAATTTATTTACTGCTGAAAGCAATCGGCTTTAGTTAATCGTTAGTATTTATTCATAGTATTCACAACATATCATAAGGACTCGTGATTGGCTTTAACGTTTCGGAAGCAATGCCTAATGTTACCATGTATACAAGAAATGTTTAATGATGTTGCGTTCCATAAGATTGTCAATTGGCCGATCTCCAATAAGAGTGTTATGAATTACATTATTAACAATTTATTTATTTTAAATATTTACCACGGAAATTTAATAACACATTTATTTTCGTGAAAATAAATAGCGTAAGTGTCAACATACTAAAATATTAATGGAATAACTTTGAAAATCTCAAAATGACATAGTCACGCACAAAAAATGTGATCTAAATGTAGGCGGTGCATACATAAAACATGCCTTTGAAGCAACGTACACGTGAAATTGATCTTAATATCTATTTCAATGTAGACCCAAAGTATTTTCAACTTAGACGTATATAAATTTTCTATTATATTAATTAGTGATAAAGTTAGTGAAGGCCAAACGTGCATATGGCAACACAAAATGTTATTATGCTTAAAGAAATAGTACTAAGTACTACATAGATTATAGGACGTTCACAATAAATATATATATATATATTGAAAAATAATCCTTGAATGATTTCCTTAAATATTTTTTATGACATTTATAAAAGTTCGATGTGAAAGAACTATATTTTGTAAGGCAACGAAGAGACTTACCAACATACATTCCCTGAGACTGAAAATGAATAGAAGAGGCTAAGATCAATAACAACTACTACATATATTACAATATAAACATAAGAACTAAAACTATATAACAACAAAAATATATGAAAACGTTTTATTTTTAACCAAGCTTGTAAAACGGCGCGTAGTTAATAGTTACTGAACATCATTCCCGCCTCTTATTTTGTTTGTCATTATTTTTATACTCTGTCCTAAACAAACGTTACGTTGTAAAGTGCACACGCTGAAGATATGTACTATAATATATTGTCTTATGAATATATTTAATATTTTAATAAATCTTAAGGCTTATATATGCGTTTATAATTGTTTTATTCACTCTTAATCAAATGTTACATTTTCATACATATTTTTATCTGAATATTATGAATATAAAACTTCCGATCTTGGGATATTTTTCCATTGCTCAGTATCTTGGCATATTGTAATTTATAATATTATCTTCAGTGTGTGTACCAGTCTATAAGATTGTATGGCAAGCGATATTTTATATTGTCATAAAATACTATCGTATCTTCGCCATACTTGAATACGATTAGTTTATTTTTTATTATTACTTTAATATCTATTAAGTAAATAAAATTTTTATTATACTGTTTGATAACTTTTATATCAGGGTTTATTGAATTATTTACCAAATAATGAAATTGGACAGAGTTGTAAGATCAATTTTTACCACCTAAGACTTTAATAAGGCTGTGAACCAACTCGATTTCGGTTCGGCGAATATTTATCAACAATGTACCTATCATTTAATATAAATAATTATATATCGAATTAAAATCATAAAAGGAATGGTACATTCTCTACCTCTCTGGATTTTTTTTTTTGATAAAATTTATACATAGACAATATTTTTGTTACAAATTTAGTTTTTTATTTTACTTTTACACAGTACCATTCCTTTGTCTATGATCAAACTAAGAGTTCTTTATACGCGTGTTGTTTTCGAAAATTTAATATTATCTCGAATAATAATATGAAATTTCTATCGAGTTTGTAACAAAAAACTACACACGTATATATGGAACGAACGAGCGTCGCCGAACCGAATTGCCTAGAATTAGACCAAAATCGTTGTACTTATCCATCTAATAGTGATTAAAAGAAGGGAATGTGGAAGGAGTGATAGGAAACAGGAGTGATTAAATAAAACAACTGTTGTGCGAGTAGATAAGGTCCTCCTTAAGAAGCAGTATGCTAAGCTGTGTGCTGCTATTTTCGTTTTTAGAAAAAAAAATCTTATTCTAGTTATTTTACCATTATTTCGTTATAAATATCATGTACAGACATAATAGCATACTGTTTCTTAATTTTTTTTTTGTTTCTCATTAAAACCTCTATGAAAAAAAGGTTAGTGTAAATGGACCTTGATTTTATGAAATTTTTTAAAGAGTTTATTTGTGTTTTAAGATCTGAAATTGTCTAAGTACATTGTTTTCAAATGTTTTTTATTATGATATTAATTAATTCGTACCTCTTTGTTGTTAGACGAATTTTACTTAATTGCCGTATACAATATATAGAAAGTATATAACTTAAAATAATGTTATCAATCATTCGATTCGATTTTATAAAAATGTAATTGCATTGTAGCTTTTGCATGAATTATATGAATGTGGCGTTGTTTGACAAAATATTTTCATTAACGTACAATATCCTTGCCTTGAAGTGCTTTTACGAGATATAGTCTATAATAGTAACCAACAAAAATGTATTTTGTTTAATCTTTAAATAAATGTACGGAATCCATTGATGTGGGATTGGCTTCTTAGGTAGTTTAGTAGATATAACTTGACATGTATCTTATATAGATTTTTTCTCATATCTTAGTATTAATTTCCTTTTTAAATATATACCTACTTATATATTGAACGTTACTAGTAGTTAATAATATATGAATAGAAATTTATTGTTTGAGTTCATATTTAAAAAAATAAAATATTGTACTTATGGTTTTTGTTTTCGATAAATTGCATCCGATTTAATAATTTAATATTGAAATATATCATTATTATATATACCTATGTCTCTATTAAATATATTCATATGTGTAGTGGTCACTCTTTGTTTTATTTATGTACGAACTATAGACACATTATTTGGGTAAGTTATTCTCAATATGCTAGTCCTCTTGTTCTAGTCAGGAAGAAAGATGGATTGATTAGAGTATGTGTTGACTATAGAGACATAAACAAAAAGATAGTTAAGGATGAATATCCCTTACTGATAATTTAAGATTAAATTGATAAATCAAATGATGCAAAATTTTTCAAGAGTCCGTTAGAACTATTTTTTTTTAATGGGTGATAATGGAACGGTAACCCCGCCGGCGCTATTGGGATACGCTGGCGGGGCACCAGTGAAGGATGATAGGTGAGGATGAAGCAGGCCAGTTAGCCCATCGTGACGAATTCAACAAGAATTGTTCACGACGGTTTCCAGGGGGAACCACGTGGAGTTCGACCTAATAGGACATATTGCTAGCAATGGGGCTATCAAACTCCATTGCTAACAATCCGTTTCCCCTCTTTAGCACTCTATTCTCTCTGGTTACATTTGTTATTTTTATTTTACCTTTTAATTTATTACCCACTACTTCATGCGCTTGACCGTGAATAAAAAGTAATCAATTAATTTTAATAGCCGTGTGGTTCCAGCACAGAATAGGCCATCCCTTTCTTTCCCGTAGGTGTCGTAAGAGAGGGCGAGGGATGTGCAACAGCGTCCACTCTTACAACATCTCTAAAGCCTAACTGCAGTTGCCAATCCGGCTGCCAAGCGTGGCAACTACTGGCAAACTCCCCAATAGGCGAGGCTTATGTTTAACAGTGGATAATTAAAGGGTATTATGATGATTATGATGATCTGCAAAAAAATACACAAAAAAGAAGGAATATTAAACGTTATAAAAAGCTCTAAGTTGCTGGACCTAGGACCACATAATATGGAACATACAGTCTTCTGCAGTTTATAATACAGGGAAAGATCCAAGGTTATCGAAGACCGGCAAGACGCTGAACTTCCTAGTTAAAAAAAATTAAGGCAGTGGTTTGGAAAGACTGCCAGCTTCCTTTTCAGAATGACGGTGGACGAAGTAAGTATCGCTATCATGCTCGTCAACCTCCGGTAGGAAATGGTGCCTTAAGAGAAAATGTTCTCCATCCTATATACTCGTATTATATGTATACCAAATTTCTTGGTGACTGGTGGAGCTGTTAAGGCGCTAAGAGGTAACAAACATACAAACAAATTCAATATTAGGATTGTTTACTCTTGCACACTAGTTTTGTAAACCTTGGCATAGAATAGGCCACCCCTTCCTTTCCCGTAGGCGTCGTAAGAGGCGACTAATCGAACTTAATAATGGTCGAGGATGTGTAGCAGCGTTTCTCTTAAAACATCACCAAAATCCAAACGGCGATTGCCAATCCGCCTACCAAGTATGGGAACTACTGGCGAAGTCTCCCTTATTATACGATAGGCTATGTTCAGCAGTGGACAGTTAACGGCTGAAATAATAACTCCTGCAAACAAAATGAATGAAAACAATTACAAAAGATAATATAAATATATTACATACTAGCGGCCCATCCCGGTGTCGCACGGGTGGACATTTTTACATTTTAAAAAGTAGTCGTTAAGGCTGCACGCGCGATGGAAACTTAAAAATGGAGTAACTTCTCCCGTTTTCCCAACGTTTCCCTTAATTGCTCTGCTCCTATTGATTGTAGCGCGATGAAAAGTATACTATAACTTGCCCAGGAGTATGAAGAATAATTGTACCACGTTTCGTTAAAAGCCGTCGAGTAGTTTTTGTTTCTATAACGAACATACAGACAGACAGAAAAATTTTACTGATTGCATTTTTGGCCTCAGTATCGATCACTAATCACCCCGTGGTAGTTATTTTGGAAATATATTTCATGTACAGAATTGACCTCTCTAAAGATTTATTATATATATAGGAACTGGCTAAGCTGATGCGGTAAGTGACTCGGTGCAATGTGTATGCATGTGTGTGTGCGTGCGTGCAATAAAGAACGGTCCTCAATCGCCTGCATTCTCTGACTCCCTACAACATATTTGAAGTCGTCGCTCAGTCTTGTGGGTGGCCGCTACCTACACTATATTTGTTACACAAACTTGCAATTCTAGAACCTTTTTCATCATTAATAGTTGTCTTATAACAGCAAAGACAAAGCGGCGCGGCGTGAAGATCCTTTCTATTGAACTTTGAGTCATCAGTCATGACTAACGTAACCAATGTTATTTTAATTTAAAACAGGACAATATCATTTTTACCATCATTCTATCAGCCATTAACTGTCCACTGCTGAACATAAATCTTCCCCATAAGAGGTAGGCTTGCCAGTAGTTGCCAGCTTGGCAACCGCAGTTAGTCGGATTTGGAAAATTCTTTTTGAATTTGATAGTTAATCTACCTATCAAATTACAATAGTTTTTTTACGCCCATGGCATAATTGCAGGTTACAACTAGTTTTAATAAACGCTATTAACTTTCTTATTATTACCATGTTAGTTTTAAGAATAAGTATAGAAATTTATTAATTTTTAGTAATAAAAAGTCTGTGTCCTATAGTGGATAATGGAGACAATGTGAAAATGTATCGAGAATGGGACTGTCCCGGTTAATACGGGATTTGTGGTTACGGTAGTAATAACTCATAATCATGATTCATGTGCAAGGTGCATTCTGAACAGGTGTAGGAGTACATACTCAGGTCAAATGTTCGTGAGACCATGCACCCACATATCTCATATGGGTTAAGGTTAACAGTCTCTGTTAAAACGTACAAAATGTTGCTTCAACAACTGATTAATTTTAATTTTTGTAGGTGTTTAACGTACCACCAGAAATTAATATTATTCATTATGTTTAACAAAATATATAGTTAAACTTCTTATATGAGTAACTATATCCTATTGGCAGATATACAATAGTAGAGCACCAGTTAATGAAATACGTACATAGGTAGGCAGAAACAATGGAACTCCAAATGCTTCGATTCAAACAAACCTCTTTCACTTCTTCCACATTCATCAATCTTTTCATACACGCTCGCCGGTTACGGGTACTTTTAATTTGGCTCTTTTCAGCACGTCGTCGTTAATGAAATAATGAAGTCTATTTGTGGATTTAAATGAAATGGAATAAAAAAACCTATCTTTTCTCCTGTTCTGCCAGTGCTATTGATATTTTGAGATATCGAATCACCAGTTAGTGAGGTTAGCCAATCCATCACATTGAATACACAAAGAATTATCCAGATAACATCCAATGAGTGCATGGAGGTCGACTTATATATACAGATAAAGGAACTTATATAGACAGATAAAGGAAACACAACGTGTCATGTCATATAGGAAGGTCAAAGATATGCCCTAGAATAGAGCTGGCTGGAAGAAAATGTACGAACTAGTTGTACCGACAAGTGGACTGGGAAGACTCTTAAATGAAAAGAGAGAGTACACACTAATAATACATACACAAAACAGTGCCGTACAAATGTACAAAAACGAGATTAATCCGTGTAAGTCCCGGTATAAAATAAGTCGCCCTTTTTTTCCCATGGGTGTCATAAGAGGTGACTAATGAAGCTTATGTTCGAGAGATGAGCAGCATCCCTCTTAAAACATCTCCAAAAGCCAAACTGCGGTTGCCAACACGCCTCTAAGCGTGGCGATTACTAACACAACTTTACTGATGAGGGAGGCTATGTTCAGCAGTGGACAGTAATTGTCTGATACATACATGTATATAAAATATGTTCATAAGCATAGAAAATGTATGTATTATGTATGTGTGTACTTTACACTAATACATATCAAGCGGGGGAAAGAGATTATTAGTAATGGAGTGTAATGGCCCCATTGCTAGCAATATTACCTATCAGGTTGACCTTTTTTTATACAACTTAGAATGGCAAACAAGCTGACGGCCCACCTGATGGAAAGTGGTAATCGTCGCCTATAGACATGAGCAGTACCATAACAGAGTATACTGTTTCGCCCATGATACCCCCCATGCGTTGCCATTCCTGAGGACTCAGGTGTTATTCCTCTGTACCCTGTAAATTAACGCCATATCCCACCCTTCGAACCGAAACACAGCCATGCAAATACAACTGTTTTACGGTTGAAACACGAATGGGACAGAGGTACCCAAGCAATAGACTTTTGTACAATCTTCCTCTCGCGATTCCCCCTGGAAACCATTGTGATTAATTCTTGCTGAATTCGTCACAATGGACTAACTTGACTTGCTTTCAACTACACCTATCATCATTCACTGGTGCCCCGCCAGTGTATATCGATAGCGCAAGTGGGGTAACCATTCCATTTTTACCCATAAAAAAAACATTCACATCAAGCAAGTTTATTTTTCATACAAATTGAGCAACCTCTGTCGTTTTATGTCCATTAACAGTAACTTAAAGGTCTTGTTGTATGTTGTCGAATAGGTACTTTATTTTCTATGTGACCATTGTACAACCTTTTGACGAGACAAAAACTCCAACCTACAACACCGGAGATTGATGTTTTCCTCTAAGCACGACCGTTTTGAGTCTTCAAGGTTCGCTTAAAGCGTTTGTCTTGTTAATGCAATTGCAAATCCTACATGCTCACTGTCTCTTTCGTTTATTCGAATAATGAAAGAGAATGAAGGTGTATTGTTGTGTCGTGGGAAACGTGTTTAACGTATTGAATCATTACCGATCTTGGGGACCTACCAAAGTGATTTAAATACCTATTTAGATGCAACAACTGCTTAGATGCAGTGTTGCGTGTCGATTGTCGCCCTAAATTAGACCGAATAGAACTTAATTTACTCTTAACAATTCAGTTTGAAGTTTTTATATAAGCATAAAATATATTCAAAGAATTACCAAAAACAGCGTTCCATAGATATTGATTTTAATAAATACATTTACGTGTACTTAGCGTCTTAATTTTTGGCTCTATATTAGAATGAATGCAGTTCAATTTACTTGTATCAATTCAATTCATATTCCCTATAGGTAATTATCTGAAAAAATTCAAAGAAGTATCAGAAACATATTTATCGCACATATGATATTCTAAAAAAGGTTTAGTTAAGGAAAGAGATACTCTCAATAAATTCATTAATGGCAGGTGATGGTCAACTGTCGGTTAAAGTGCTTCTTCAACTGCTTCCCCCCACTATTCAAGGTGTATAGATTTTACCATAAGTTTTGGATTCGTTTTTTCAATAAAGAGTTTTGTGTCACCACTTAGTCTCACAAGCGTCCATAACTTGTTTTTTTTTTTTCAAAAAATTAAGTCTAGTAGTGTAGAAGTGACATACTTTTACATAAATATAGAATAAATATACTTATCTTTTATATACATATAGGCAGTAGGGTTTAAACTTACATAAGTATAGGTACATATTCTGACTCGATCAAAGAATATATTTACAAAAAAGACAAAAAAATATGCCTACCATATCAGCCGTTAACTGTCCAGTTCACTGCTGAACGTAGGTCTCTCCCTATCTTTAATCGCCCATTGATTTCTTACTGTGATTATTTCTTGTAATTATTTATATTTATAATAAGTTTACTATTGTAATCTTTTGAAGAAAACAATAAAGAGTATTTATTTATTTTTTGGAGGATTTTGTCAATAGTTGCTACGCTTGGCAGATGGGTTAGCAACCGCAGTTAGGCTTTGGTGCGGTTGACGGTGACGACGTAGAAAAGGACGCTTCTGCCCATTCCTCGATCATTATGTTCCCTTAGTCGCCACTTACGACACCCACAAGAAAGGAAGAGGTGGAAAATTCTATACTAGGACCACTCGGTGACATATGCCTATATGTATATAAAAACATATGCCTAATGCCTAATAACTAATAAAGACGAATATTAGTTAGCTGAACGAATTATTACAATTAGCTAATTATCTACAACTTGTTTAACACGTTATGTGCTAAGAATTTAATAGGTAATACATAAGTACGTGCTTACAAACAATTGAACACACCTGTATTGGATCAGTTTTTATAAATAAGTATTATATATTAGGTACGAGGATATGTACATAGGTACCTATATTTGTTTAGATTGGTACAAGTGGATTAATTAGACGAGTATTCATGTCATATACATAGATGTATTTTTATACGAGACTTTATACAAAAGTCGATTTCCCATTCGTGTTTCAACCATAAAGCAGTTGTATTTGCATGGCAAAAAATAGCTGTAGCCTATGAACGTCTGCAAAACCAGGAGCATTACGCGTGTATTACCGATTCTGAAGAAACCTCTTTACCTCTTTTTTGAAGAACCCTAATCTCCTGGAAACCCTTAATAGGGAGCTCATTCCATAAACAGAGCGTTCGTGGGAGGAAACATCTCTGAAACCGCATTGTACGCGACCATCCAATCTCTAGGGTATGGGGGTGAATCAATAAGAAAAATTTTAAACGACTAAAGTGTTTTTTTATGCAACTTAGAATGCCAAACAAGCTGACGGCCCACTTGATGGAAAGTGGTAACCGTCGTCGTCGAACTTCCTGTCGATGGCGAGCTGTATGATGGTTACCACTTGATGGAAAGTGGTAACCGTCATCGTCGAACTTTCTGTCGATGGCGAGCTGTATGATGGTAGAAAGTGGCTGTGGGTATCTTATTGAACAATTCCTCTAAGTATAGAGGTATAAGTACAAGTGGTAGAGCAGATTCTAATTTCATTAAGATTTTATGACAATTATGCAGAGCTTTTTATTTCTTTCATGGGTCACTAGTTTCCACCAAGTGGGTCGTCGGCTTGTTTGCCATTCAAGTTGTAATTAAAAAAAAGAATACAAACAAGGAAGGAAGCATACATACACGTATCCAAATAACTACCTACAGCCCATATGAGTGGATTCCGTTGTATAGACATAGCTGTTTAATATTCAACAGTGTGACTCACACGCCGGTGGCTCGACTGTCCCGTATGCGCGTGCGCTTTCAAAACCCACTTGGAGACCCAGTTTCGGTATCCTAATTATGTTACCGAGAGATTATAAATCAATTTTTATCTTTATGTTTAGCAATCTATAGTCTACAGTGTTATAATAAATGATCGTTTCTTATCGTGAAGATAGTTTTTACTCGCGACTTCGTTCGCGTGACCAGGATACGTTTATTGACCAAGATAAAAAATTGCTGATATCCCTTCTTGTTTGAAATAAATATTAGAAAAAGGTCATCAGCTATTTCGGTATCGTGCGGTCAGATATATATTTTCGAATATGTTAAAAATCTGTCGTATCCAATATTATTTTTTGGATAACAGACTTTTAACATATTCGTTATTGAGCCAATATACAGATATTGCTATATATTATATTACCCACCGATAGTGTAAACTGTACATTTATACTAATGTAATAAGGTGGAAGAGTTTGTTTGTTTGAATTTAGTAATGTATAAAATTACCAGTCGGATTTTAAAAATGATTGTTTGAACCGTTAAGATGCCAAAAGGTAATAAATAAACAAATGGACTTTAAAGATGACAGAAAAAAATTCTAAAAAATATTGTTAATCGTTGTCTTGCCTCTACTAGCCTTTTAATTGGCTTTCAAGGCATTTTTTTATGGGTGAAAATGGTATGGTAACCCCGCCTGCGCTAACGGGATACACTGGCGGAGCATCAGTGAAGGGTGATAGACGAGAATGAAAACAGGCCAGTTGGCCCATTATGATGAATTCATCAGGAATTAACCATGATAGTTTCCAGGGAGAACCGCGAGGAGATCGACGTGGTTAACTGGCATGTTTTCATTCTCATCTATCACCCTTCACAGGTGCTCCGCCAGCGTATTCCGTTAGCGCAGGCGGGGTTACCATACCATTTTCACCCATAAAAAAATGCCTTGAAAGCCAATTAAAAGGCTAATAGAGGCAAGACAACGATTAACAATATTTTTTAGAATTTTTTTCTGTCATCTTTGAAGTCCATTTGTTTATTTATTACCTTTTGGCATCTTAACGGTTCAAACAATCATCATTAAATATAGTATTTAGAATAAAATAGAATAGAAATAATCTTTATTCGAATAGACTTGTTTACAAGCTCTTTTAAATCGTTTATTTTTTATGATTGTGCTGCTGGGTTCGGGATGTTGTTATCTGCTGAGAAGAACCGCATCGTCGCCTATAGACATGAGCAGTACCATGGACATAACAGAGTGTACTGTTTCGCCCATGATACCCCCTATGCGTTGCCATTCCTGAGGACTCTGCTGTTATTTCTCTGTACCCAATAAATTCACGCCGTATCCCACCCTTCAAATCGAAACACAGCCATGTAAACACAACTGCTTCACGGTAGAAACACGAATGGGACAGAGGTATCCAAGCAATCGACTTTTGTACAAAAATTATGAGTACGATGGATTTAACCATATTTTAGGGTACTCAACGACCCGGTCCATTACGTTGTCACTAGTAATGAGCATGGCTAGCTTAGTATTTGGAAATCAAAAGCGCATAGACTTCTTTTTAACCCAGTCATATCACATTGGGTTATTATAGTGCCTAATAGACGATAACGAAATGGTATCCCTGGTTGCGTTATCAGTATACGCGTCCAGGGCAAGAATGGAGGACGAGTTGATGAGACTGAAGTTATGTAGTTAGTTAAACTTTAGTTAGTTTAATGGAGTGCAGCATTCGAGCATTGTAACACTTCCCAAAAATTTACTGCGAGAGAATGCTTTTAACATTAAGTTCGCCTTGTACACATATATGTAATAAAATAAATAAATGAAATCGGCCAGTTCCATAGGAATTAACCGCAATGTTTTCAAGGGATTACCGCGTGAGAAATCACCCTGTGGGGTATGTTAGTAATATCTACTTGAGGGGGGGGGGGGGGAGGGATAGTTAGTAATACGAACTACCAGTCCCATTGCTAGCAATATACCTTGTCAGGTCGACCTTTACATGATGCTCCTTGGAAACCATCGTGTTAAATTCCAGGTGTATTCATCACGATGGGCCAACTGAGCTGCCTTTTCATTCTCATCTATCATCCCTCACTGGTGCCCCGTATACCGTTAGCGCGTTAGATAGTATAGTATTTTATCACAGTGTAAAGAGTCAGTGTTCTTTATGCTGTGAATATACTCGTATTGTGTGCATGAAGCAAAGACGAAGTTGCGGGTAAATACTAGTAAAGTTTATCACAAGAAGTTAATAAGCAAAACACTATATAACTGAAAAAAATAAAACTGTTCGTAGAACTGGAACTTTTATTTAGATCAAAGGACATTCAGTCCGCTTGCGTGCAATACGCACTAAATTATTTTTGTATTTCGTCACTACTTCATTTGCATAGTACACATAACTCGTTCTAAACTCAAACGTCACTTGACATGTGCATTCCCGCGTTTTTAACTACCAATCACGATCCAGTATTGCGCCGTGTGTCAGCGCGAGCGCGCGCATTCTATTTTTAAACGTGTTTTTTAAATTATTCGAAGTGTTAAACAATTTTTTTTGTGTTTATTTTTTTATTATTGCCATCAGAGGCGTAGTTGTGTGATTGTTCAGCTATATTATAGTTATTTAAAACTCGTTTGGAATTCACGTATAAAGGTTTGTGCTTTTCTTATCGATGAGGTAACGCTGTGCAAATATAAATTATTCCAATGTTCTTACGAAATGTTTTTGTTATTATACCGGTCTGGTCTGGGGTGCGAATAGTTAAAGCAACCTTCGTTAGTGTTTTTTTATTTTTTTTTTTATTTCGTTGCAGTGCTGACCTGAGATTGTATCTATTCACTCGCTTGCGCAAAGATTCAAACGACACACGAATATCTATTAGTGTTTTTGGATTTAAATTATTTGAATTGAAATTATTTATAAAGTTAATTGCATCAAATAGACTTTATAAATCAATTAAGTTAATTAATTATTTAACACACAAAAAAAACAAAACAAATTTAGCAATGTATGTTCCTACATTTTTTTTTACATTTCGTGCAAACGCGCCAATGTGTAAATACATAATTGGCATATTATACTTAACCATGTTAATTTAACGGAAATAAAATTATAAATCGATTAAAAAACAACAAATGTGGGCAAACTGATGTTTTGTTCTGAATTGCCAATTTTATTAACAGATCCATTTTGTAACTGAAGTACAGAAATTGCATACTAAAGACATCAACGGGCTTTCTTTTTGTGTATTTATGTATTCTCTGGTTATTGTTGGTGTTTGACTGTAATATATGGCCAATACACTAGTAATATATTAAGATGTAACATTACATAATGGAGAAATTATCATGTAATGTATTATTCTTTAACCCAACTGCGCAATAGAAGAGGGTAATGTTTTTGGCTGTATGTATTGTAGGTACTTATTCTTTTCATTTTAGGAATCTTTTATTCCTTCTTTTGGTGCAACTAATTCATGCTTTAATTTTCTTCCAACCAGCTCTATTCCAGGTCATATCTTTGACCTCCCTATACGACATGACACCTAGTGTTTCCTTTTATCTGTCCCATGTAGTTACACTTTGGTCTTCTCCTTCCTCTTTTACCCTCTATTTTTTCTTCTACTATGCTCTTTAAAAATCGTCAGGCTCTTATTCTGTACTTCTAAATTCCTTTTTGTTATGGTGAAATATTAATTTGAAAAATGATGAGATTTAGGTTGGGATTCAGTTTTATAATTACGGGCCATGATCAAACGTTGTCTGACTGAGCTATTGCCTGTCTCATGTTAATTAAATATCTTAAAAAAAAGGATTTACACAATATTTAGATAGAATATAAATAAATAAATAAAATATTCCTCCCAGTTCGGAATGCAATTTTAGCTGAGAGGAATGGCCAACTTAGTTTTCCTAACAATATCCACAGTAATGATGGACAAACATAAGTTTTATATTGCGATTTGCGGTAGATAATGGACTGGTCGACTGGCACGCGAACCACTACCATACCCGTTATATCACTGTTATTACCATAACGTTCTGCCTGATGGTGATCTCAAGTAAATCTGAGAGATAAACTCACCAGTAATTGGTTACATCCGTTATAAACAGACTATACTAAGCAGACGATAAAATAAATAAAGAAAATTTAAGGTTATAAATTCTAATTCCTATAACATAAAAATATAATTTACTAATTAATTAGTTTAATATTATTAATTAAAAATTAATTAGTTAAACTAGTTATTAATTGCTTCATAATTTGTTAACTTAATTGCTTTGGCATTTTCTTGAGATTTTAATTAAAAAATCACATTCTATTTGTTTTAAAAATAGAACAGATTTTTTTTCTTCCTGACTAATAAGTGCCAAATTTTAGCTATGATTCATACCACACTACAATACGCTCAATATTTTTAGATTTTTTTTTATACATGATATTAAAATATTAACTCCTCTTGCGTTATTGGTAGATACTAGCGAAGTACCAATATGGGATAAGAGGATGAAGGCGTATTAGCAGGTCCACTCTTGAATCTAAGATCGATATCGAACCAACTTATTGCCAATGACAATTTCGTATTACGCCTATGAAACAACAATTAGGAATTAGATTACAATTGGAATCGATTTATAATAGTTTGCATTGCCAAGTACATTAATTACACATCTATTAGAACAATATGGAGCCATTATATTAATATTGCATTGCTTTATTAGAATTTATTTAAAGAGTACTTAAGCCACCAGTTCGTTCGTCGTGACTAATTCGTCAGAAATTAATCACGACAGTTTCAAGGTGCAGTAACTACCCAGGGGGATATGCTAATATACCGGCGCATCCCCCGAGTGGTAGGGTGAGCATGCCATCCATCCTATCTTGAGAGACCTGCTCTTACCATCAGGGGGCAGGTCGCTGCCGTCGGAGATGTGGTGAGTGCGAAAGCGAACCCATGTCTCCAACATATGGCACCTCGAGGGTATGTCGTCTGGTTTTTGGTGGGTACACCCCCACCTTACGGGAGGATTCCCACAGTACCCATTCACCTCCCACAAGGTGTATGGGTCTACATAAAGCACTTTCCAAACGTTAAAAAAAAAGGTGCAGTAACTACGTGGAGGTTGACCTGAAAGGATGTGTTGTTAACAATGGGACTATTAAACTCCATTACTATTTCTTTCTCGAAAAATGTGTATATATTATATTACTACGTATTTAGATGTCGATAGGGAATTCATCCTTACACGCTTGAACCTAAATGGTCACATACAGTGCGGTTTTTAAGGGATTTTTCTTCCGCGAACGATCAGGCTGTGGAATGAGCTCCTTGCTTAGGTTTTCCCTAGAGACTATAGTGTGGGGCTCTTTAAAAAGGATATATTAAAGTATCATAAGGGTCAGCAACGTACACATGACACGTCTAGTGTTACAGGCTTTTTTTTTATACAACTTAGAATGGCAAACAAGCTGACGGCCCACCTGATGGAAAGTGGTAACCGTCGCCAATAGGCATGAGCAGTAACATGGACTTAACAGAGTGTACTGTTTCACCCATGTTCCCCCCATGCGTTGCCATTCCTGAGGACTCAGGTGTTATTCCTCTGTATCCAATAAATTCACGCCATATCCCACCCTTCAAACCGAAACACAGCTATGCAAACACAACTGCTTCACGGTTGAAACACGAATGGGACAGAGGTACCCAAGCAATCGACTTTTGTACAAAGTCTCCCTCTGCGTCCATAGGCTACAGTAACCGTTTACCATTAGACGGGCTGTATGCTCATTTGCTACCATTATGGTATAAAATAATGTAGGTAGGCACGTATACGCGGTATCTATTTATTATCTATGTCTATGGTAAGGCAAAAGTCTCCATCATTAAAATCAAGTTGTCATCATAAAAGTTCCCATAAAAACCTCACCGGCCAGACAAGACAAACATAGAATGCTCATTACGCAACTCCTGTGAGATACACAGGTTCTCAAACTATCTGTCTGTGCACTTTGAAAGTCAATTAATTTCTATAATTAAAAAATTCTTAACTTAATCTTAATAATCGAAATTATATTCATTATTACTTTTAATCTACTGAAATAAATTTTTATCAATTATCTTAATTTGGTTGTATTTTTATAAAAATAAAAAAACCTTTACCGTAGTCCGAGGCCGTCTAACATCCTCAAGGGAGCGTTATTCACTTTGAGAACCAGTGACTATTACATAATACGGTCACATAGAGTTATAGATCATGTAGTCATAGAGAGATACTGTTCTCAATACTGATGTATAGGGGGGAAAGGGATTGTTAGTAATGCGAACTATCAGCCCCATTGCTAGCAATATACCCTATCGGGTCGACCTACACGTGGTCACCTCTGGAAACCATCGTGCTGAAATCCAGGTGTATTCATCGCAATAGGCTAATTGACTTGCCTTTTTATCCTCACTGGTGCCCCGCCAGCGTATACCGTTAGCACAGGCGGGGTTACCATTCCATTGTCATCCATTGGAAAAAAAATACTAATGTATATGTATATATGTTGGAAATACTGTTGTACAAAGCTGATGAAAACTTAGGAATGATTAATCTGATGACGTGACGATGTGTATAGTACATACAACCACTGTTTTTATGTATTTGTTGACGCTATTGTATGTCTCCGAATGTATGAATCACTCCCATTATAATTTCAATTAATGTTTCGATCGTGTTTATGTATGTACCCATTGTCCTCGTGTAATTATCATACAAAATTTATTATAGGTAACAATAAAATTGTAATAAAACTTAATTTTTAAGTGACTTCCTCTTCTGGATGGAGGAGGCTGTATTTTTTGTGTGTACATGCGTAATATCTTTTTTTTTATGTAACTTAGAATAGCAAACAAGCTGACGGCCCACCTGATGGAAAGTGGTAACCGTCGCCTATAGACATGAGCAGTACCATGGACGTAACAGAGTATACTGTTTCGCCCATGATGAAAGAAAATCAAATAAATATCTACCATACTAGATCACGTCTTTAATCGTTTATTATTATGTCCATGGTACTGCTCATGTCTATAGGCGACGGTTACCACTTTCCATCAGGTGGGCCGTCAGTTTGTTTGCCATTCTAAGTTGTATAAAAAAAAGTATTAATGTTGATTTTGAATGTTTCTAACAATTAAAATTAAGCCGTTAGAATGCCCAGAATTGTAAAAATCGAAAGAAATAGATGATCGATGAACCACCCTTTGGAATCAGCAGCAGTATTTCCGTACCGATACGACATCACAACCTTCAAGAAAAGAGCAAATTCCTTTTTAAAAGGCCGGCAGCACACCTGCAATGCCGTTGGTGTTGTGGGTGGTCATGGGCGGCTGTAGTCACTTACCCTCAAGTGAGTCGCATGCTCGTTTGCCCCCTGTGTTATAAAAAAATCATGCTCTAAGCTCTTCTTAAATTTCTCGTATGCAGTGTAAGCATTACAAAATATTTTCCAGAGATATTATCAACATTGTTATTTAATCATACAGTGGACAGTCATTCACAAATAACTCGAGTCGTGTCCATATTGCTTGGAAATGCAAATTTTGTTGTTGACTCAGAAGATTAGCATGCTTGTTATAGTGTCCATGAGTTTTAATATTAAAAGACGCTAAA